AAAAATAAAAAAACTAGACAGTAGTTTCTTTCAGTTATAAACTAAAGAAAGAAAACGGGAATTTAAAAAAAAAGTAAGTTCACGGAGAATTACAATGTACTTGTGTAAAACCGAAAACTTGATTTCAAAAATAGCCACCCACAAAAAATAACAGCACATATTCGCTCTATAGCCAATACTCTTAAAACTCGCATTTTTTTTTTCGTTTTTCATCCTAACATCTATGAGTTTTAGCTTCAAGTAAAAGGAAAGTTTTCGAGCCTCTAAACTTGCCAGAAAACACCTTTTTACTTCTTTTTTTTTTCTCAACTTTCGGCCACTTCAAAACCTTCGAACGAGATCTCAAAGTTGTTTGATTTGGTTTAAAAATAGAAGGTAGGAAGTGGGAAAAAAAAGAAGCTGCCGGGTACTTGTATTTTACAGTTTTCTGAACTTTTGGTCGTGAAAAAAGCTGAACAGAAGGCTTTTTCAACTTGAAAATCCTTTTTTTGTTTCAAATTCGCTTATCATTCATTTTTTTTTCCCCTTGGAACTAATGGAACGGGTATTACAATGCCCTGCAGCTTTTTTTAAATAGAAAAATCCGCAAGAATGAAAAATTGCCATGGAGTTGCTCAAATATGGTCAAAGCCGTTAAATTTATCAGTAGAGCGCATATAAATCTGATAAATAGCTTTTAAAGTGCTTCTATACTTGAAAAAATCCCAAATCTCATCAGACAAAATCAAAAATCAAGAAATTCTCAACGGAGCACAACTGAGCGTGACAAAACAGCTCTATCAAGAATTTTTTATTTAAAAATGCTTTGAAACATCAGAAAAACCAAAACGAGCCGAGAAAAATCGCCTTTGAAGCTGCTTGATCAAAATCTCCGAATCTCAGTTGAAACCGATTGATTTATCAGTGGAGCGTAACTTATGCATCAAAATTAGCCTTATTCATTCTTCCAAACGTTTTCGCCGGAAAAGAAGGCCATGTTCACAGAAAACCTTTTGAAAGATATCTCAAAGTTGTTTGATTTGGTTTGAAAATAAAAGAAGAAAAAAGTGACTTCGCGGTATTTTTATTTTACAGTCCCCTTGCCATTATCCAACAAAAAGTCACAAAAAACCGGGTCCAAAACAAAAGGTGCTCAAATAGGCGCGATGTCGCAACACCTGGCAACACGAGGGCGAGGAGGACAATGAGCGATATAATGTCGCCGGCGAGCGTCTTTCAACTCTGTCCAGAACCTCAAAGCAGCTGTAACCTCCGTGTCTGTGCAGTCAGACGGGCTCTAATCATCGCAACTCGGTGATTTTTGAGTCGAGAGCAAAAAAGGGTAGTAAGCCGAAAAGAGAATCTAGAAAAAGATGTTTCTCAATTTTTTCTTAAAGAGAAGGAATCAAAAATTTAAACTTTGATGATCTGAATCATGAGAAAAGCTACAAAATTCTAAATTATTTCTGAGAACTGTGTAAATTCCGTGTAAAGTCTTCACTCGAAGTGGTCGCTCTACTTCTGAGGCTTCCACCTAGAGCACGGTCTCCGGGCTCCAGCACAAGATCCGCTACATTCTGAGTTCGTCAAGGCGCAACTGTATGGACTACTCGCAGAAAAACGAGGCGAAGGACCGTAAGACCATGCTTTCAACTGTTTCGACTACACGTTTGGACTTCTATTTAACCAAAGGCGGTTGTTCGTTATAGCTTTAAAATTTCTTGTTCACCGCCTAGTCGATCACATCTATGACTAAAACAACAAAATAAATGATTTGATTTGATTAGAACTGCTTTTTCTAAAGTTAAGAATTTTTTTCAGTTCTGAGGCAAAAGTTTAAAAATCTGAGCTTTTGAAGATTATAAGAAACATTTTATTATTTTTTTCGCAGCAAGTAGAAAAACATGAAAATGATCTCAAATCGAACTTGACCGTTCGAAAAACCAAAATAAATTGATCAAATTGAAAAATTTTACGTTGAAATGTACGTGTCTTCCCACTCGAAATACGTTCTTCGAAACAATATAATGATGAGAAATAGAAACTGAGTGATAATTCCTTGATCCAATGAGAAACTGTGAATAGCAACTAAGGGATAAACCGAGATATTTTAAAATTTCAAAAGTTAACCGAGAAGTTTTCGCGTAATTCAAAACTCTCTCTGACTCTCCAAAATTAAGTTACATCTTTCACTCTTTGACGGCTATTCTAAATTTTGCGAAAAAATCAGCTACAAACATTTTTTCTTTTTTTACTCTGTAAAAAGTAGGCTTCTAGTTGAAAGGTCAAAAAAAGGTGCAAAAATGACAAAAAAAAAGCGGCGAAGAGGACGGATGGCAGTGCAGTGGACAGCTGTCACAACACGGCCCAACCAAATTGATATTTATACGATATTTATACGGCTTTTCGAATCGTCGGCCGCTTTTTCTTCTTCCTCTACGCATCCTGATTTATCTTCCGGCAATTCGAATAAATTGGATTGGAGTTAATTAATAAGGAAGACCGTTTGAAGTGTTGAAAAATGAGAGCGAAAAGAAGAATCCTTCCAAATCGAAAAGCCCAAAAGTTTAATCGAATTGGACGAAGAAGACACGAAAAAGAGCAAGAAAAGTCCAAGAAATGAGCTTTTTCCGTCTAATCGGAGCACGTAATGAAGAGTTCGATTTGGGTCCAAATGTTCCGAAAAAAACAAACTTTTTCAGAGTCTGAAAATCCAATTTTTTCGAGCGAATCTATTGGGGATGTGATAATTGGCGGATGAGTAAAACATTTTTTTTCAAAACAGGACGGCCTAGATATAAAATTTGAGAGCCAGGTTCCATAGAAAAAACTAGGCCTTCCTTAAATTATCCAGCAAAACTTCGAAGCCTAAAAATCCGAAAAAAAAACGAGTAATTCTAAAAATATTTGCAACAAGGACCTCACTTATAGAAAAGCAAAACCGAGGTATTTGGAAAACTAGGCCTTCAAAGTCCGACATAAAAGAGCCTTTCGGCCTGAAAATGCAGAAAAATTGATACTTTGAAAAGTTCTACCTAAAAGAACGCGGCCTAAAATTCCAAAAATTTGGGATTCTAGACCTTACTCTGCTCAAATGAAATACTCCAAAGACCTAAAAATCCAATTTTCCGCAAACCAACTAATTGGAAATCAAGGCCTCAGGCCGAAGTTTTGTCAAGTCAGAAACTGGCCTCCAACCTCGAGGTAGTCTGAAATTTTCGGGCGCAAATAGAGAGAGAAAAAAATGGATTGAATTGTCACGCAACCTGTCATTTTCTACGGCCGTTCGTTAGCTGCGGAATCGAAAATTCGTGTGTGAAACAGAAGAGAAAGTGCGAAAATTCAGAAGAATTTTGATTTTCCAGAAAATCACTATCTTGGTTTTTATCTCTAGACAAAAAAAGGGGCCCTCCCCAAAAATACTGAAAAAAATGTGCAAATCAAACCATCTTTCTTTATCTCAAGATAATATTTAAAAGTGGAATCCACAATTTTCGAATGATAAAGCATCGTTTTAGAAATTTTCACCTTTCATAGAAATTTTTTATCTCTGAACATTTTTGGTGGCTTAGTTTTCCAAAATAAAAAATCACGATTTCTAGGCCTTTGAGCTTGTAGAGGACCTAGTAAAACTAGATGAGATTCTCGATCTTTAAGTTCAGCAAAGAAGACCAAAATGTCCAAATGAACCATTTTTCCTAGTCAAAAATGCCCGGGAAAATTATTTCCTTCACAAAGCCATAGGAATTAATAAAAATCGCGACAAAACTGTCAAAAATCACAAATTTGACTTCAATCTAGTGGATCCGATTTGCAAAGATGGCGAAGAAAAAAAGAAAAGAATAAGATGATATTTTTTTGATTTGAGCTTTCTAAACGATTCAAGCCATAAAAAGACGAGAACAATAATCAAAAAAATCCGTAAAATTTAAAGAAATCGGAGAAATGCGACAAAATTGTCAAAAAAATCCTCAAAATTCACTTTAATCAAGTGGATCCGATTTGAAAAGGAAGCGAGGCATTTTGATTTCTCCTTTTCAAAAACTGCTTTCTAAGCCAAAAAAAAAGACTAGAAACATCTTCAAAAAGTTCATAAAATCTGAGGGAATCATGAAAACCGCAACAAAATCGTCAAACATCCTTCAAAATTGACTGCAATCGAGTGGATCCGATTCGAAAAGGAGGCAAAGAAGAAGAAGATGAAGACGAGGCCATCTGCCGCCAACTCGCGAGCAAATCGTCTCCTCCTTCTCGCCAAGGCGAAACCGTGAAGAAACAACAATTTTCCGGGCGACTTAATTGGCTCACACGAAATCATCGTCGCAAAGGCGCCCCCCTCATTTCAATTTTCAAGCGCGGAAATTGGATCGACCGCAAAAACTGGTGACTTTCTGCGGCTTTTTGAAGATGGAGGAATGTATGAAGGAGGAAGACACTTCAACTTGAAAATCTCAAATTTCTAATCGAGGCATGATTAACCATGAACTTTCCGTTAGAAGGCTCAGAATTGATATTTGGTTTTTTGAATTTTCAGGCCGTGGCCTAGATTTCCAAATCATCGATGGCCTAAGTTTCCAAATCGTAGAATGAGCAATTATTCAGACACAATTAAGGAATGGAGAGTTGTTTTATGTCTAAACTTGCTTTTTGAAAAATATTTGAATAATTCGATTAATAATTTTTTAATTTCAGAGCATTTTTGTCTAAAAATCGCCTGTTTTTCTAATTAATTCACTCAAATTTTTTTTATCAAAAAACCGTAAATTTGCTCTTTTTGGGCCTTCGGACCTGTAAAAAATCGAAAAACCTAGAAAAATCAACTGTCTCAAATTTTCCAGCCCAACTTGGATCAAAATCGAGAAAAACACGCGGAAAATGGGCTTTCCTAGTTATTTTCACTCCATTTGTCCTCACAAAAATGGCTCATAACGCAAAAAAGGACACAAAAAAGGTCGAAAAGGTCAAAAAAACGACAATGACATTAGCTGGAGGACCAAAAAAAAGAAGTGACACATCATCAGCTAATTCAGCAATGTTGCGCTGTCCGTCAGACGACGGACGGGGTTATGATGGATGACTGTACGGTGAGGATGGGGGAGGAAAGCGGGTGCGCAGCGGGCGACAGACGCTTCCATTACCATATCAAACTGACTGGCACGAAAGTCATTGCCGGAAATGGGACAAGAAACATGGAAAAACACATGAAAAAGCATTTTTTTTTTTCTAAATTCAGACGTTCTGATTGGAAAAAATGTTTTATAAAAATGACAACAGTAAAAAAGATGAAGAGTAATTTTCAATTGAGCAAAAAGAGTTCCTTCCAGTACTTGAACAAGAACCTCAAATGTCTCTTTTTTCAATTTTATAAAAAATGAAAGTTTTTTTCAAAAATTCAATCATTTTTCTGTGGCCTAACCATACTAAAAATTGCTGGATCCGAAAAAAAAAAACTTTGAAATTCTAATTGGATGCTATTAGAAGCGTCTGTGCGCCTTATATCACGCAAAAAAAAAAATAAATTTGTCTTTCAATGATTATTTTCAGTTTTACAACAACTCAAGTCGTAATTTTGATAGTTTTCCACTTCAAAAAGGATAAATATGAGGAAAAAAGCTTCCTGTGAATATTAGGCCATTTTATAACTCTATTTTTAAAAAAAGGACAAACAAATTAATTTTTATTCAAAACAACTTTTTTTCTAGAAAAAAATGCGGTAAACGAATAAAATCATGGAATTTTTGAACAAAAACGAAGCTCTAAATTATTTATGAGCCGAAAAATTTCCAAAACGTTCTAAAATGAAGGAAATTATCTCTTCTCAAGCAATTCTGGTCATCAAAAACGATTAAAAGTCCTAAAAATTGGAGTCGAGAAGAATTGGGTGAAGATAATCTAGTTGAAAACTTGATAAAACCCGATTTTCAAGCATTTTCCAAGTGACACTTAAAAAAGCATGAGAATTAAAAATTCCAAATCAAGCCTAAAAAACTTCCAAGCGAACTGAATGGAAAAACTAGCTGCTTGAAGTAAAAAAGTCAAAAAAAAAATGACGAGACAACTGTTTTTCGACGCAAAATGTCAGTGCAAAAACTGTTTGGAATGCAAATCGCTTTGTTTTTTTAGATCGTGTTGTTCCGAGTTCTTCCTGGAACTTGACTGGAATGTCCTTTTGAGCTTTTTTATTGCATTGGAAGTAATTTTTTGACTTTTAGTAAATTTCAAGCGCTTCCGAAACTTCAAAGTTCCTTTTTTTGTGCACTCACTAGTCAAAAAAAGTTCGGAAGCTTCGAAAATTCATTGAAAAAAAAATAAAAGATTTTTTGTGACCTTTTGAAAACCAGGATGATTTCAAGCGCTTCTCAGCCGAGTTTGAGTGAGTGCACTTTAAAAATCACCTTGTAAAGACTTTTTTAAATAAAGTATGAACATTTTGCGGTTCTTGAAAGAAAACAAGGGTCAGTAATCCTCCCATAAACTGAAAAATAGAGCACCTAACGAGCTCATTAGCTGATTATTCAAAAGGTCATCAGAAATAGCCGCTAATTAGTGGGCTTTTGATCGGGAAGGGTAGAAGAGATTAGAAATGATTCATATGGCTTCAAAAATAGTACTGACTTAACGATTTTCTAATCCAGTTTTGAAAATACGAGTTTCTCAACGAATAGAAGTTTTTTTAACGGTCTTATTGTTGAAGAGATCCTACTTTCGCTGAATGCAATTATCTCTGACCCTCCAAAATTTAGTTATATTTTTCTTTCTCTGACGGCCATTTTGAACTTCGCGAAATCACTTTTACCACGGCATTATGAAACCAAAATAGGGAGACTAGATTATCAACTAAATTTTGAATTTAAAAAAAAAAAAAAAGAAGAATGAAAGTGATCACTCTTTCCGAACGTGTGATTCATAACAAAGAAAGCTTAATTCACTACTGAAGCTTTTTTCAATCAAATTTTTTTAAAAAAATGAAAAAGCTGATTTTACAACTAATTACACTTTTCAGAAAAAGCCATCAATCAAATTACACCACGAAAAAACCGATGAATTCAAAAATAAATCTCAAAAGTTTAAAAAAACGCGCCTAAAGAAAAAAAAAATCTCCAACTTTATTTTACACAGGAGCCTCGGAAAAACCCAAGAAAACCATAAATTGAAAGAAAAATGAAGAGGCATTGGGTGGGAATAATTATCGAGCCGTGGGAATGGAAAAGGAAGATCCACTTATTTCGTCCCAAAAACGGGCCACCCTTCAAGTGAATCCAAGTGTCTATTGGGTCAAGTCATCCAATTTTCTTCTCAAAAAGTCCCAATGCTTAATTATTTAAAAATTTACCGTTATGGCTTCATCATGACAAAAAAATGAACGAAAAACTTAAAAATATAGCAAATTTAGGCTCGGAATAGGCAAAAACATTGAAAAAAACGGCGAAAAAAATTGCTAAAGATTTGAATTTTTTTATTCTTTTGAGCTTTTTTTAGTTATGTGAGATCATAAAAAAACATCTTATTAACATTTTGTCCTCCCAAATGCCAAGGAAACTTAAAAAAATAACAAAATTAAAGCTTCAAAAAGTCAAAAAAATATCGAAAAACGGCAAAAAAATCGCTTCGAACTCCGATTTTTTTGCTAAAAAAATGATTATAGTAGTTTCTGAGACCATGAAATCTTCATTTTTTACACTTCATTACTTCGAATTTTTCAATAAAGTTAAAAAACTGCAAAATTGAGTCTTCAAGACTAAAATTCATTTGCATTCTGAAGTGCTGAAATCACAAAAACTGATTTTATCAAGCTTCAAAAAAGTTAAAAATTTTCTTAGCTTTAATTTCCTTCCATAAATCTAATTTTTCAACCCTTTACTCTACAACAATACAAAACAGGTCAAAAAAACTAGCCAAAAAAAAGGAAATAAATCCATTTTTAATTTGCATTAATTTTTCCTAACCCCATTTTTTTCATAAGACTGCTCTTCATAAACATTTTTAATACTTGAAAAAAAATCCTCTCCTGTTTTTACCACTTGAAATCCTCCCTTCAAGCTTTAAAAAAAAATTTCAAACCTACCTGCTTTCGTATCTTTCAGTAACTCTTGGCAATCAAAGAAAATCGCGTCTTCTTTTATTTTTTATAGGAAAAACGAAAAAAAAATGGAGCGGACCTTCGATGGCGACGACTTGGTCACGAAGTTGCATTCTCAAGCTGTCGCAGGCCTCCGGAAGACAGTTCAACATGTCGTAGATCTACAAAAAAAAATGACTTTAATGGGGTTAACTGAGAAAATTTTTAGTGGCCACTATAGAGGCTCGCCAAGGACTACATGGAGAGGACACTAAAGTGGCCCCTAAACCCACCTCTATAGTAGCCACTATTTTCCGTTTTAGTGGCCATTATAGAGGTTTTTTATTAAGTGACCACTTCAGACCACGCCCTAGCACAAGCCTGCCTTTTCCAAAACCAAGAAAATTCAAATCAAAAAAACTGAACAAAAAATAGCAAGTATGTAGATATTGACAACTTTTTTGAAAACAAAAAATCTTTTGAAAGGCTATGTTTAATCAAAATAAGGCCAAAAGAAGTGATTTGAACCCGGTCGACTTACGTTTCTCATCATTTATATGATATCATTCAAAGATCAATCAATGTTTCTTTCAGTACTCTCTTCACTCTAATAATAATACTTCATTTCTTATGTTCGAAATATGAATATTGTGGTCACACGTGGAATGGCTCAAACTCAGGACTTGTCCGACCAAAAACGGCTTACGCATTCTTATTGTTAATTCGCTGAAAGCTTTTACACCAGAGAACTATTGAGTTGAAAATTTTGAAAATATTCAAAAATTGAATAACTATTCTTATGTTCCAGCCCTTCTGCTATTCAAAAAGTGATATCAAGATCTAAAAACTGGCTATTTTTTCAAGATTATTCGGGTCAAAAGTCATTTTTTTAAAGCGTTTTTGACCGTATTCTTCTTCTTTTTATTGCTTATTGGTTCCATAATATTTTTTTAAAAATCAAAATTAGTAGAGTTTTTCGACTTTTGGTCTTGTTTTTCCGTTTTCTTTTTCAGCCCTTCAAGTCTTCAAGTCCTATTTTCAAACTTCTTAGATCTATTTCTTCGTGTTTTCTCGATTCCACAGTTCAAATTCATTATTATGCAAAAATTTGGCTCTAGAAATGCAATTGTTAGTCGAAAAACAGCCAAAAGAAGTAATTTGAACCCGGTCGACTTACGTTTCACAGTATTTATAATAGTTCATTCAATGATTCATCGAAGTTCTCTCAAAAAAATTATCTTCACTAGTTATAATACTTCAATTCTTTTTTCGAAATCCAAACATTACGGTCGCACGTGGAATGATTTAACACGCGTTCTCTGAGAAAGTCGATGAATCTAAAGCAAAATAAAAAAAAAGTTTTTTAGATTTGCCTCAAAATGTGATCACGGCTCACACACGTGCTTCTGATTATTTAGCACCAGGTTCCAGGTGGCTCCGCCCCTTTTAAAAGATACTGTAGACAGTAAGCTGAAAAAAATTAATTTTTTTCCTGTTGAGAATTTTCATTCAAAAACGTTTGGAAATGTAAGAAAACACTATTTTGAGTATTTTTTCAGTTGTAACTTTTTTTCTAACTCGACTTCTTCGGGGAGAAAAAAATCGAAATTTCCTCAAAAACAGCGATTTTTTCAGTTTTTGAGCCATAACTAGAGTAAGAACCCCCCTATGGTACGACTTTTATTTCTGATTATGAAACTAGGGGCCTTCTTCTTCAAGAAAAAGTAGTTCTACAACAAATCCCTGGGGTGGGATAGTTGACCTCCATTCGACCGAAGGTGATCAACTCGAATCGGCTCAAAATTCAAAAAATCATTTTTCTCCTAATTTGAGGGCTTCTTCCTATTTTTTGTTTTGAAACAAAAGACAACACTCGTTTTCATGTTCTCCACCATTTTGGTGCTCAAAGAAAATTTTATTCCGAATTTCTCGTGACTTTTCGAATTTTAGGACTTTCGTCGATTTTCGATTTTTTCCGTTTTCAGGTAGTTTTTTCTGTAGGAACCCCCGAATGTGGTCATTATCTTTTGGTATATGGAAGAGTAGGTCTTTCTTGATAAGGAAAAATTAGTCCGGTAGAAATCTCTGGGGTGGCCCAGTTGACCTCCGATCGCCTGAAGGTGACGACCCCAAAAATGGAATTTTCACAAAGGCTCGGAAAACAACTTTTTTTGTTTCCGTTCTAACAGAAAGCTTTTTCAGTGAGACCTACATCACTTTTCGACACGAGTCGGAGTCTTTTTCGGCAAGATATAAGTAGTTTTATTCAAATTTGAGGCTTGGCACAAAAGTGTTTTGGATAGAGTTGATTGAAAAAGTAAAAAACTGTCAGTTACTGTATTTTGGCGAAAAAATAATTTTTGAGAATCATCGACATTTTTGAATGCCATAAGGTGTTTTTATTTCTCGAAAAAGTTGAAAAAAAAGCTTTTTTCGCCATTTCTTCACTCCGATCTCCCTTGCTTAGGTGTTCAAAAAAATTCAAACATTTGCTGGGTTTCCCTAAAATCTTTTTGAACGGGTTTCCAGGTTACTTCAGCAATTTAGAGCAGGTAAAACCGGTGAAAACGAAGATAGGCGTGCCAAGCCTCAAATTTGAATAAAACTACTTATATCTTGCCGAAAAAGACTCCGACTCGTGTCGAAAAGTGATGTAGGTCTCACTGAAAAAGCTTTCTGTTAGAACGGAAACAAAAAAAGTTGTTTTCCGAGCCTTTGTGAAAATTCCATTTTTGGGGTCGTCACCTTCAGGCGATCGGAGGTCAACTGGGCCACCCCAGAGATTTCTACCGGACTAATTTTTCCTTATCAAGAAAGACCTACTCTTCCATATACCAAAAGATAATGACCACATTCGGGGGTTCCTACAGAAAAAAACTACCTGAAAACGGAAAAAAATCGAAAAATCGACGAAAGTCCTAAAATTCGAAAAAGTCACGAGAAATTCGGAATAAAAATTTTTCTTTGAGCACCAAAATGGTGGAGAACATGAAAACGAGTGTTGTCTTTTGTTTCAAAACAAAAAATAGGAAGAAGCCCTCAAATTAGGAGAAAAATGATTTTTTGAATTTTGAGCCGATTCGAGTTGATCACCTTCGGTCGAATGGAGGTCAACTATCCCACCCCAGGGATTTGTTGTAGAACTACTTTTTTTCTTGAAGAAGAAGGCCCCTAGTTTCATAATCAGAAATAAAAAGTCGTACCATAGGGGGTTCTTACTCTAGTTATGGCTCAAAAAAACTGAAAAAAAATCGCTGTTTTTTTGAGGAAATTTCGATTTTTTTCTCCCCGAAGAAGTCGAGTTAGAAAAAAAGTTACAACTGAAAAAAATACTCAAAATAGTGTTTTTCTTACATTTCCAAACGTTTTTTTGAATGAAAATTCTCAACAGGAAAAAAATTAATTTTTTTCAGCTTACTGTCTACAGTATCTTTTAAAAAGGGGCGGAGCCACCTGGAACCTGGTGCTAAATAATCAAAAGCACGTGTGTGAGCCGTGATCACATTTTGAGGCGAATCTAAAAAAAATTTTATTTTGTTTTGCTTTTTATTACTGAAAAGTCATCGATTTTCTCAGAGAACGTGTGTTAAATTCAAAGTTCGTTCGACACAAAACGACTTGTAAATATTAAGGCCTAGAAGTCCACGAGATAGGAAAATTTTGAAAATTCTGCTTTTTTTCAATTTAAAAAAGGTGAAATTCAAGATCTACAGTCCTTTTTTCCGTTCAAAAAAGGGGTAAAAATCTACTTTCTCAAATCGTTTTTGGTCGGACAAGCTCGGAATTTGATCCATTCCACGTGCGACCATCATTTTTGTATTTCAAACATGAGAAGCGAATTATTATAACTAGAGTGAAGAGAGTACTAGAAACAACTCCGACGAATCGTTGAATGAATTAATATAAATGCTGTGAAACGTAAGCCGACCGGGTTCGAATAGCTTATTTTGGCTGTTTTTGAACTAAAAATCGCATTTCTAAAGCCAATTTTTTTTAAAAGAAAAGCAACTAAAAATAAGGTTTTAACCCTAACATCGAGAAAATGGAAAGAAATAAATCTGAAAAATTGGAAAATGAGTCTTATTAGACAGAAAAAAACGAAAAAAATAAGACCGAAAAAAACGAAAAAAACTCTATTTATGTTGATTTTTTTAAAAAAATTCTATCAAGCCAAAAAAACTATACGAAACAAGAAATAAAATCAGAAGTGCTTTTAAAAAAATGGAATTAGAGGAAAAAAAGGTACAAAAAAACGTAGACATGGGCTACGGAATCTAGAGGATTCCGAGCCGAATATACAAATAATTCAGATTGAGCATAAATGATTTATTTCAATATTTCTTCTTAATATTTTTTTGAATAGAAGAGCTGTCTTTTTTCAGTAAATCCTGAGCTTTTTTTCATAAATTTACCTGAGAAATTACGACAAAAAAACATTGAATTTGGATCGAAATTTGGGTAAACTTGGTTGAAAACTGAAATTTTTTTCTCGAAAGAATTCTCTTGTGAGTTTTATATGCAACTACCATGCTTGAAAATGCTGATTTTATTAATTTTTGAAAGAAAAAAATTATTTAGAAAGGGGGTGAAGAGCCAATTTCGATAGTATTTAGAGTTACAACTTTGAAAAAGTCTAATATATGTTTTGATATCACCTACAGTCCCGAAATTCATTGAAAAAAATGATGCGAGCAAAAAAAAATGAGAAGAAAGAGGAAAAATCGCGAATTTCAGTCGAAAACTATGAGAAAATATGTTAAAAAGGACCCGAAGCGTTACTTTTTCGGCTTTGGACCGTTTTAGCTCGATTTTTCTCAAAAATCTCAACATTTCCGTGATAGTTACCTGATAAATACACGGATGAACACTCTCGAAACGTTGGATTTCGGCGCGAATTTGCTCCGAGTGCAGCGTATTGTTGCCGCCGCTGAGCGGGTGCCGGCTCGCCATCTCAAATCCTTGATTTCAGTTTCAGGTCGAATTTATGAATTATGAACACAATACTTCGTTTAATCATGAATACGTTTAATCATGAACATTCATGACTTCATAAAAGTATAAATTTTTGATTTTTTTGTTATAGGGGAATTCATTTCATCTCACTGTTGAGATCTTCCTGAAACCAACCAGAACTTTTCTTGATTAACTAAAAAAGAAATATTCTGAGCTTTAGCTCACAAACTTTTGAATTTTCGAGAAAAAGGCCCAGAACAGCATATTTTAACGAACTTTGAGGGTTTTGTTTAACATTGAGGTGCCTCTTTTGAACCAGACTTGAAACTTTCATGATCTTCTTCTGTTTCATCAAAAAGTGTTCTGACCAAAATTCCAGAAATTTCAAACCAAAAAGTGAAACGACTTTCCTTGTCTGTATAAAGAAAAAAAGGAAGTTCAAAATTTAATTTTCTCAAAAAGTAAAATAAAAACTCTATCGTTATTTCCTAAAAATCGATAAGATCGCTTAAATCAAAAAAACAAATATCAAAATTCTTCAGGGCAATGAACTTATGTATTCGTCTGAAAAAGGGCTATTTCTTTCAAAATTGATATATTTTTAGCGTCGATTCTTCATTTTGAGAGAGTTCAAAACGTATAAAAAACAAGAAAACACAGAAAATTGCGGGAAAAGTCAGCAAATCGAAAAATATAAGCTAGAAATACAGCAATTCATTTTTACAAAGAAAGATAGCTTCATTTATATCAATAAGTTTGTTATGAATTTCGCTAATTTTGACGTTAAGTTGATAAAGTTATAACAATTTACGCTTTAAAATCGATAAATATGCGGAAAACGGAGCCGAAACGAAAATAGGATTGAAAAAACAAAATTTTCAAAAGTCTGAAGATGTCGCATTATTTTCTATTTTTTTTTTAACTTGGCACTCTTCCAAATATACTTCATCATATTCAAAACTCTTAAAATATTGATTCAGCCAAATAGAAACTTTCTAAAAAACTAGAATAAACCTTCAAATATCCAAAATTCGTAAGAAAAAAAGTCCAATAAACATAATTTTCCAGTTTTTTTATTAAACTTTCTCTCAATCCTCTAATTATTCAAATTCACATTTGAAATAAATGGAGCTTCAACAAACCCACATTGAACTTGTGCGGAGCAAGAAATAGAGATAATTATTCCAAATTTGGTTCGGAAACGTCGTCGAAGGCTTTGCCCGATAGTTCCTTATCGTAAAGATGGAATCATCAGCAAATCAGCGCTACAGTCAATTTCCTTCAACAAAAAAACATCCATATGTGATTAATGACTTGAAAAACGAAAAAAAACCAAAAATGACTTGAAAAACGAAAAAAAAAACGCACGAAGGAGAAGATAACACACTGATGTACACGAGAAACATTTAAAATAGCAAATATCAACTTGAGAATGCACGAAAAATGTCGGAAACGATATCAATGAGTGGAAAACAACAAAAAAAAGCTCCTGAGATTTTTGTTTAAAAAGTTTCGAGTACACTTGAGTCGAAGCGAAAAAAATACACGAAAATCTTCGGAAATTTTATATTAATCAGTTTATCGACTCAATTTGAAGAACTGATGAAGCTAACCAACAGAAAACAGTTTTTGGAAGGAAAAATTAAATTCGTTTCTCTCCGAACTGCAGTACGTGTGCTTAATCTGCATACACCAAGCAACTTAATTTACGACAAATTAGCAAAACTCATCTTTTTTTCTCCTTTCTCGGTCGTTTTTTGACCGGCAGGTCATTTTTACTTTGCCTATCTCTATACAAATCCTAACATCTCCGAACTGACTTATTTTGACCAAACGATGCGGTTTTTTTTCTCGCAGAAAAGGTTCTTCATAGTTTTGTCGAGCTCCTAAATATTTTGCAAACATTTTGAATTTTTTTGAAAACGTTTTGTAATCTTCATTTTAAGCCTGCAAACTACAAGGGCTGAACTGTAAGAAAGCTATTTTTTGAGCGTAAAAACTCCAAAAAGAGCCTGAAAACCGAGAAAAGGGTGAGTAACATGAAACTGAAGTTTCCGGTACTCAAAAGAGCAAAAATAAAGGAGAAAGAAAAGAAAAAGGGACGGACCACGCACAAAAGCCAATAAAAACCACATGTGTACAATTCTTTGGGTGAGAGAGAAAAGAGAAATGACAAGGCAAACAGTGGTAGTTTTTCGTGGAGTTCATCCTTTTCTTGTTCATAACTCAATCCTCATAACGAACTGATAAATAAGCAAGAATAAACTGAATCGAGAAATTGAAGGGAGGAGAGAAGTTTGGAGATGAAAGGGCAATAAAATCGGCATTTCGGGACACTGTTTCAGGTTCCACGCAGAGAAAAGCGAAAGCCGCCGACTTCTCCTCATTTTGGATTTTTGTATGAATGAATAGTTCACCGAAATTTAACTTTTTAACACATAAAACTCAGGAAAAAAAAATTCCTTTAGAAAAAGAAAAGTCACAATCATGAAGCATATAACAATTCTTGCTTTGGAAGTTCCCATGCACAAATTATTGCACACTTGGGCCTTCTATAAACGAAAAATTGTGGAGGACAACTGAGAAAGTAAGAAAAGAGAAGAAGAAATTGAGAAAAAGTTCTGAAGAGCTAAAAATGAAAAAAAAAGTTACAGTAATTAAAAATCTGCAGCACCGTGCCTAATGCCGTGTTCAAAGTGATTCCGCGAAATTCAAAATAGCTGTCAGAGAAAGAGAAAGATAACTAAATTTTGGAGGGTCAGAGACCATTTTGCATTTCGCGGAAATTACTTTGAACACGGCATAACAGAAGCGATACATTTTATTTGACGCCAAGAGTTGGCTTGCCATAATTTTTCTTCATTTTTTCTGCCTTTTCTCTTGGTTTTGATTCATTTTCTCTGCCCAGTCATGGTTCAAAAAGAATCACGCCGAACCAATAAATAAGCGAATAGCTAAAATTTTTTAATAAAACATTTTGCAGAAAAAAGCCTCAACTCGGAAAAATTCCCTTCAGGTCATCTTTTAATGGTTTTTGTTGTCTGGGCAACGTCAAGGACGGTCATTTATAATCGACCAAATGGACAGATGCAACGGAAAACGAATAATTTTCGCTAATAAAAAAAATTGAAAGAATATTTTAGAATTTCGATCAAAAAAACAAATTCAAACGAAGTGTTCTGGTGAAAATGGATAAACGACATGTCGAAAGGACCTTGAAAAGTTCAGTGGACAGCGAAAAAGAAAAAAAAAATGGACACAAAACGCGGCCCAAATCGATCAAATCGCCATTTTTTTGGCAGGAGGTTTGCATATTCAAATTTGGTGTTTGAATGAATGGAGTATGCCCTTTTTTGAGTTTTGAAACAATGAATGGTGGACAAAAATTGCATTTTCGAGGATGAAGTTTAAAAAAAATGATTTCGAAACTTGAAAAAAAAACACGGATCAATTTTTCTACACGAATTGTTTCATTTCGACCAAATTTTTTCAATTTGAGACTCAGGAAATTTGGAAAAATCGACAGCGAGAATTGAAGAAATGAGTCAGAATTTCAGAAACTTGTCTCTATTTTCTCGTTAATAGCTTACTTTTCACTTTTTCAGTTTGAAAGTTTCGAAAAAAATATTATTTAAAAATGGAAAACCAGGCAAAAACGGACAAAAAAAGGTGATTCCATGGTTTTTTTTCTCACTATCTTCACCCGTTCCGCTCATAATTTATCACGATAAAAGGCTTCCTATCAAAAATCAGCGAAAAGACGACCGCCACGAAAAAAGCAAACAAATCAGGGTCGGCTTATCACTTAAAACATCTGTCCAGCGGGAAGATAATATCACGATTCGTTTAATAATAAGAAAAAAGCTGGGATTTAAATGGTATTATTGTTTTGAGAGATTGATAAAAAGGATTGTTTGAAGTTATAATTGTTTCGCCTTTCTGACTACTATCCAAACATACTTTCAAAAGGAAAGTTCCGGATTATAAGTTTGTCCTACCGTAACCTCAGTTCAAATTTCATTTCAAGAGGAAAGAAACGGTATGGTCGCCTTAACTAAGAATGCTTCGAAAAGTTTCCTTGAATCTTCACATTTTCCCCGATGCGTTGAGCCATTCCAAGTGCGACCATGACTTTTTTTTTTCGCCTCTATGTCTTCAAAACTGCTTTGAATTGAAGTACTTTGTTTTTTCTAATAATTTAATAAATTTTGATTGATAACTTGAGCATATTTTCAACCGAATCTTGAACTTTAGAGAGTTATAATTGAAGGAATTTCGCACAAAAAAAGTCGGCTCCAAATTCCGCGGTCGCACTTGAATGGCTCAAAGCGTCGCGTTTTTTTCAAAATAGAAAAGTTGTAAATATAGTTGATAAGACTTTTACAACGAGAACTCGGCGAAACAACTATGAAAAAATACGACTTCTGTGGAGCGTGAAAAAATGTGAAGAAACATTTTTCAGGGCTAAAATTGACAGGAAAGAAGGATTCAGTGACGTTCCTGAGCACAAATTGGGAAAATAGCACGAAGTTAACATTGAACGTTTGAAAACGGAATTCGAAAAAAAGACTAAAAAGGCGGAAAAACACACTTTCTTCAATTTAAAAAAATGAATTTTGAAATCTTAAACTAACAAACAACAAAAAAAATTCACATGGAAACAGGTTGCGAAACTGAAAAATTGAACAGAAGGAATTTGAAATTAACCGACTTAAAATCCGAGATAAAAACTTCTTTTCTGTGAAAAAAAACAAAGCTTTATCTCTAAAATCAAGAAAAACCAAACTTTCATTTTTTTCTAATGATGGCTCCAACGTTAAAATAAAGTTTGGCTTGGAAAAATGTACGAAATAACCTTCAAAAAAATTGAAAAACCTTTTTTTATCGAGCGAAATTTGTTTAAAGATCCTGAAAAAGTACTTCGAAAAATCCCCTCAAAAAGCAGATCGTCAAAAAAATGACAGAATGAGTGATAAATTTAAGTCTACAGTCAGAAATATCCTAAAAATGAATTTGGAAAAAAACTTTAAAAAAATAACGTCAGCAGACTAAAAAATAATTGAAAAGCCACAATAAAATTAGGAAACACTATAGTGTAGAAGTCACTAGCAAAAACAAAAAAGATAAACAAAATACTTGTTTCTAAACAACAAAAAAAATGTGAGAATTCTGAAAAAAGTCACCAAAAACATTTTCAAAGTCAGCAAACAGGCTACAATATGAGATGACGGGTTTAAAAGCCAAGCTCGAGTGCCAAAAGGACCAAAAATAGGCTTGAAAGTGGTTCCAAAAAATTGAAAAACCCCAGTTTAAAGGTTCAAAACTCGGAAAAACGCACGTTCTTATGGAAAAATGCATGAGAAAGTCGAAAATCGCCTCGAAAACAAGTAATTCGGAGATTTACCCCAACAAAACAATACCTAAAACGAACGGAACGGCGGGTTGGAAGTGGCCGCGCGGCAAAAAGGGGGGTGCGACGAGGGAGTGGGCAGCGAGCGGAGGGCGGCAGACACTGGCTTTTGTGAGGTGAGAGATTACGGCGAGACTGAGAGAGCGGCAGAGAAACGGCGGCAATCGATAGTCGGCCAACGGCGCCCTATTGTCATTTGGGATGAGAATGAGCTGGAGCATCTCATCCCTGCTGCCGGATGCGGGCTCAGTTGCTTCGAATTAGTGGAGTACGTTTGGAAAGTGCGGATTTTTTTTTCCTTTTTTGAAACTTTTTCACAGTTTTTTTTTTGAAAATTTTGTTCTTTTTTGTTTTACTTTTTGAGTTTAAATTTTAGAGACTTGACTTTTTTTGAAAATATATCTTTGAAAAAAACGGATGGTGACTGAAACAAGTTATGTTTTTCTTTGCAAACACGGTTTCTATAGTGTTTACTAAAATATATTAATTTTTTTTTAGTTTTGAAATTTTTCAATGTGAGACTTGAGAAAAAAGAAACTCGACTCTTTCTCTCCATTTTTCCTAGACTTTTTGGATTAAAGATAGACAATCATGAACTTAAAAGCTCTTTGAGCTCTTCAAGAGCCCAAAAAGCCATATACTATTCAAAATTCAACATCTAATGAGCATCCCGCATATAAATAAGCTCATTTTGTCATTTTCCGTATTGAAACGCAATTTTAAAAGAAAAAAAGGCGACAAGAATAGTGAAAATTCATCTTTTGAGGCCCTATGCAAAAAATGAAGACAAAAAAATCTTTTAATTCAAATTTCAGAAGCTGTAGTCAAACCAATCCTTAAAAAATAAATTTCCCGTCAAAATATGTACTCGAAATCACTATGAAAATGAATAAATAATTTCAAAAATGGGAATTTCATATAATCCAACGTTAAAAGTATGAACTATCACAAAAATAATCACAAAATCGAGAATGAGAATATAGGGTTTAGCAAAAAAAAACAAACGACGTTGAAAACTCCCAAAAAATGACATTTTCCTCAATTTTCGGAGAGAATTGGTGCGAGTTAGCGTCGGTGTGTATGCGTCGAATACACCGACTAGTAAATGAATTTTGCAGGAGCCGTTTTTCGTCAACGAATTTCATTTCTTTTTGTTTTTGTTGCGAAACGAAAGAGTTTCTGGTTTATTATTTTATCAATAGTCAACTAATGGTATTTTTTCCGATTGGAAGAGAGAATATGGCGTAAAATTCCTCCTGATCTTATTTTTTGATAGTATTTATTACCGATGTGTGCTGAAAACAATGATTGTTGATCTGTGACGTCTATCCTTACATTTTGTGAACAGGAGTCGGGAATTTTTAGTTCGAAAAATTTTTCGAAACGAATTTAAGAAAAAATTTCTCTTGCTGCAAGTGCGCCGCACGCATGTGAGGATTCCTCGATCTTCAAAAAGATTTCATTTTTAGTCGATTCTTCTTTTTCTGTTTTTTTTTTCTTTTACTCTTTGTGTTCCAGAGTTCTCTTCATATTGAAAATATGACATAATCGATCGAGTTCCGTTAAAATCAATTTAATTTTCGGAAAATAAACACCTGTCGCACAGAGCTGTAGTGGATCTTCTATTTCCAGGAAACAAAAGACGTTTTTTTTTCAACCGAAACAAACTTTGGGCTTGTGCAGCTTTCTCGAAGCTCAAAATTGAGCTTTCCCATTATTCCTAACCTCTTTGGAGCAAAATTAATGTCCGAAAGAGCACGACCGGCTGCCAAAACAATCAATAATTAATGGAAAAGCTTCGAGTTTGATTGAACAGGCTAGCGCCTCGAAAATTAATAAACTATTCATTCAGGAAGGAAAAATGAGCAAATCACAAAAGGAAACCAGTTTAACATACGTTTCAAAGAAGAAACAAATTAATGGAGAATGAAAAGGAAAATAGTATACTAAGTCCTCAAATCTCAATTAATCGAATATAAAGGAATATATCAGAAAAAAAGTGATTGTGTATACCTGATATACCTTCAACTCGGTCGCACGTGGAATGGCTTGCCAGTTAAAGTGACTATAATTAAAATGAAGTATCCTCAAAAAAATTCTCAGAAATCCACTGAAAATCAAAAAAAACTGTATTTGATCAGAACTTTTTTTATAAATAAATATACCGGAAAAAAAGTAGAAACCCGTAAAATTGGACAAAATCAACAATTCATCAGAAAAACTTTGAAAATGTTCCTTTTTAAGGAAAACGAAAAAAATGATATCAAAATATCATCTTTTACTCAAGTTCTTGTCAATCCTGATAGGAAAAATCTTTCAGAAGAAAAAGAAAATGATAGGTTGAAAAATTAGAGACTTGTGAAATGAAAATATGGAGTTTTGTAAAAAGGAAAAAGAACAGAAAATGATGGATCAAAATGGATCAAAGGCCAAAAAATTTTCCTAGTACATACAAACCTCGTAGAATTCAATTATTCACATTTCAAAAAAGATCAAAATCAACAAAATGGTTTTTTAAAAGAAATCCTTGAAGGGTCAAAAATCAGAAAAAAATTTGAAGGCAATCGAAAGCAGAAAATAAGGCACCAAAACTGTAAGAGTTTGAAAGAAAATACTCGGTCAAATTATGTCAATTAGACACAAAAACTGAAAGTTTGACCGGTTCTTTCAGTGAAAACATTACAAAGAGGAAAATTTTGTTTACAGCCACAGAACATTTTAAAAATAAGTGAACATTTTAGCGCTTCTCTAAAATTTTCAAAAGATTCAGAAACTCTTCGGACTTCCTAATGACCTAGAAACTAGTCAGATTAAAGATTTTAATAATATATTCAACAAAAAAAGTTCAGAAACGAATCCCTTGATAAAATCAACCTTCCAGCTTTTTTTCAAGGAAAATTAGGGGTTAACTACTCAATCAACATGCAAGAAAAAACGATATTAAACAAATATTGAACCAGAACCAATCTGTACAAAAAAAAGTTGAAAAAAATCAACAAATCTTGAGCTTAATACTGGGGTTCGTCACAAGGTTGGGGTTCAGCCAAAGACGAACGAAAAGGAGCTGGAGGAGATCCAAGGCGTAGGCGCAGATCAAGGCCGAGGTCAGGCCGAAGGCGAGGCACGGAATCAGAACCAGAAGCACTGCCAGCGTGGATATTGCTGAATTTTTGGGATATTGGGAAAACATTGAAGTGAATCAATAACATAGGCAAAGTCGGAAAGGGTTGAAAGATGGTCCATAAAAGTTTCTTTTAAAGCGAGAAAGGTTTCTTTTTTGCTGCCTTTCCGCGCCGTTTCCTCGGCCCTTTTGCAACATTTTTGCTGCCTTTCCCTTTTCCCACCATTTCTTGAACCTTTGAAGTTCTAGGAAAATGGGAGGCTCGATAAAGAGACTATCTTTGCTGCCTTTTTTGAGCCTCTCCCTTTTAACGGCCATTATCTACCATTCTTCGCCCAAAGATTTCTAGATCGTTTTTTTCATTTTAAATGAAAAGTGTGCAATGTTGCGCGCGCGTGAAGTGGGCAGCGTGTTTTAAGCAAACCTACTTTTCTCAATTTTCAGAAAAATGGTGCGCTCTTCTTCATATTGAAAACTTGGCTCAAATATTTCAATTTTCTCAAGAAAGTAGTTCCTCAAAGTCTCAAAATTTTCAAACAAACACAAGAACCTCAAAAACCAACCCTGAGCGATGAAAGCGACGCCGAAATTGACAAGAAACGTGACGACCAGAATCGTCGCGGCGACACTCAGCGGCACGAGACAGAAAATCGCGGCGATTTGTGCAGTCGCCGGCGGGATTCGGCCGCAGAGCGACGTCGCAAATGACGTCAGCTGTCGCCGTCGCTGACTCCAGTCGCTCCCTTCGTTGTTGAAGCTTTTCAGAGTGGTGACGTCATCGAAGTCTTGCATATTTCTGAAAAAATTAAGTTAAACGAATCGCGGTCGGTCAGGAAATTCGAAAATGAACTCGAAAACGAAGCAGTGGAAACATAGCCATGGTGAAATTGCTGAATCAAAGAAATTTGAAATAGAAGAGAACCAAGAAGAACGAAACAGTGCCAATATAAGACGAGAGGAGGAAAAAAATGCGTCCAAAAAAGATAAGTAAAATCAACATTTTTGACCACACAAAATGTCATACTTTTCAAAATTATAGAAAAAAACGAGAATTTCTTCCAAAAAACACTCTCATTCTTTCATAACACGAAAATATGCTAGGGGGCTTAAATTTTAAAAAAATACGCCTTTGGAAAGAACCTAGTTCATCCATAGAACGCATGAATCACAAGAAAAACGACCATTTTGATTTTCGAAACCTGTTTCGTTAGCAATAATCGCGAAAATCTCAAAATTTCTTTTTCCTAATCAATCAATAAAACAAGTAACAAACAGAGAAGCTTCTGAAACAGAAAATATCGTTATCGATGAGAAAATGACGAAAAAGAGATCGAAATCAACAACTGTTTACTCTCACCAACACAGATAACGTATCAGAGTAAATAATCAATATTTTTTTTTCTTTGCTTCTCTATCTCTAACATGAGCCACAGAAGTATAGTTTACATTTTTTCCGAATATTGGTTTTACGTCTTCGTTCGTTCAATTAATTTTTTTTAAAGCACAAAAGTTTAAAAGTTTTCAAAAACTATCATAAAGAGGCTACATAAAAAAAGGAACGGCGGGATGCGTTTGAACTCGAATTTCCCGCCAAAAAGCCGCGTCGCGTACGCAACGCGTCACCCTTGCCAATCCACCCAAAGTCGTGGATGGTTGACTATGAAGAGTTCGACTTTTTAAAAGCCGAAAAAAAGGAAAGTTTTCCGCGTAAACTTGATGAAAAGAAAGATAAGAGAGGAAAAATCAACGTGTTGAGTCGAGACCGGAAGAAGGTTATTCCTATCAATTACCGCGGTTTTAACGGTATGGCCGATTCTTCAGTTAAGGTGGTGGACAGTCACAGACGGAATAATTGCTTCGAATCCTTCTTCGCGGTATACATTGAACTATTCCCTGGCCCTACTAAGCTTTTCCATCGATATATATCTCCGAAAAGTACCATCCTGCCTTCTTTTGAGACGAGTATAGTCTGTTCAGATTTTGAATGTCAACTGCAATGACGTCATTAAAAAACACTCTGTGGATGGCTCGCTCTCTGATTGGTTTATCGCACCATTAGGGGCGGAGCTTGAGCGACGACTTGACATTCAAAATCTGAACAGACTACAGCATAACTAATTTTTGAAATTGCCACTGAACTTCCAAACAAGTATGTTCATTTCTTGATTTATACTTCTTCAATTTTTCAGCAAAACGGAGTGGAAGAGTGGAAGAAGAAAAGAAGTGGAAGAAAAGCTTCAAAGACGTTCACTTTCCGACGCTCGCCTCAAATATTCTTCCCGACGTTCCATATGACCAATATTTGATAAATGTAATATTGCATTTGTTTGAAACATTTGAACTGCCTCGAACTGTGAAGCTTCTCAACAAGATTGGGCTTGATCGGATGAAGCTTTTCGTGCGGAATTTGGTTGTTTGCGAAGACAATAGTGTAAAAGTCGCTCTATGTTGAAAGAGAACCTCGTCTTTCGGATTGAGTCCTTATTGGAACAAGAAATACCGAAAATTGCTTATTTTTCTTTTCAAAGACCAAGAACAAGTTTCTTTTTAGCTGGAACTTCGTTTTTCATCCAAGAAAGTCTTCATCGGTTAAATCATCTTGAACGGCTAATTATTTCAAGACCTCATTTCTTATAAAATCTAACTAGGGGACGTTTTTTACTTCGCAGCTTCATAAATCGAAAACGAGATCTATTGCGTGAAGATTTTTACTTATTCTGAAGTAAGGAGTACCTAAAGTACACTTCAGTATCATTGAAAATTCAATCGGGGGCTCAAAAAAGCCAAATATGTAGATGTCATTTCCGATTCAACGGGAAGTTCTATTTTATAAGAGTAGATCAAAATGAGATATCATTATTCATTGTAAATATTCGTTTTTTTTTCAATTCGAACACCATAAAAAGACGTACTTTTCGCTTCTATATCCTTAAAATGAGCAACGGACTTGGATTAATGCTGACTTATAAGAGAGAATGGGAATAAGTAAGTTCATAACCACGTAAAAGAAAAAATAATTGATTGGAAGAGAGATCAGATTAGGCAAATCAACGTGTCGAGTTCAGTCTAGAAGAAGGTATTTACCGCTTTTCTTCTACCGGGAGTAGGATGGCCACTCAAACAAGAGGATCCGAATGTAAGGACTTTCATTATTTTTTGAAAGATGATATCTTATTGATGGCTTGAACCTTCTTCTAAGGATCAAGCCATCAATAAGTTTTTTCTTGGATAGCTGTCCTTGAAAAGAAGCCCTGAGATTTTAAAATTCTGTTAGAAGGAAAAACTTTCGTAGTTTCCTAGCACATAAAAGGGTTTATTAACAGTACCGTCGCTCAAGTGAACACTTGGAAAATACACTCAAGATAAAGCTTGAGTAGCCACTTAAGCATCATAGCCTTTTTGAAGGAGTATCGAAATTGTTTGCTCTTTTTGTAAGCGCAATTAAAGATGTCTTGCTTGAATTGAGACTGAAAAAGGGTCCTGCAGCGAATTTGATAATTACTGTATATTGAGGCCGACTCAAAGGTTGGGAAAAAAAAGAAGGTTCCATTAGGAACCATTCATTTACCTGTCTAGCCAGCCACGTCGTTCGCCCCCAAACCATCTATCCTCCTTTAATCTTTTTCATTTACTTTCAATCATCCATATTTATTTTTTTGATTTGATTTTAATGCTTTATCTTCATAATTTTTTTCGCGGAATATTTCTTATAAAGGTTTAATTACCCAAGTTTGAGGTTGAAAGGGACGTGCTGCGACCCACTCAACACTCATCCAAAGAAGACCCGCGTGGCAGGCTAGAAGTCGCCCACCAGGGAGCGGCAACGAAAAGAGTCAGTTTCTACATTTTTCTCGAACTCAAGAGAAATTCAGTAGGCATCCATTTTGACTCTTTTTATCATCCTACTCATCTAGCTACGACATAACCATTCATTCCCTTTTCACTGTATACTTTGTTCATCACCTGACTCAATATATATTTATTCCTTTTTTGCAGTAAGTCTGGACTCTCCTTTCTTGATGGGTCGGGACTCTTCTTCGAAACAGAAGCAAACACCGCCTACCCTCTAAATGGATCTCCCTCCATTTCCTTTCTTCAAGGATAATGAAAATGTTTTTCAATGTTATTCAATTTTCAACGTGTTGCGAGCGAATCTTCGGTGATTGTGGTTTTTTCTCGGAGTGACTTTAAAAATACACGCAATTTGCTATGAAAATTAAATTATGTCGATTTTTTGAGGCTTTCTAACAGGGCTGAGAAATTCGTGGTTTGAAAAAAAGCTGCATCACACCTTAAGCTTTTTGGTATGAACTCGATTTCCCTCATTTTTTTAAAAAAATAATTTGGAAGACTGGATAGTCGTTTTCGTGTGATTCTAATGATCTATACTGTGTCTTGAAAAAGAGACTCAGAAAGAATAAAAAAAATTTTAAACTGTGTTCTTCGAAAAAAAAAAAACTTCAAGCCGGTTTTTCGTGGCCATCCTGTTCGGTTCATTCATTTTCATTATAATTTTTTTTTCGAGAGCTACAATATTGACTTTTTTCCATAAAAGTTACCCGGAAGCTTATGACTTTTTGCTCAAAACGTTCAGATACAACAAGATGATAATGCTCCGAGAACGCCTCCCACGAAAGTCCAGTGAAAAGTAGTGGCCACTTCAGTAGTTTTTCATCCAGTCTACCGGTTGACTCCTAAAGTGACCACTAAAATTTGGTCTAGTAGTAGCACTCAGACTTCTATAGAGGCCACTAAACTCTAACCCCTTAAAGGCATAGGGGCAGTAAAAAACGGTGTTTTAGTTCAAAGCAGTAATTTATAGAGCTTTTTATTGCGAATCGAACAGTGAACTTAGAAACGTACAGAAGTTCCTAGTTTTGAAGAAAAAATTATTCAAAGTCAGAGGGAGGAAAGTTTGAGTTCCCGCCAAAAAGGGGGTTTTGCAGTAAAGTTGCTCTATGGACAACAGGCCCCACTACCTTCCGGATTTTCACTTTTTTCTTCGTTTCTTTCAATTTTCAATTTTTTCTGTTATCACCAAAGTTCTTTTCGTCACAAAAGCTTTCTATTCATGTATAATTTGCAAACTTTATGCGCAAAAATGCTTTTCTGGCGAAAAATGATGATTTTACACATGTTTCGTTTGGGATAGCGATTGTTTGTGTTTTCTTTATTATCGGTGTGTGTTTTCTGTTTGACTAAATGTTTTTTTCAGAGAATAAACCCTTAATTTGAAGCAGATAGCCGGTTATTTCACTCAAAATGCGAGTCTAATGAGACGTCCGCAACATCGCGTGAACGGCTACTGTAAACAGTTGTCTGCATACCGATCCAAAGCTTTTTTCAAAAATAAAGGCGGGAAAGTAAAATCGCGTTTTTCTTCAAAATTAGTCACATCTGTAATTTTTTTGAGTGCGCCATTCGATTCGCAATGAAAAACTATATAAGATACTGCTTTCACCTGAAACCCTGTTTTTTACTGCCCCTATGCCTTTAAGTGGCCACTGATTTGACTACTATAATGGGTCCTAAAGCGTCAAAACCCTATAGTGGCCGCTAGAACTTTTCCCAGGCATTTGAACCACTTTCTCATTGCAAAAATAATATACTTGAATAGAAGTTTCTGGACCTTTTGAGATCAAAAAAAAAGGGAAATATCTGATCCGAAACTTATAACAGGAAGATTCGCTCGAAGGAAGTTGGAAATGAAAATGAAACCAGGAAGTAAAATTTGAATTTATTTTAAAATAAAAATCGATGATATGGACAAGCGGACTTCAATCGTTGTGCTCGGTGTTGTAAGCCCCTTTTTTGAGTAGAGCGCCTTTCCAAAAAACTGAAAAAGAGGGAAGATTTTGATAATCAAGCCAGAAAGTTGATGAAGTCAAAATTTTCAATTCCAGTTCGGGTTGCAATAAATATTAGTACGGAAACTGGTTTCAATTCAATTTTGCTATTTTATTAGACAATTTATACCTCAAGTATAATCGCCATGCTCCCAGGACATTGTGATTTTTCGCCTGAGTGTTTGAATCGTTTGTATCTGGAAACATTGACTTTTATAATCAATCAAAACAGACTTATTTTCAAAAAATTCGAACCCTTCCATACTAGACTTGTTCCTCTATCTTTTACCTTAACTCAGAATTTCTGTCTATGGAAAACTTATTGCTTAAGAAGCTACTTGAGAGAAGAGCTGAGTGAATTTTGAAGAAATATCCATTTGAAGCCTAAAAATGAAACTCTATTTCGCCACCGTGTGATTTCAAAACACCATGAGGTATATACATAATAGACTATATTTCCAAGTGGTCACTAAAGGGGTAGCTCAAGGATCTCTTCACTAAAACTTGTCAAGTGGTCACTTGAGAAGTGGCACTGTTGCTAAAGCTCCCGAATTTTCGTCTGACTTTCAAATTTTACAAGATTTTCTAAATTTGATAAAGGGGATAAAAAATCCAGGCCAATTATCTAGAGCTCATCCAGGCCTTTGAATTTACTATTATGATTACAGTTTATACCTTATCTCCGAAATTCTTCGCCTCCTTCTTTTTTCCTCCCAGCCATCCACCGGTCGTCTTCCTCCCAGCAAGCGGAAGATATAAAATACCTTCATATGGTCTGAAGTCGACACGTTGATTTTTCTAATCTCATCACTTTTCCGATCAAGTTTATCTTTGACGTGGTAAATGAATATTTTCAGGCTTTTTTTTTCCTTCAGAGTCCAAATAAAGAGGTTTTTTTCTTGATGTATTCATTTTTGAACCCATGTGGCTCACTTTAAAAATAATGGAAAAAAGAAGGTTTTCATACAGATCTGTTAGTATGGAGAGATGGCTATTGAAGCGATGCAGTTTTTTGAAATTGAATAAATTAACCTAGCTTTGAACTTTGGATTTTTCGATATCGAAAGATAAATATATATATAATCACCTCTCATAATTATTTCAAAACTTCATTCTTACATTAGAATCACAATCCCGCATTCACTTTTTCTAACTTAGTGTCAAGCCATGCTGAGCTCTTCTAATTGGTCTTTTTTTTTTCGATAACGTAGCAGAGTGAAAATCGCATTTTATTCATTTTCTTCCATGTTATGAAAATGTGTTAAAGATATTTGAAAAACTTCCTGAAAGACCTTCATTTTGAGCGATAAGAACCGAAATAACTTAAAACATGAGGAAATAAATGACTTAACGCGTTGAAAAATAAACTTGATTGAGGAGAGAGATAAGATCATAGAAATCAACGTGATGACTTCCGACCATAGGAAGGTATTTTATAAGCTTCCCGGTAAGAAGAGGACTCGCTCCCCGGACCCCGTCGGAAGAGCCATGGACCCGCTGGAGCCAGGAGGTATAAATCCCCCTTTCTTTTACAAATCTACACGGGCGCAGTCTCTTTTGACAAACTGATAGATTTGTAATCGATTAAAAATGAATCAAAAAGCGCTAATCAACTCTTTTCCTACGACCTTTGGCCTGAGTCAGTGGAAAATAAGTATTACTGAACGTAGTAAGCCCTCCTAGCTCTACGGCAAAAGTTTACTTAGAAAGACTTTTTCTCAAAACGCAAATTTCAGAACGAAGACGGAAGAAAAATGGCAAAACCTTTTTTAAGGTATCGCCACCGTCCACCAAAATAGGTGAGTTACACCTTCACCTAGACCAAAATAACAACTTTTTTTCAGGAGTAAATGAACGATCTATATCCTACCCAAGAGGAAACGACCCGAAGAGAAGCCTCATTCCGCACACCTTCAGGACCCTGTCGCCCCGATTTTTTTGTAATAAATTTAAATGATTAAAGCCTTGTTATATTTTTTCGAAAAAAATATTTTTTTCCTCGGAGCACTAGGGTGGGAAAAGGAGGACTTAGGAAAAATTAAGAGTGACCCTGGAACTCTTCTTATGAATTTTGGCTTCCTGCTTTGAGACTTTTTTTTTATTACTGGGACACTATTATATTGCTGAGAACTCAGCACTCGGAAAAAAAAAAGAAAACTGACATATGGAACGGTGCTTTTTTCACTGATACTGGTTTCACGTTCGTCCAACTTGTCCAAACTCTTCTCGATAATTTTCGGAAGTTATTCGACTCGATTAGAACTTCTTCTTCTTCTCTGTCGTATTCATCCGACTTCTTGTGGCCTTCGATCAATCTTAGCGTTTCTTCGGAAGACACTGTGTCACGTTGAACCTGAAATTATAAAGCTATTCCAAACATTTTCGACAAAAAATATATCAAGTCACAATAGTCGTCATCTCAATCGTTAAATCTTTCTCCAAAAGTTGATCATCATGTTCAATAGTCGCTTTTCAACCGGTCAAGAGCTTTAAGACTGAAATTTCAATAAAATACATATTCATTCTTGTATTTAGAGGCCTTTGGGAACTGAAACAGGGCTACCGTAATACGACCGGCCACCTTGAACAGGCGCATACGTATGCTAATGGGTGATCGTTTGTACCAGGTTCTATCTCTATGCTACCTGGATAGTACCGGAGCGGTATCGCGATGCTACCGGGTAGATTTCCTGACGAGCGTATGCTTTCCGGCTCCATGAAAATAGCTAATAAGTTGCGACCCGGTACCTACTTGCATCGACCTCCCGATTCACCTTTGTTCTTTCAACTACAAAGAATCGACAAGACGAACTTCAGAAGGACAGCATTCTAAGAGATTAAAGAAATAGCAGAATTTGTAACAAAGCAGATGCCCACGTTCAAACAGTCCCAGGCGAAATTTGAAATATGAAGATGGGACTTGAACCATCAAAAAAAGAAAAAAAGACCCACAAATCAATTATTAAACTTTATTAAAAAAATAATTTTTAAAAAAATGGCGATAAAATCAGACTGGCAGCTCCTGCTCGTTTTTTTCGATTCTTCCTCTTTCTGAAAAATGAAAAGAAAAGGGTTTGAAAAAAAAACGGATGAATAAAATTCAAAAAATACCTTACGCGGGAACCGTTGATGACATAATGGGTTTTTCCGCCAAAACGACGGCGACGCTGAAAGTTCTTTTTTTAAAGGTAAAAACAGTTGGAATAAATAAAAAAACTAATATCGAGAATAGATAGCCAAAAAGATTCAAAGTCAACTACGGAGGCTTTGAAAATTTTTAAAATTAATTCAGGATGAATGCTCAAAGTTATAGTTAAGTTTCTATTGTCTAGAGCAAAGTTGACTGTGAAACTTGTTCAACTCACATGGAGTTTGACAGGGGAGACGTTTGCTTGAGGCGCGCTTATCCTTCCGATTTGTTATTCCAGGATACATGGGCCAAGTTGCATTCATTTTATCATAGGAGCCAGCGTTTTCTCTCACGTTTTCCACCATTCTGATCTCCACATGGTTGGCGTTTGCGTTAATGAGCGCCCAAACTGAAATCGAAACCAAAATAACTTTTTCTCTCACAGCATCTTTATACCTTTTTCATGCCCATGAAAGTAATTCTTCAGCTTTTGCATGACCAAAGAAAAAACTGAGAACGTATCTCCTGAAATATTTCTTCTTCACATTCACATTTAAGGTACCACACGGTTTTCTTCTCACAGACACAAATTTTCGATACAACTTAAGATAATTAGCAGAAAAAAGACCATAGAACCTGGTCACAAGGATTCGTATCAAATTTTTACTATCGTAGTTTGAGCTGAAACCTGTGTCTGATAAGATTCGTCAGAATTGAAAAGCGCAACCCTAACACGTCTACCAACCCTTTCAAAGAGTTTCTCGACTCGCTCAGCAACGGAAAGTCGTTTGTTTAATTTGAAATGAGAACGCTAGTTTGTTGTCACTTAAACGCATATTTTTGAAAGGAAACTGCGCCTAGTTGAATCTTGGAAAACTTTAGCTTGGACTTCGGTGACGGAAACCGGACATGCTCCGGACGTTTCTGGGCATTTTTTGGGATCACTTAAGAGCGCTGAGGCTACTAAAGTGGTCACTAGAAATGCCTTGACACGTCTGATCCGCGTCCGTTTCGCGATAACAATGTCCGAGAGAGGTGACATCAAAGGCTTGCCTTTTTTTGAACAAAAAAACAATGAATGCTTTTTTTCAACTTCATTTTTTACAGACAATCTTTCCTCAGTTTGGCTCAGCTAAATAAAGCGTCAAAGTTTTTGTATTCTTTGGTGATCCTCCAAATCTAAAGGACATATCTAGTTAAAGTACCTATAAAAACGCAGAGTCGAAATCCTCACCGATTCTCGGCGAGAGCGGCTATACGCGACGCAGGTTCTATAAAAACTGACTTCCATTGGAACGTCGATCACGTAGTTTTTTAGACGTTTTTTTCATTTTATTTTCATTTTTTTTCGTTGAGTTCAACCCAAAGTTTGATGCAACGTATTTTTCGGCTTCATATTGAGATAAACTTTTTAAATTTTCATTTTGGCTTCTCATTATTCAATCACTGGTGAATCGGGAGGTCGATACAAGTAGGTACCGGGTAGCAACTCAAGTCAATTGGCGAATGGTAATCGGTGGTCATTTGTATGCGACCGGGTACTATCTCTATGGTACCTGGATAGTAACTGGTCGGTATCTGGATGCTACCGGGTACCTGCCTAGAGAACGGCCTCCGAGATCAGCTTCACCGCCTATTTATTCCGAGCTCGTCAAAAAAAACTTCTAGTTCACCAAAGGCAGCTGATCGATAGAACTCAAAAGTTGTTGCTCAAAGTCGATGAAATGTTTGACTGAAACAACGAAAGAAAGGATATATATTAATTGAAAAAAAATCAAGAAAATTCTGAAAACCTGAAAAAGTCATGCAGAGATCAGGGCACTTAACACCATCTGTGCCGAAGTAAATTCTAACCTCGGTGGTCCCCAAAAGAAATTACAGATCAAATGATGCCAAATTTGGACCAAAATCAAACAAAATAAAAAGAAATTTTGGAAAGAATGATCTGAAAATAAGTCTCTGACTAATTATGACAAAGCTTGAAACCGATCGAGAAAAATTATATGGATCCGGTCGGAAACGAGAAGATCGAAAGAAAGGTTCTATCTGAAAGAATGGAAGTCCTATTCGGAAAAGCATAGGCATTAACATCGACGGCAAGATCTTAACAAATCTTCGCTTCTCCGACGGCATCGTCCTCTTCGCCAACAGCACCTCCGACCTGTCAACCATGCTCAACGATCTAGACGCCGTCGGAAAGAAGATCGGATTTCAGATGAACGAGAAGAAACCGCAGTGGTTGAGGAACCGCTTCTGCGACCAAGGTAACGTCACCCTCGAAGGACGAGACCTGCTTGAAGTCAACTCCTACGTATATCTAGGCCGAGAAGTCAACATGACGAACGATCTGAAACCAGAGATAGCAAGACGCCGACGAGCTGGATGGGCCGCGTTTAACTCCATAAAAGAAGTTACCAACCAGCTGAAAGACCCAAAACTGCGAGCGCACATCTTCGAAGCATCCGTCATCCCCGCCATCTCCTACGCGACTGAAGTTTGGCCTGACACGAAGAACACCACGACCGCCCTACGAACATCTTACCGCGCATTGGAACGTGCGCTCCTCGGTACCACTCGCTTCGAACAGTGGAAAAAAGAACAGACGACCTCCGTCAGCGGTCCCAAATCCGGGATCTAGAAGAGCACATTCAACGCGGGAAACATCGTTGGGGCGGCCAAGTCATCCGCAGACAAGACGACCGCTGGTCCGTCGCGCAAGACCAAGCCGCCTGGAGAACGTGTGGTCCACGCTGAGAACATCGCCAGCGAAATTGGACCATCAAAGTAAGTAAAGTATCAAGTAAGTATTGAATTGCTGAGAACTCAGCACTCGGAAAAGAAGAAAACTGAAATATGGAACGTCGCTTTTTTCTTTGATTCTGGTGTCACGTCCGTCCAATTCGTCCAAACTCTTCTCGACGATTTCCGGAAAGTTCTTCGACTTGATTTGAACTTCTTCTTCTCTGTCGAATTCGTCCGATTTCTCCTGGTCTTCGATTAATCTTAGCGTTTCTTCGGATTTTTTCGGAAGGTAGTTTCAAAATGTTACAAGAAAAAAACTATTCCATAAAAATAAATTGAATGTCGCGTTCAAAACTCCATAAAAGGACCATGCTTCTAAACTGTGAAATATTCCGTTACGCTTATCGAATTAGCTTTTTTGAACGTGGCATTATATAGTAGCTCTGAAAATTGGTAATACTTTTCAGCGCCGAGATCAAAAAATTAAGTTGAATAGTTAGTCGCAAAGCGCAGGAGCAAGTCTCTTCGCTTCGAGGTACAACTATTCGATGTTGCTTCTTGCGATATAACGACTCTAATGCGGGTCAGTAGCACCAGTTGGGCTAATACGTCATAATTTTGCGAAACGGGTGCTACTTTTACGAGTTTGTCCTTCATTTTGAGCGATAAGAACCGACTTAAAACATGAGGAAATAAATGACTGGAAAAAATAAACTTGATTGAGGAGAGAGATAAGATCATAGAAATCAACGTGATGACTTCCGACCATAGGAAGGTATTTTATAAGCTTCCCGGTAAGAAGAGGACTCGCTCCCCGGACCCCGTCGGAAGAGCCATGGACCCGCTGGAGCCAGGAGGTATAAATCCCCCTTTCTTTTACAAATCTACACGGGCGCAGTCTCTTTTTGACAAACTGATAGATTTGTAATCGATTAAAAAAATGAATCAAAAAAAGCGCTAATCAACTCTTTTCCTACGACCTTTGGCCTGAGTCAGTGGAAAATAAGTATTACTGAACGTAGTAAGCCCTCCTAGCTCTACGGCAAAAGTTTACTTAGAAAGACTTTTTCTCAAAACGCAAATTTCAGAACGAAGACGGAAGAAAAATGGCAAAACCTTTTTTAAGGTATCGCCACCGTCCACCAAAATAGGTGAGTTACACCTTCACCTAGACCAAAATAACAACTTTTTTTCAGGAGTAAATGAACGATCTATATCCTACCCAAGAGGAAACGACCCGAAGAGAAGCCTCATTCCGCACACCTTCAGGACCCTGTCGCCCCGATTTTTTTTTTGTAATAAATTTAAATGATTAAAGCCTTGTTATATTTTTTTCGAAAAAAAAAATATTTTTCCTCGGAGCACTAGGGTGGGAAAGGAGGACTTAGGAAAATTAAGAGTGACCCTGGAACTCTTCTTATGAATTTTGGCTTCCTGCTTTGAGACTTTTTTTTTATTACTGGGACACTATTATATTGCTGAGAACTCAGCACTCGGAAAAAAAAAAGAAAACTGACATATGGAACGGTGCTTTTTTCACTGATACTGGTTTCACGTTCGTCCAACTTGTCCAAACTCTTCTCGACGATTTTCGGAAGTTCTTCGACTCAATTAGAACTTCTTCTTCTTCTCTGTCGTATTCATCCGACTTCTTCTGGCCTTCGATCAATCTTAGCGTTTCTTCGGAAGACACTGTGTCACGTTGAACCTGAAATTATAAAGCTATTCCAAACATTTTCGACAAAAAATATATCAAGTCACAATAGTCGTCATCTCAACCGTTAAATCTTCCTCCAAAAGTTGATCATCATGTTCAATAGTCGCTTTTCAACCGGTCAAGAGCTTTAAGACTGAAATTTCAATAAAATACATATTCATTCTCGTCTTTAATGACGTTTGGCAACTGAAATAGGACTTTCAGAATATTAATATCGTATTTTTAGAGCTTTTCGTCGCAATACTGAATTGAAACTGCTCAAAACTCTTTCTTAAACAAGGAAATCTCAATTCCTAGATTGCCAGAGGCCGCATACTTTTTATTTTCATATCCTAGCAGTGGGATAATTTTCTCATTCTTATCTCTGTCTCAAAAATGGGCTAAAAAGAAAGAAAGTATTATTAAGAACCTAAATTTGGACTAATTAGAAGCAAAATAAAGAAAAGAAATTGATGACTTGACGCGTGAAAAATAAACTTGATTGAGTAGAGAGAGATAAGATCAGAGAAATCAACGTGACGACTTCCGACCATAGGAAGGTATTTTATATCCTGCTCTCGAGGAAAGAGGTCAACTCTCGAGTGCGCCGGAAGACCCATGGAGCCGCCGGAGCTAGAAGGTATAAATTCCCCTTTCCTTTTGCTCGGACCGTGGTAACGCGAACGGGACGGGAATCGGACGTGTCGGGGTATTTCTAGTGACCACTTTAGTGGCCGCAGCACTCTGAAGTGCCCTAAAATCACTCAGAAACGTCCGGAGCACGTCCGTTTCGCGTTACCAATGTCCGAGTTGGAGTCTACAAGGGCTCAGACCCTTCATGAGATTCTTCATCAAAATTTTCCTTCCAAAAGTAGTACTTTTTTCCCAGAGAATTCAGAAGTGATGTAATTATTTTCCTAATTACAAATGTCAACTGTTGAGAAAAGATCCTTGATATACTCCTATAAAGGCCCTTTCAGTTTAACTCTTTACATTCAAATTAATTTTCGAAGCGCAGTTACCAAACCGAAAGCAAATAATAGTATGTTCAATCCTTGAAATTTATGGTTTTCGAAGCCGGACGTGGAGTAGACACTTAAGGAGTTGAGTTCGTACTATTTAATCAACTAATTGAGTAATTGGAAGTCTGTACAGCTCATTTTTAGCTTCTTAAAATATGGAAAAAATACTTCAAGCGAAGCTATCGAAAATAAACCAAACAAATTGATTAAAATGTGACCTTTCTCTATAATGCCGTGTTCAATTTGATTCAGCGAAACGCAAAATGATCTCTGACTCTCCAAAATTTAGTGATCTTTTCCTTTCTCTAACGGGTATTGCATTTCGCGGAATCAAATTGAACACGGCATAAGTTCTTGTTCAATGTATATTAATTAATGGTTTACAGCGCGGTCCTACGATCTGCCACGAAAGAGGCTTGAAAGCAGAGTCAAGCGATTTTGCAAGTAAGCGATTGAAAAAAAATCACTTCAAAAATCTATATTTTCAGGCAATCAACAAAACTAAAACGAGTTCGCGCGGCGCCACACTTCTTCTTTTTATAGGTATCATCCAAAAATGTATATTTCAATCTGATAGTAAAACAGAAAAATACCGTATTTTCACTAACTTGGGCGGCTACTTCGCGTTTTTGTTGAAAAAAAACAGTCAAACCTTTTAAAGCTTGATCATAATCTGTTCCTTGCTTGCTTATTCAAAAAAACATAGCTTCTTTTTTTCATAGACCTCTTTGATTTCAAATGTAAAAAAATGGGTCTTGCAGAAATATTGAAAGACGCTTGAAACATTATTTAATTCAAAACTCAATACAAATTTTTCAGAAGGTTGAAAAAAATATGCCTAACGAAAGGCCAGGCTGCTACCCCTCCACGAAAGCGTCCCTTACTTCTCCCATTTATTTAATTTAATAAAATTTTTTTCGTATAAAATTCGCCTACTGGTTCCGTGTTCATATTTCGTCTTTCGAGCGATACACCAGCAATTGGGATTTTTCTGAAGTTACTCTTCTAGAGTATTGAGTTGAGGATGAAGATACAGAGAGCCTGTTTGCAATACTGCTTGTCGGAAATGTCACTCGAACTTGGAAGAAAAAGATGGCTCTCTGATTGAAGTATTTCTTTGATGGAGGATCGAACTGAAGGCGGCGAAGCCTATTATTCTGTTTTTTTTTTGAAAAATTTTTTTCCAAGAGTGATTCAATCGTTGTCCTGTTCCAGCAAGCGAGCCTGTCTTGTTTCGACCAACTTTAACCAGTTTGAGGAAAAATTCTATGCGGCGGGATATCTTCTATATCAAGCTGATTCTAGATTGTTCTGTATGCTTCTAGTCTCATCACGTCGTAAAGATCAGGTTTCCCCTCTAAAAAAGTTCCAAAATTTTTCAAATGTTCTATAACTTTCCAGAAGCGTTTTTTCTTTAATTATTTATTTAACTCCAGCGGTTCGAGTTCAACCTCCATAAGAAATATCCAACAAAAACTCGCCTGCCTCTCTCCAAAACCGCAAAATCACCATATAGATTCTTGGAAATACTTATTTTTCAGACGTCCCTCACAAAAAAAAATCGGAAAATCGGTGAAAGTTTATGAAATTCACTTATTAGACCGTGAGGAAGATGAAAAGGACTGAAAAAGTGATAAAAAAGAATATCATCCTTCTCTTCGTGAAAGGAAAACTTGAGATGAACTTTTGAGATAAGACAAGAAAGGTTAACGCGACGATTCCAGCCCCTAGAAGATTATTCTTAGCAACTCTTCCCATGGGGAGAGCTCTGACTTCCGCTCGACATTCTCGCCAGGAGAGCGCCACACGCCGAGGAAGCCGCCGGAACGCAAAGGTATAAACCCAATCTTCATAGTGAATCTTTAGGCGCAGGCCCTAACTGAGCTTTCATATCGAAATTGATTCTTGCAAGATTATCATATCTTCGACTGGAGCTAGAAGTTCTCAAATAGTCAAGAACACTCAAGTATTTTCTATAGAAATGACACAAGACCAAGGTCGGGCTCAATTAAAAAAATTGATAGTTCTCGTGTCAAAGAAATGCTAGTTTGAAAAATATATATTTCGGAATGAAGCTTCAGGTATAAGACTATCAGGAAGATTCCTTAAAAGTAAATTAAGCGAGCTTATAGAAGATTCCTAATTCTGACTAGGGAACTACTCGGACTCGGGTACGCGTTTCGAGTTGAAACTTTGGTGGCTTATAGACCCGGGTAAGAGTACTTGGGAACGAGAGAGATTATCTAGACCCTTTAGGATTCTGAGAAAAAGCTTTTTGAAAATGAACAGTTTAGACTTGAAAATTATCGAATTTTTGCCTTTCTCCTTCTTTTGGGTGGAAAAAAAAAAGTTTTTTAGAGTTTATCATAGCCGGATCACTCAAGGCAATTGTATTAAAATATAAAATTGCAGTATTTTGAAAATTATCAGGCCTGATTTTCACATTTTCTACTATTTTTTTCTCAGTTCTCCATCGGGGTTAGCAGCTATTCTCTCTTGTTTTCAAGTACTCGTACTAGATCTTTAAACCACTAAAGTTTGAACTCGATCCGCGATCACGAGTTCGCGTAGTTCCCTAGTGAGAGAAAATTTGTGGCGTCCAACAATTTTTTGTATTAAACATGAACGTTCAGAGAATTGCGAGACTTCGTTCATTGATGGAAAAAATGGATGATATTCGAAAGGAGAAAGCAGGAAGACGAACAAGGTTTTTTCTAATTGAATCAATTCAATCTAAAGCGAATTTTTCAGGGAACCGAATTCCTCGACGAAACACCCAGGAGGTAAAAGAAATACTGTTTGCATTCTTGATCCTATTAAATATACGGACTTTAGAACTGACAATAAATAGGCTTACCAGGGAACGTTTTTTACCCCCCGGCTAAACTTTTGCTGAAACTTTGCTAAAGTGTACTTTAGGACCCTCTGATTGCAGATCAAGAAAAAAAATTTCTCGCAATAGATCTTGTTTCCGAGTTATGGAGCTTCAAAGTGTGCGAAATACGCAAATTAAGCCAAAAAAGCGCTATTTCGGGCTTTTGAAGTGTCCTAACTCGAAAACGAGGACTATTGCGAGAAATTTTCTTTCTGTTCTGGAATTCAGGGGGTCCTAAAGTACACTTCAGCAAAGTTTCAGCAAAAGTTCAACCGGGGGGTAAAAAACGTTCCCTAGTTAGTAAAACTAACGAATAACTTTCAGCGAACAGAAAAAGCGCCAATGAAAAGAAGAACCCAACCAATGATTCGCCGATTCGAAACCGCCCGGTCAGTTTCAGTTTTTTCCAGGACCAGTATGAAGACTTGTTTTCAGGATATCGTCTACACTGACCACATTCAGTTCGTCTTCCACTCCATCTACAATTATTATTTTTTATCATAAAAACTAAATTAAAACATCGTTACATACTTCTTTGAAAAATGATATTTTCCTAGGAATATGTCCACAGAAATATATTTGGAAGAAGATTGCGAAAATCTCTGTCTACTCTTCTTATGAATTTGTACGTTTTTCCCTTTTCGGGAAACTATAGTTGCTTTGAACTCAGCACTCGGGAAAAAAAATAATAAAACTGACATATGGAACGTCGCTTTTTTCTCTGATACTAGTGTCACGTCCTTTAAATTCATCCGAACTCTTCTCGACGATTTTCGGAAGTTCTTGGAATCGATTTGAACTTCTCCTTGTCCTTCTTCCCTGCCGAATTCATCCGATTTCGTCTGGTCTTCGATTGATTTTAGCGTTTCTTCGGAAGCTCGTAGACACTGTCACGTTGGATCGGAAATTATAAAGCTATTCCAAATATTTCTGGCGAAAAATATATCGTTTATTTAACGATTCGGGTGATTCCCTGGACCTAAACGGGGCTCGTCGCGTAAAATGGGCGTTTGCGTGGATACGCTGGACTTAAAACATCCGCGGGTGCTACTGACCAAATTGATAGTTGTTACGAACTTGAAAAAAATTCCATAACTTCTCCATAAACAAGAAATCTGTGAAAGAGTTACACTGACACTTTTCTGAGGATACCAAAAGTTATCTCAGCGTCTTTTACAGATAAATGCACAGAACCAGTGAAAATATATACTCGCGTTGAATTTACATTTTTCGATAAAAAGAGAAAAAAGACGGGAAGTATATAAAATGATATTTATTTCATCGGGCGGAAAAAAAATCAAAAAAAAGAAGGCAAAGAACTAGTCAAAATATTCACGTTGAATTTATAGAACTTTCGAGAAAAAGAGAAGAATGGACAGGAAGAACATAAACCGAAATTGATGGCATCGAGAAGAGAAAAAAAAAAGAGTAAACGGATAATGCGCAAGAAGTATCAGTGGGTCGATCACCAGCCTTTTTTGGTCTTCCTCATATTGACGTAGTCGTCACGTATATCACGCATGAAATGAGGAACGGTCTGTAAACGGATGAATGTAAGTCGGCTTTTAAACTATGAAGCCGACCTGTTCGGCGTCCAGGAGGAGTTGTCGCAAGGCGGGCAGGATCGGGCGGTCTTCGTCCGTCACGAAAGACGTCGATCGTCCCGCGTTGCCGACGCGTCCAGTCCTGAAAGATGCGAATCATGGCGATTTATCAAAGAAATCGAGATTTAGAAAGTTTTCGAAACCCTTCATTCAGGAAATTGCTGTTTTGAATTTCTGAAGAACTTCTGAACCTTCCTATGCGATGAACGTAGTCGTCGACACTCAGGGGGAGATCATAGTTGATCACATGATCAACCCCCTTAATGTCTAGGCCCCGCTCAGCGACAGCCGTGGCGATCAGGACCTAAACAAGAAAAAAAAATTAGGATAGAAAAAGATGGAATGAGTTTCTACCGGCTTGGCACCGCTGCGAAACTGGAGCATAGCGTCTGCACGTTGCTCTTGGAATCGATCGGAGTGAATCTAGAATTCAAGCTCACATTTATCAAAATGAAAATATTTCCTTACTGTAACCGATGGGATTTCGCACTGGGAAAGGATGCCGCCCAGCGTGTCTACTAGCTTTTTCTGGTTGACAAAGACTATTGTTTTCTTCTTATAAACGTCGCACTCTGAGAAATCGGTTTTCTTGCAAAGTGACTACAAGTTCCACAAACCACGACTCGCCGTGTAATTATGGAGGTCCACGCCTAACAGTTGCAAGAGTTCCTCTTTTTTCTCGCCGCGGGTGCAACATATGAAGTCCTGTTATTAGGTATATCGATTGGAATGTTTTGAAGATTTTGAAATCTCAAATGTCTCAAAACTTGGAAACTTGAAGAGTATTTTCAGCACTCAACTCCGAAAATTCGTTTTTTCTAGGAATATCAATGAAAAGGTTATTACGAGTTTGCGCCTCAAGCGAGAACTTAGACGCAGACTTTTTCTACACCCTTCTAGGCTAAGGCTCTATTGAAAAAAAAAGAACGTGGAGGTAATTTTTTTTTCTAAATTTCAATTGTCCATTTTTACCTGACGAACGCATTTATTGGCCGCGCCAATTTTGTCAATCGCAATCAGTGTGAAATTTGTGTTCAGGAATTCTTTAGCTGTTTTCTGGAGTGCACAAGAGAACGTAGAACTGAAAGAAAGTTGTTCCAAGGGAATCGTGTTCTACTCTTAAACCTGCTCATGATTATCTGCCTATTGTTTTTTGATGGCATCGAAGGGAGATCCATAAGCGCGAATTTCCTCTCCAAACCCTATCCCGTCGATCATGCAGTCCGCCTCATCGATGACGATGTACCTTATCTGAGTCGGGCCGGTTAATTGCAATTTCGGGAATTTCTAACTTTGTCTACTTGGACGATGTTGTCGCTGATAAAATGTAATAGTCGTCCGACAGTTGCGACGATGACAGTGGCACCCTGAAGGAAGTTTTGTGCTATTTGTTGGATAATTTGAACAAAACCTGGTACAAAGAGTGTTTTGAGTTTTCAACTTGCGTCCCGCCGTATGCCGGCTTTATTGAGAGGGCGGTGTTTCTGGCGTACCTGCGGCCTTCGTTAAAAATTTGATCGGCGAGCTCACGAGTTGGGGTGAGAACAAAACACCTGAAAGCAACATTTTCTAATTGAAATATACAATTTGACTTCATACCGAGGATAGCATCCTCCTTCGACCGGGGAGTTGAGATCATTTCTTCGAATGAGATCACTCATAATGGCCACGAGAAATGCCGCTGAAAATCACTTTGTACGAGGAAGATGCCGCGTTCAGAACTATATTTTTCCCTTCATTTTTCACGCATGTTGAGATAGAGCTACGACGGCCGGTCAATATTGCGCAGTCAGTTTCGGAGCCAGGAAGATTTTTTAAATTTTCTTTCTTTTTTGCAATTTGTTAAGGACCTATTTCTCGAGGTTACAAGGTAAATTACGTCAAAAAAAGTACACAAGATTTCGTTTTATTATACGTAATACGACCGGCCACCTTAAACAGGCGTGTTTTTGCTTCGAAAATGTTTGCTTGAGAGAAAAGTTTTCTGAAGGAATTCTGGAAAACTTAAATTCCTACTCTTTTCCTAAGAAACTGCTCGATTACTCACCGGTTTTTCCAGACCCAGTCTGCGCACACGCAATCAGATCGTTTTCTGAAATCAGCAATCATTTCCGCAAATATCAAACTTAACGGACGAAGAGCGATGAGTGGCATGACATGTTCTTGAACAGGGGTGGTCCTCGTGTAGCCGGCGTGGATGACGTTCTGCAGGACTTGCCGTGGAAGGTTGGCATCATCAAAGGACCTGCAAAATATAGAAATCGGATAGTTCACTTCAAGCTCGAATCTTACCTGACCGGTTTGTAGACCACTGGGGGAGTCACAACGACCTCGGCATTAAACAATTTATAAAACATGACCCCCGGGTCGACTTTTATCTTATACAACGCGTCCAGGGTGTCTTGTTGCGGTATAAATGTTGATGCGAGACATTTTTCTGGAAGAGTGAATAAAAATGACTGTAATAACTCCGTTCCAACTACGGTCTTGTTCCTTGGGCGGAAGAGGGCACGCCGAGGCTCGATGTCCCTGCCCGTGACAATTAAAACATCTAACTGAAATGAATCATCCAAAATTCTCTTTCTTGTTGGATGAGAGTTCGAAAGTTCTAAATGGCGGATTGCCAATTGGAAGTTTTTCACAGTGGAAATTAAAGCTGAAAATTATTTGGTTGCAAGAAACCGCTCGAAAAAAACTTTTTATACTCGGATCCTGAACGCAAGATAAAAAAAATCTTATTTTTTTGATTTTTTTAAATTTTTGGGTTCGATTAGATGGTATGAAAAAGAGCAAGGAAAATTCGATCGACGACTTTTTCCGATTTTTTTCATGTCGCTAGGGAACTTTTCGACGAAACTTTTTCGTCTTTTTTTTTCTCGATAAACTCTTCGTTTTAAATCTTCCTATATAATGTAGGCAAGTTATTCATGTTTAAAACACAACTATATAGAAAAAAAATGTTAAAATTTTTTTTATAAACTAAAAAAAAGCGAAAAAAGTCAGAAAGGGATCCGTCGGAAAGCTTCCTAGCGATCCGAAAAAATCGGAAAAGTCGCCGTTCGAAAATTCGCTGGCTTTTTTTTCATACCACCTTCGATTGAATTGTGTCTACCCAATGTGAAATGATTCTTTTTTTTTACATTCGATTCACAAAAAAAATCCTGAGAAGTTGAATGACTTAATTATGAAAACGCGTCAAGTTTTGATATGAAAAAGTGTGTTTTTTGGAATTTTTAGAGCCGAACAATGTTCATTTAGATTATGGAAAGACGTACTCGACGGCTCCGTGCTTTCGATGAAAAAATGACTGGCACGACGGCAGTTAAAACTGTCCTGCGGGGGAATTCCATTTACACCTCCGTCGTCTGAAAATTCTTCCATTTATGCAAATATGGATGTCTTTTCAAACGATAGCATCTGCTGTATCCGGACTCCTCTCCGCCGTGAACCTCGAACGCATGGCCGCTTCCAAAGCCGCCCCCGCCTCCTTGATATCCGAAACCAGAGCCGCTATTTTCTTGAGCTGAAAATTGAAGCTTATTTCCCAATAAAAACTTCGAATTTTGGCGTTAAAATAATTTTCTAAGCAGTTTTTTGAAAATTGAATCCTTATTTGAATATAAGAGAATAATCGTCACTGACCTAGGGGGCTTTCCTGTGACCTATTTCGAGGCTTTTGACTGGCATAACAGGCTGAAAAACAGTTCGATCACGAGCTGCATAGTCAAATAAACAACCTCCGGAGAGTATTCTCGGCTCGGGACACTGACGGGAGTAATGGCTTATGTCCGTAGAATAGTAGCATGAACTTAATTCAGAAACGCCTGAATTTATGAATTTAGAAGTGTTTCTGAGAAAATAAAACCTCCATTAACATCGTCCAACCTTGTGCGGTCAGAAAAACCGCCGTAGACACCATATGAATTTGCTCCGTTAAAATAACCTCCAGGCGATTGAATCTTTCCGGCGATGCTGTTGCTGGGGTGTCCGCGATCGTCTGACTTAAGTTGGTTGTACAAACATCCGCCGCCTGAATCTATGAATTTAGAAGTGTTTCTGAGAGAATAAAACCTCCATTAACATCGTCCAATCTTGTGCGGTCAGGAAATTCTCCATGAAGACCATATGGTTTTGCTCCGTTAAAATAACCTCCAGGCGATTGAATCTTTCCGGCGATGCTGTTGTTGGGGTGGTCGCAATTGTTCATTTTGGATTGGTTGCCGAAAACTCCGACTCCGAAGCCACCGCCGCCTGATTTCGAAGAAGGGAGCATGCCGAATCCACGAAATGGGGTTTCGAAACCGCCAGAAATGGCGAGTGATGGTTCTTTGTGACCAATGAAGCTAGCGAAGCCAGCACGAGCGTTTGACTGTCCGTAGTCGTCTCCAAAAGCGTTTCGTTGATCGGAGCCCCCTCCTATTTTCTGTCCAACAAAGCAGGCTCCTGCATGTTTTCGTTCTTCAGAGCCTGCCCTCTTTCGTTCTTCTCCGAGGGCTCCGCCGCTTGAATTCTTTAGGCCAAACTCTCCATGTATGTTAGGGCTTCCGTTAAGGGTGATTTTGGTGGCTCTGTCGTCATCTGGGTTGCCATAGCCAGGACCTCCGAAGCCGCTCGACTTTCTGATTCCGTTAGTGGCGCCGTTGGACTTGAAGACGCCGCCGCCAGGTGGCCTAGTACCAAGACCGTTCACGACGTTCTGCGATCCGAAACGACCCACAGGAGCCCTTTTATCTGGAAAAAAAACTTTTGAAGATAGAAGAAATTATGAATAAATCAAAAAGAAAAATATTATCAAAACTTACTTCGATCAAATGAATGTGGTGGAGTCGACGATGGTGAATCACTGAAATCCGTTTATTGAAATTAAATTTAATGCAATATTATATACCTCATTTCTTCTTCTTGAAGTCTTTTGGTTGCCTGTCATACGTGGGCGCCGACCACTTTTTTCACTTTCGCACGGTCCCACGCGTGACGTCACATGACGTCATAGCGGCCAAAACTGTAAACAACCCAGCGCGCTCTCGCGGCGTTCGCGCGCGCTAAAAACGCTCACAGAGTTTTTTTAAATATTTTACTTATAAAAGACTTTTTATAATAATGCAAACAACTTTTTTTCCTTTTTCTATTTTTTTCAATCATTAATGTTTTTTTATAAAAAAAGTTCCGTGGAGAAAAAAATCGGAAAAAGGGCTAGAAAAATGTTTTTTTGGTTTTTTTCTTGATATTTTTGAAGAAAAATAACCAAACAAATGCGAAAAGAGAAGTTTTTAAGTCACAAAATGCTCTTATTTTTTTCTAGAAATTTTAAATGCCGCTAAAATTTGCTTCAGTGAGAAACCTTCAAAGAAAAAAATACAAAAAAATTTTTAAATAACTACTGAAAAAGAACAATACACATAATCATTGCATCATGAAGACATTTACAGGAAATGCTTTCATGTTAACAAGAGCGAAACCTACCTTGGTCTCCTGCAATTTTTTTTCTACCTCATCAGACTCATCAATGTTCAGAACGAAATTTATTCTGGAATATTAGTATAATAAGAGAGGTAGATAAGAAAAAAAATACATATATAAAACCATGTTTTAGAGTATTTATGCAGAAAATTTTGGCGCGAGCATATTTTTTTAAATAGTTCATAAGTTTGCGCCGCAAGTAAAAACTTGTTTTGGTTCTACTTTTCCTTTCTCACTCATATAAAAGTTTTCCTTTAAAAAATGGGAGTTTGTTAACTCTCCTCGTGGCCTTTTCCCTCCCCTGTAGCATTTCCATATCATCTCAATATTACGAAAAAAAGGGATTTTATTTGAAGAAAAGAAGCCGAAAACTTCCGAGTTTTCTCAAAGTTTAAAGTTCTGTGAAAAAAATAATTGAGCTGAAATTTCTGAAAAGTCGTAACTCCATCAACGATTTGGAAAAAAAATTACACTAAATTGGAATCCAATCAAAGTCACGTAACTTTTTTTCGAATATTTTTAACAATTGCTAACTATTTTCATAAAGATAAACCCAACTCCAAAAACTTCCATTTCAGGTTTTTTTTTTGCTTGTTGGTACATAATTTCCCCGGACTTCAAAACATAAAAAAATTGATGCAGTTGATGAGAAGCTCTCAATTTGATTTTTTCGAATGGAACGGAGGAAGGGAGGGCGAAAGTTTGAGGTTGCTTTCCCAAAAAAAACTTCTTCTGTAATATTGTTTGAGCGCCTAATAATCTGACACTCTGAAGTTGTTGGCAAAACAAAAAACTGATATTACAATATTAAAATATACTCGGTTTTTCAATAAAACAGCCTAAAAAATGTTTCGCATTGTTTTCCTGAGGAGTTACTAGCATTTAGATGAAATTTTCAACTATTTTCTTCAACTCACCTTTTTGTTTCAAAGCGTAGGCGTTTCGCGCAAAAATTTGTCACTTTTGTCCAGGCTTGTGCGTCAGGCCGGGCTTTGGGCCCCAAATTTTTAAAAAAGCCTACGCGGGCTCGGGCCAGGCCGGGCTTTGGAAAAAAAATATTGAATTTCATTTTTTAAAATTTCGCCGAAAAATCATTTTTACTTGTTAAATCATAGTTTCTTACAACTCTATGAGGATAAATAAGTAAAAAAATCCCACTTTTTCTCGTTAAAAAAAGCGAAAAGTTGAAAATGAAAAAAATTTGAGCTTTTTTGGGCCGGGCCGGCCATTTTTGCTTGAGGCCCTTCTAAGGCCGGGCCGGGTCGGGCTTGGGAAGTGACCGGAAGGCCGAGAGGTTGACGGGCCGCCCCTCGCACCTGCTTTTTGTCATACTGCTTTTTCATGACTCATATTAGTCTTCATTGTGCTCTGGTCTACTACTATTCGGGAAATATGGAAAATTGTTTTAAATCAAGATCATATCCGAGCATCCCCAATAGAGTTCTCAAAATGGCCAATTGAAAAAAATGACATTTTTCAAAAACGAAAAATTTTCTTTTTGACATTTCAAACGAATGTCGTTTTTGAAAAAATCAACCAAAATTGATCACTTTCATTCTTTTCATTTTGTGACTTTTCAAATAATGACTGAAGAATAAATGGTCGTTTTCTAAACAATCATATTCTGACTAGTAAATAAATGTTCGTTTTTAATGACCAAACTTTTCAAAGTGAAAAGTAAATGGTCACTCTTTTGACCAAAAATTTTCAAAACGTATTTTTAAATGTTTACTTTTTTTCGTACAAAAAAATTTTTTTCAAGGGTGAAAATTAAATGTTCATTTTTTTGGCCAAAATTTCCGAAATGAATTTTAAATGTTTACTTTTTTTGACCAAACATTTCAAAATGAAATTTAAATGTTCATTTTTTTAACTAAAATTTTTTTCGAAAAAAATAAGTAATTGTTCATTTTTTTATATGCTCAGTTATGAAATTTAACCAAAATGAAGTTTTTAACAAACGGTTCATGTGAAATTTAACTAATTGGTCGAACTCATCAAACGCTCGGAAAATGTTTGGTTGAACGTTCGTTTAAACATTTACTTTTGAGAACTCTAACCACCAAGTGTACAAGTGCAAAAATGGGGCAAAAAAAAAAACAAAAAGCATAATGAAAATCCCAATTTTTTTTAAATTTTCTAATATCAACGTACCTCAGAAACACAATGAAACCAAAGAAAATTCATAGACGAAAACAGAAATAAAGCGATAAATCGAAAAATCTAGGACCAAATTCAATCTCCAGTTTTGAAATTTTACATTTACAATTACTGGTACACTCGGAGACATGATTCATCAAAAATTCAATGAAAAATTAGGTCTGCCAATAATAACTTCAAACTCTGAAAATAATTTTTCTTTTTCCTTAAGAAAATTATTTTCAAAACCGAAATTTTTATAGAGATGTCTATTCTAGTTTAAAAAATTGATCGTTCGACCGACCGTTCGAACAATAGTTTTTCAACGTGTCATAATAAATGGTCATTGGTCGAACGGTTGGAGTTTCAACATTTCAACATGTCACTTAAGAGTGACATGTTGGTTTTTGACTGTTCTAAATGTCACTCTTAAAATGGTCGGTTTAGTAGATTTCAGAAACTGGTCGGTCAAACGAACGGTCAGAAAAATGACATGTTATAACCGTTCGAAAACTGAACAGTGAAATCATTTGAATGGTCTTATTGATCGACGGTCAAATTTTAAAACACTAATGTCCACCAAGTTTTGACGTCTACTTTCTTTTATAGTCTCTTACTGAAAAATTCCAATAAAAAGAACAGCCTCTAACTTGAACAGTTTTGTTAACAAAACATGATTCTTGACCAGTTTCTCTTTTAGTAAGTAGATGTAAAGGTTGTTTTATTGACTTCGTTGGTTTGGCATGGTGCGGCAGTTGGACTGGGTAGGGTGCGCCCGGGGCTATAACTCGGCTCAAAATGGTCAAATCAAGTACCAAACTGACTTTTAGCTTTAAAACAATGACCTCACTCATTTATGAGAAAACTGGATCAAAAAATTCGCATTTTCCCAATTTTCAGTTTTTACCGGTCCGTACCGGTGCTCACCGGTTAATGATAAAGCTTGCTCAAAAAAGGCTTCTAGGCATTCAAATCGTCTAGAAAATGATTTTTCATGAATAAAAAGTGGAAAAAGTTAACTTTTTGATGGTTTGGCATGGTGCGCCAGTTGGACTGGGTAGGGTGCGCCCGGGGCTATAACTCGGCTCAAAATGGTCAAATCAAGTTCCAAACTGACTTTTAGCCTTAAAACAATGACCTCACTCATTTATGAGAAAACTGGATCAAAAAGTCCGCATTTTCCCAATTTTCAGTTTTTACCGGTCCGTACCGGTGCTCACCGGTTCGTTGTCTGAGAGCTCCAAAAAAGGGCCAAACCAATTGAGAAAAAAGATGAATCAAAGATTGAAACCTAAAAAAAGTCGTCTGCATTGTTTTTTTTTTTTGATTTTAGTCCTCTTAAAATGCAAAAAAAGTTAAAATCTATGATCCCGTTTAAAAAAATATTATATAGCGGAAAAAACGAAAATGCACAATATGGACGAGTGCTTCGCGATAGTGAGCGAAAATGACGTCATGTGACGTCAAAAAACGCTTTTGGTATGGTGCGACGAAAATTGGGTATGGTGCGCTGCCAGTTGGGGAGGGTGCGACATGACGTCACTATTAAATTTAACCGCCGCCCACGTATGTTGCCTGTAAAATTCAAAAATTAAGAGATTTTTTCTTTTTCGCACAACATAATGTTAGAAAGAAAGCAGAGAATCGAAAAGATAAATAAGTACTTTCAAATTCTGAATTCCGCTCAAGTTACTTTGAAAATGGCATTGGGATTAAATAAAAAGTCAAAGAAAACTTTTTTAATGTAAAAATAGACGATAACTTTTGCTGCGTTTCAACCCCCGTCTTTTTTTCAGAAACAGGCTTGTGCGAGGGCCGGCCCGTCACCCTCCCGGCCCCCCGATCATTTCGTAAGCCCGGCCCGGCCTTAGAGGGGCCTCAAGAAAAAATGGCCCACCCGGCCCGAGCGCGCAATTTTTTTCTAGTCGAATATCAAGTTTTTTTTACGACAAAAATTATGTTTTTGCTCATTTTTTCACTTAAAGTTTAACAAAAACTATGATTTCAGAGGTAAAAGTCACATTTCGGTGAAAATTTTTCAAATGAAATTTTAAATTTTTTTTGAAGCCCGGCCTGACGCACAAGCCTGTTCAGAAGCACGAGCCTTTGGTTGGCTCCGCCCCATTGACAAGAAAATCAATTTTGAAAGTGAATTTATACTGAACATATGTCAAAAAGGCGGAGCCATCCAATCGCGGTCTCGGAAACCGCTGCGTTTTGCCTTGTCTCCGCTCGAGCTGTTGAACCAGAAAAAATTTTCCCTTCCCTTTTCGAAATCTTTATTCTCATATAAACCTTTTCAACTACGAGACAACGACCAATTCAGATAACAAAAAAAAAGTGAATTTTTGATAACTATGAAGACTAGAAATTTTTAAAACTGACTTCGAGACTGCTCATACCATGAAGAAATACATAATTTAAAACCATTAACACCTTAATGAAGCACACAAAAGATTTCACAATTTGAAAACTTGAAAAAAAGGCCATCGAAGAGAAGCGTCAAAACCGACCGACTGATTCGCTGCACTCGTAGAATTAGCTTAACACGTCGAAAAATGAGCGTCCACGTTTTATCCATAGTGATCATCTGAACCGAATGCCGTGTAAGAGTAATTTCCAGAAAATGCTAAATGGTCTCTGATTCTCCAAAATTTAGTTATATTTTTCTTTCTCTACGACTTATTCGCGGAATCACTCTGGTGAGCATGGCATCACAAACGTATTATTTAATTAAAACCACAGGTCTTGCACGGAACAGGAAAAGTTTTTCACCTCAGAATGCGCCTTTAATGAGTCGAAAATTTGTTTTCAGTGCATGTCTGTGGCGTGTTCATTTCAGGCACTGACGGCGCGGGTCTCTTGCCAAAAGTGAGCGAGCGCGCACGCGTAGGGTGTCTTTTTCTATTTTTTTATCTTTATAACTAAATTTAAAAAAAATTATAAATTTGATATTTCTCTTGTCTTTTTTTATCTCTTATCTTTGCTTTGCTCTAATTTATAGTCTGTATACCACGCCTTGGAATTTCCCCGAACGACATTCCACTGTTCCGCTGCGTGGTCGGCCGCTTTTTAAGTTTTCATTTTATTTAAAAGCTCAACCATCACGTGTTCCTAGTGGAACAGTCCATCTATCAGAAATGAGAACCAATTTAAAGCGAGACCGAGGCTCGCAAAGACGCAGCGGAAGAGCGGAATGTCGTACGGTGAAATTCCAAGTCGTGGCACACAGACTATTTAACAATTAGAACGCACAAACATTTGAAATACAAAAATTTCCCATGGCAATGTGTTCGAAAGTGCTTTGAAAATTTTTGAAACGCAGCAGGGGCACTAGGTAGCATTAAAAAATTTAAAAAATATATTTCAAAGCCGTTTTTCAGAGAAAAATACGAAAAAACAATCCGTACCTCCGCGCGAGCCTGAGATCGGAGAAACGGAACACACACAATATTGTGGACGAGCAGCAAGAGTGGGCAATTTCTACAAAAAAAACCAAATTCGCCGTTAGACTCACCTTAAAAACACATATTTAACGATATATCGTTATGGTACTAATTTTTTCTGCACCTTCCTGGAACCCATCTTGCCTATTTCCAAAATCATTTTAAACGAATAACGCGTCAATTTTGAAATTGCCAAAACTACTTTGAATATAGCATAATGAAAACTGTTTAGAAATTTTTCGAACAACGAAAAATGAACTGACTTTTTTAGCCGGCTTGAACTGACCGGAAAGTTCTAAGGCAGACCGCTTTCCGAGATTGAGTTCGTCTATTAGTTCTGAAATCGAGTCAAACAGAGAATTTGAAACGTTTTGTTTGACCAACCTTCCATTTTAAAATATTGCTTGCCAAAGTTGCGTGGTATCCCGACATCGGCCAAGTGCTGAACGAAACCTTCAACAAGTAACTTTTTTCAGGTTTTATGCGGTGTTCAAAATGATGCTGCGAAATTCAGAATACCCGTTAGGAGAGACAACTTAGAATTGATGATATGAGAATTTTTCAGAGCGATATAGCGCAAGACGTTGCAAGGTCGCAGCGAGAGGCAAGCGATATTACTCGCGGCTCCCCCGCGGTATAGCGTTAACGCGTTACTCTTGCTGCGATATAGTCGAACTATAGTCAAACTTCACCCAATATTGTGGACTAGTCCAGGGTGAAGTTACCAATATATATTGGGTGAAGTGTAATTTTTTATGGCGTGATCATCGGAGAAACGGAACATGCTGCAAAACGAAAAATCGGGCTCATCGGCGCCAAAGTTGCTCTAAAACAATGTTTTGGAGCAATTTTCTTGCGTTTCGAAGCAATTTTCGTTTTGTCCGATGAAAATGCCCTAAGCAGGCTTGTGCGTCAGGCCGGGCTTTGGACCTCAATTTTTTGAAAAAGCCTGCGCAGGCTCGGGCCAGGCCGGGCTTTGAAAAAAAAATCTTGAATTTCATTTTTAAAAATTTCGCCGAAATATTATTTTTTTACTTGTTAAGTCATAGTTTCTCGCGAAAGTTCAAAATGAAAGAAATTTGAGCTTTTTTTGGGCCGGCCATTTTCGCTTGAAGCCCTTCTAAGGCCGGGCCGGGCTTGGGAAGTGACCGGGGGGCCGAGAGGTTGACGGGCCGGCCCTCGCACAAGCCTGACCATAAGCTTGTTTTAGAGCGCGCTTGCTTCATTTTTCCGCGATATTTAAATTTATTCATGATTTTGGTAGCTTCGCCCATTTTTTTGATAGTTTTTCTCGTTTGTAAAATTTATTGAGAGTTTTGTGAATTGGGACCGATTTTCCCATAAACTAGAGCATAGTACGCGTGTTTTGAGAGTGGTTTCGTCGGATTTAACGTTCTAGACGAAATTACTGAACTCTTTAATTATTGAAAAACTTTAATTGCGAATGTTTAGCTTTTTACTAATTTGTTTGTGTGAGTTTTTTTTCTATTTTTTGACAAAAAGTTATATTCCGATGTTTTGATATAACTTCTGTAAAAGAAATTGCTTTGAAAAGATTTTTAAACTTATTTTTTAAAAATGTCCTCAAATTTATTTAAAAGGCAGTTTTGTCGTTTGACACACGTTCTCTGAGATTTGCCTAGCTAGCTATACTCGCATGCTGAGCAGGTGTCTCAACGCGTGTACCCGTATTAAACCCGTGTTTCTGATGTTATTTTAGTCTCAGTTGGGCTAAAACGGGGAAACGACGGGTGTAAGAAAAATATGTAACCCAGCTGGGCTAAAGCGGGGTCTCAGTTGGGCTAAAAATTGCCAAAAGTTCTACCAACTGTGCTTATACGGATTTAATACGGGGGCACCCGCCGTCTTAGCACGGCTGGGTTACCCTGCTCAGCATTCGAGAAGTTGTGGGCCCAAAGCCCGGGCCAGGCCGGGCCGCCTACCCTGACGCACAAGCCTGTTCATTAGACAAAACGAAAATTGCTTCGAAATGTAAGAAAATTGCTCCAAAACAAAAATTAGTACCGTTTTGGAGCATCTTTGGCGCGCCGATGAGCACGCTTTTTCGTTTTGCAGCATGTTCCGTTTCTCCGATGAACACGCCATAAAAAATTACACTTCACCCAATATATATTGGTAACTTCACCAGCCGAGGTCATGAAATTTTCGGACAATATAGGCATATATGATATATATAAAAAAATTGAGAGCTTATATTTAGTTTTTAGACATCCAGACCATGTGCCGATCCGACTTGAAGTGCCGAGAAATTAATGAATAATCCAAAAAAGCAACTGTGAGAAGTCTGGAGTGAAAAAGTCCAAGAAAGTCCTGAATCCATCGAATTATGGATTTATTCGTGAAAAGGTTGCTTTTTTTCTTGTTATGTTTATTCAGATAAATTATTGTGACATTTTGTGAAAGAAATTCCCTAGATATTTGTTTGTACACTCTCAATTGAATCAGTTTAACAAAATAATTTTCCTCAATTTTTCTAGTACCCGTTGATATAGCCAAGTTTTTTGAAGTTTAGATAGATTCTGTTCAGATTTTGAATGTCAACTAGCTAACTCCGCCTCTGCCGACATCGTAGCTTTTTGCGCCGATGTTTTATCCCGCGAGGCGATTTTCGGGATGAAAAATTTACGCGAAAGATACTATAGTCTTGAGGGCGGAGTTATGTGCTTGGAATTTGAAATCTGAAATCTGAACGAAAAGCTTATTTCTAATTAAGTTTTAAAACTGATGGATCTTTTGACTCGAAGGAAGTTTTGAAGTTTTTCGGAACTGGCTGTACAAGACGGATTTCTTTTTATATGGATGTGCTCCTCTGACATGGAGCGCCAAAAGGGCGCCACAACCTTTTCTCTGACACACACTATTTCGTCGTTATTTAGCTACGAGAAAACGACGAAACAGTGTGTGTCAGAGAAAGAGTTGTGGCGCCCTTTTGGCGCTCCATTTCAGAGTCATAATTGTTTGAATCATCTTTTAAATGCGAGAAAAACTCAAATGCCAATTCAAGTAGGAATCTGTTCAATTGAACCTAACTCTAACTTTATTTTGACAAAAATGAAATGTTTGCGTCAAAGATAAGGGGCTTCATCTGGAATGAGCTCGTTATGAGCTCATTTACTATCGACAAGGCCGCGATGAGTCGCCTCCTTGGAGGTGAGCTCTCTCTCCAGTTTCATCTCTGCTCGGGACTGTGGCGGAACTCTGCTCCCGCGCGGGATCCGTGAGGAAATCTCCTAGGATGCTTAGATTCTATGTCATTTTCAACTAGTTGCGAATAGATCGGTCGAAATAGTTATTCAACTCTTGCAAACACCGTTGTTTTCAATAAGCAATCAGTTTTCCACCTTTTGAATATAGGAATCAAAATTGAAACTAAAACTCGAGTCTTTTTTCGAATGCCACAGTCTTGAGCGTCTTCCTGAGTTTAATGTGATTTCTTTCGATAATACGCCTTTAATTCAGAAATATGAAAAAGTTTTTCCAAGTCATAATTATTTTTGCCTTTACGGCTATTTTTCTGAAAATCGCCTTCCCGAAACTTGTTCATAAGTCAGAAACTGTTTGAAAAAGCATAATCACGGTCTAGATTTTGCCTTATTTCATGCCAGATTTTCAAAGCCTCACCAAAATATATATCTTCAACATGCTTTTTTTTTCAGCGATCACTATGACTTGCCGGAGAAAGCGAGATTCTTTGATTTTGAAGATTTCATCGTATGAGTGCGCAGCTTCTTCTACTGAAGGTGTGTTTCTAATTAGCACTCTTCTTTTGATTGATTAAAAGTTTCAGAGAAGTGTCTTAAGAGGTCGGCGTGGACTTACCCATCCGAAGACGCGATCGCACCGCACCTCGACTTCCCTCGATGCGATGATGAATTGATTCTCACGAGGCCCTTCTCCCCTTCAATTCCATCGATTGATGGTAGACTTCAAACAAGAAGCCGGCGCGATCACCATTCTCCACGCCACGATTATTAATAAAACCGAGAATAAATTTTTTTATTATTTTTGCTGGTTTTTTTTTTTTTAGAGCGGGGTATACAGTCCCATCATACTTTGATCGATATAAAATTCATTCTTAGAAACTGAGGAAGTGTTCAAAGGTTGAGTTTATAGTCGGCTACTCAGAAATTGCGAGAACCATTGATAAGTGGTCAATAGAGGTTCATACAAGGGGATGTGGCTGGTATGCCCTCTCCATGAGCCACTGTCTCTTGCATTATCGTGTCAGAACCTTTTTTTGATGGCTCATGCCAGCCGGGAATCAGCTGTAGTATCTGAGTGCACAGTTAAGTAAGAAAATATCAGAAAATCAGACTGTTTGTTCTATTTATGCAACTTCAAATTGGAACCGATTGTAGCTTCGATTTTTCATCAGTTATGTGGATTCGCCAGTTAAAGAGAAATTCATCGAATTTTTTTATTTTGGCTTGAATGGAAGAAAGACATGTATGGGATCGTCGTTCGTGGCTATTTTGTCAAGCTTCTCGTTCCTAAAACTTCATGTCGTTGAATAGCAGCTGACATGGAAAACGCGAAGCTGGAAGTTGAGATTTCTTAAAGGAACGAGTCATTTTTCTTATTTAGATCCGGGAGCAAACGAAGAACCGACATTTTATTGCGTTAATTTTTTTTTTTCGAATGATAAAATGTTAGTGATACCGCTGCTGGCGAAAGTGAAGCAAATGAAGGTTCTTATGCCAAGTCCAAAGGCCATCGAAAGCCTCGAAAAAAGAACCGAAGTTTTTCGTAATGTTAAGCTCCCAACACCCTGGTGTTCTGAGAAAAATCGAAGACTTTCAGCAGAAAGAATCCCCAAGTTTTCCTTTGGAATGTTCTACAAGATTGCTACAATATTTTTATTAAAAAAAAAAATCAAGAGAATGACTGGAACTGCGGCTTCACAGCGCGGAATCGACGACGGACTTCTCTTTTTTTGAGCATCCATTATATCCTGAAAAAATTAAATAATAAGTCAGGGCAATTACATGCACTTCTTTATCCTTTATAAGTACTACCTCACTTCAACATTTAACAAGATCTTCTAGTTTCCATAAAAAATGAAGTCCTCTCTTATCTTTATTTTTTTATCAAGTTTACGCGGGAAGGGATTAACTTCTAGTTTACGCGGAAAGGAATTAACTTTTTCTTCGGCTTCCAAAAAAATGAGAATGTTTTTTTAATCTGATTATCGCTTTTTCCAGCGATCTTGCTTTTTCGGAAGCAAAGTTGAACCATTTTCTGGAATTTAACTCTGATCAATTTTTTAAAAAACCTAGAGGAACCTTTTACATTTGAATAACTTGAAAGCGGAATTACAATAAAAAGAGGAAAACAATAACTTCCACTAGATAATTTGAGATCCGACAAGTGAACTGACGAACAAACGACAAGCTTTCATTCGAAAGACCGGAGGAACGGAAAAATCAGAAGAATTTGGACAATTGAACTGGAATGCCATCGAAAAACGAATCAGTGAGGTTTATTATTTTTTTTTTCTGAGTATCGATTTGTGAGCACGGCTGTAGAGGTGCACAAAAAATGAGCGAAATTATGAAAGATGTTTCAAAAGTCCACCACAAAGACTTTCTTCTCTTTGATGGAGAAAAAAACTAAGATCCATAAGCCACATCTGAAAGGTCTTCTAAATCTTGAAGAAAAGAACCCAAATCGCGTTTAATGTTGACCCCTAACCCCCCTTTTTTCATGTTGGTGTTCCGATTTTTACAAAAAACCGGAAATCAAAAGAATCCGTGAAACAACAGGCAAAGGTTCAATTTTGCTTTTCACTCAGAAAAATTGAGCTACGGCGGAAATGATCGCCCTTCTACATAGGCAAAGTCGGAAAGTGTCGAAAAAGGCTCCATAAACATTTTTGTTTAAAGGTGCGAAAGGTTTATTTTTTGCTGCCTTTTTGCGCCACTTCCTCGGCTCTTATGCACCATTTTTACTGCCTCTCCCTTTTTACACCATTTCTTGAGCCTTCGAAATCCAGTAAAAATGGAAGGCTCGATAAAAGGGCTTTTTGCTGCCTTTTTGTGGCCCTTTTCGAGCCTCACCCTGTTAGCCGCCATTATATACAAATACTACGAAACGATCACATTGCTGTCCCACTTTGCGTCCATTACTGAAGTTTTTAAAATTTCCACGTGTTCGAAGATCACGTGGCGATACACAAACAGCAGTTTCTGCTGAGAAGTGTATCTCATTCCCAAAAACTTCATGCGTCCGAGCCGATCGGTTCTCCACTGGAGAGCCAGCTGTTTTCCAAACAGCCAGTATCGGTCTTGAAGTCGTCAAAGTCCCGTACTTGGGCCAGAAGCTATGCTTCTGTGGATCCTTGTGATCCCGCTATACTAAACCGCTTCAAGTAGCGGCGTAGCTTGGTCAGAGGTCTTTCAAGTAAGACCTCCATCGTAGTACTACTACATGGCATAAAGCCATCCGAGTTGATCAGAATCTGGTGAGGCTAACGCCAAATCACCAGCTTTCTCCAAGCAGAGTCATGCTTGGAGGAGGTACGAAGCAATACCTCTATCGTAGTACTACTACGTGGCATAAAGCCATCCGAATTAATCGGAATCTGGTGAGGCTAACGCCAACCCACACGCTTGCTCCAAGACGAGTTATGCTTGGGGGAGGTACGAAGCAATACCTCTATCGTAGTACTACTACGTGGCATAAAGCCATCCGAACCGATCGGAATCTGGTGAGGCTAACGCCAACCCACCAGCTTGCTCCAAGCTGAGTTCTGCTTGGGGGAGGTACGAAGCAATACCTTCATCGTAGTACTACTACGTGGCATAAAGCCATCCGAATTAATCGGAATCTTGTGAGGCTAACGCCTAATCACTAGCTTACTTAAATCATAGTTATGCTTGGTGGGAGGTACGAAGTAATACCTCAATTGTAGTAATTGCTACAAAGCGTCTAGTAACCTGAATAAAATCCCCGTGAAAAACAAGGGATAAAGCACTAGATCGCTCCAAGCATGGGTCGCTTTCTTAGACTCTCACGTCTCGAACTCTACGGGCATGCTGCCACATGAGTAGTATCAGGCTCTGAGGAAGTTAAGACCTTGTATATATCAAGTTAGATATATACATATATGACGGCATGAACAAGCCATCTTCAAGATCAACCCATTGAAGAGAAAAATAGTTCTAAACTCCAGAGCTTCAATTATAGCTAGGAGAAAGGAGCACCCGGAAAGAGGGGCTCTGTCAGACATCGAGTCAAGAAGACTTGATCTGTGTTGAGTTGAGGAGCGACCAAATAAGGTGTTCCTTAGACAATGGTAGGGAAAATCCCCTCACTGTCAAAGTTAACCAGATCGAGAGTTGCCCTAGAGGATCTCAGTTCAGTAGAACTTACAGGACGGGTTTGTCCTGCTAAGATCCGAAAGTCGAAATCTAAATATATCATACTGACACCAAAAATCAGTAATCACTCGACTAAGGGTAAAATTGCCACCTCAAGCATGTCTCTCTCTCGCAAGACGGCACTCAATGTTATGAGTGTTCGAAGAACCTTCCAACGAAGGTCGGTCCCGAGCACAGCGTGAAAGTTTAAAAAGGGATCAGAGCGGGATAACGAGACCCAAAGATTTTTGAACGCTCCGAAATTCTTCCAGCGTATCAAATCAAATCCTCCGCGGCACAAAAATGCCCAGAAGGACGACATCAGCTCACGGCTGGAAAGTTTGTCATCACAAAGTGAGACAAGACCTCGTACTCCGAAACTGGAAATTGCTTCGACACACTTTGAAAAGCATTCCAATCAAAAGCCCGATAACCGGAGTGATGGCGCATGCTAACAGTCTGGAAAGGGAAGAGAGTTACAAGGTAAAAAGTATGACGATCGCTTTTTCCGTGCAAAAACGTTGCGTTACGGATGACGACCAGTTTGATTCTGTATCAGAATTAAAAACGTCATAGTGTCAGATTCTAAAGCAAGGCGGATCTGATATAAGCCGATCGAGAGCACGCAACAGTGCCAAGTCCAGCTGAGACTTTCCATCATATGGTAGGATCCAACAGGAAATATCGATGGAAAAAGGGCCTAATAGGAATTAGTCGGAAACTCGACGGAGCCTAACAGTGCCAAACGGGGACAGTCTGCGAACTAAAGTGAGACGTCCTCGTGGATCCGAAGCTGCAGTGATTTGGTAGCTGACATTCCGAATCTTCGCTATAAGCGATAAAAAAGATTGGAACGTCCAAAACGGATCGCAATCAAGAGGAACGGCCATATCTAGTCTTCCAAAACGAACAAAATGTTCGGGGTTCCACCGGAGGCGTTCAAGACGCTTAGGTGGGAGCGGAAGGCAATAAGCCTACGTGAGTCGTCTACCGCGACGGCGATTCACCGGAGTTTCTCTTGAGTGCTCTGAAAACTCAAAGGTTTCATCGCAAGAAACAGTAATCGACAGTCCAGAGATTCCTGGACGGCGCTGTGTGCTACAGTCATAGCAGGATTACTGGGCGAAACCTTATAAAGGAGCGTATTCGATTGCTTAAATAGGCGAATAAGTATAATCGAAACCCTGGAGAGCAGCTTCCCAAAACTCTATCGAGCAAAAAGGATGCCCTAGCTACCAATCCTCCAGAAGTACTATCAGCAAACACTCTTATGACCGTCAGCTGAAGGGCGAAGTCGGAGATTTTTACTTCGGCTAAGAGCCCATGAAAAGAATTCAGTGATGCGTAATCATAGAGAACTTCTGAGAAGGGAGAAGCCTGATAGATAATCCACGAAAGGAAAAGAAATTTCCAAAAGAATCCTTGCAAAGAGGCGGGGAGGTATCGTGGTATGCGACCTCAGCGGAAGTTACGTCAGAAAGTTAGACGCTTCCAGAAAGAGGTCACTAGACTTGTCCACGTGCTTATTGAAATCAATCAGATGGTACATTCGGAAAGGTTCAAAGACCGAATAAGAGGACCAGGGAATTGTTCCACTGGCGTCTCCATTGTGATCATAGATTTCCGATAACACGCAAGTCAGTTCAATGAATCAGAGATCAAGAAATCCCAGAGCGGATAGGAACTCAAAGGAGGCCTCCAGTGGGATAGTATTGCATCATATATGATCTCTGGAAAGAGCTTAGCCGGTAAATCGAGTGGTTCAACCATCAGAAAATACCGCAAAGCAGACCAATGGGGAAACGGAGAGCAAGCGTAACAAGGGAAGAATCTCAAAACGCTGGTCGCTACGACCTCTCGGTTCCACCAGGTTCATTGGACGCCACAGATCGCACAGGAAACGCAAAGAAAGGGACTAGAAAATGGACGAATCTTCGGATGAACGGTTCATAACAGTCCTGGCGAAATATCATTCCTGGAGAGGCGAACCTTGGCAGATTCGTAGATCCTGACGGATCCAAGAGTGTAGGTTATGCACCAAGTGAGAATCCCAAGTTCGAGCAAATCTGTGTAGAGAAAGCGAGAATCTGTTTGGAACTAAAATACGCCGTTCTATGAAACGTCGTTATTTCCAATAAGCCTAATGAGCTATTGGATTCGGGATTCCAGTTTTTTTTTTCTCGGTATGGAACAGTGCAGTAGTTCCATTGCTTACTAGCAGGATTGATTCGAACAAGTTTTGAATTCAGAGGTGCTCAAAGAGAAGCAAAGACAAACCTCTCCAATTGCTAGAAGAACGGTGTCGAATACTAAGAATTCGTCTGAACAAATAACTAACAGGTCTCGGACGATAGCAATCGCTAGAGTGAGACCAGGGCAAGCTATGCTCTCAGTTATCAGACTGAACGGGATTCTTAGCTATTAGAACGGTGAAAAACTGGCTTCGGACCCAGATAGGCAGAGCAACCCTCGAATCGGTTGGCGATCCGTAGAGGAGCACTGAAAGAAGTCCTGAGAAGCAGTTCTCTCTAAACTAAGCGAAATTGTGTCAAAAAAATACACATCGCGAAATCCTGAAACAGGACCGTTAAGGCCTCAGGAGACCCATCAAAGAGAGACTATCATCGTGCTCACACCGAGCTAGTTCAGGAGGCACACACAACAAAGAAGTTGAAGGTTGAGGTTTAGAGGCTGAGCTATCAGTCGAAGGCGTCGCCAGATGGCCCCTTCGCAAGGAGAGCTTCAGATAACGCTCAAACGCCTTGCAAGCAGGAAAAATCCCAAATTCCGAGGCTTTGAACTAGCAATGTGATCGTTTCGTAGTATTTGTATATAATGTTATATTTTTTTCTAGACAACGCAGTTGTTGACGTAAAATATTTATTATATATTAATACGAAGAAACGATCAGATTTCCCACCCTAGGTATCTTCACAAGAGAAGATACATTATATACAAATACTACGAAACGATCACATTGCTGTCCCACTTTGCGTCCATTACTGAAGTTTTTAAAATTTCCACGTGTTCGAAGATCACGTGGCGATACACAAACAGCAGTTTCTGCTGAGAAGTGTATCTCATTCCCAAAAACTTCATGCGCCCTCGCCGATCGGTTCTCCACTGGAGAGCCAGCTGTTTTCCAAACAGCCAGTATCGGTCTTGAAGTCATCAAAGTCCCGTACTTGGGCCAGAAGCTATGCTTCTGTGGATCCTTGTGATCCCGCTATACTAAACCGCTTCAAGTAGCGTCGTAGCTTGGTCAGAGGTCTTTCAAGTAAGACCTCTATCGTAGTACTACTACGTGGCATAAAGCCATCCGAATTAATCGGAATCTGGTGAGGCTAACGCCAACCCACCAGCTTGCTCCAAGACGAGTTATGCTTGGGGGAGGTACGAAGCAATACCTCTATCGTAGTACTACTACGTGGCATAAAGCCATCCGAATCGATCGGAATCTGGTGAGGCTAACGCCAACCCACCAGCTTGCTCCAAGCCGAGTTATGCTTGGGGGAGGTATGAAGCAATACCTTCATCGTAGTACTACTACGTCGCATAAAGCCATCCGAATTAATCGGAATCTTGTGAGGCTAACGCCTAATCACTAGCTTACTTAAATCATAGTTATGCTTGGTGGGAGGTACGAAGTAATACCTCAATTGTAGTAATTGCTACAAAGCGTCTAGTAACCTGAATAAAATCCCCGTGAAAACAAGGGATAAAGCACTAGATCGCTCCAAGCATGGGTCGCTTTCTTAGACTCTCACGTCTCGAACTCTACGGGCATGCTGCCACATGAGTAGAATCAGGCTCTGAGGAAGTTAAGACCTTGTATATATCAAGTTAGATATATACATATATGACGGCATGAACAAGCCATCTTCAAGATCAACCCATTGAAGAGAAAAATAGTTCAAAACTCCAGAGCTTCAATTATAGCTAGGAGAAAGGAGCACCCGGAAAGAGGGGCTCTGTCAGACATCGAGTCAAGAAGACTTGATCTGTGTTGAGTTGAGGTGCGACCAAATAAGGTGTTCCTTAGACAATGGTAGGGAAACTCCCCTCACTGTCAAAGTTAACCAGATCGAGAGTTGCCCTAGAGGATCTCAGTTCAGTAGAACTTACAGGACGGGTTTGTCCTGCTAAGATCCGAAAGTCGAAATCTAAATATATCATACTGACACCACAATCAGTAATCACTCGACTAAGGGTAAAATTGCCACCTCAAGCATGTCTCTCTCTCGCAAGACGGCACTCAATGTTATGAGTGTTCGAAGAACCTTCCAACGAAGGTCGGTCCCGAGCACAGCGTGAAAGTTTAAAAGGGATCAGAGCGGGATAACGAGACCCAAAGATTTTGAACGCTCCGAAATTCTTCCAGCGTATCAAATCAAATCCTCCGCGGCACAAAAATGCCCAGAAGGACGATATCAGCTCACGGCTGGAAAGTTTGTCATCACAAAGTGAGACAAGACCTCGTACTCCGAAACTGGAAAGTGCTTCGACACACTTTGAAAAGCATTCCAATCAAAAGCCCGATAACCGGAGTGATAGCGCATGCTAACAGTCTGGAAAGGGAAGAGAGTTACAAGGTAAAAAAGTATGACGATCGCTTCTTCCGTGCAAAAAAGTTGCGTTACGAATGACGACCAGTTTGATTCTGTATCAGAATTAAAAACGTCATAGTGTCAGATTCTAAAGCAAGGCGGATCTGATATAAGCCGATCGAGAGCACGCAACAGTGCCAAGTCCAGCTGAGACTTTCCATCATATGGTAGGATCCAACAGGAAATATCGATGGAAAAGGGCCTAATAGGAATTAGTCGGAAACTCGACGGAGCCTAACAGTGCCAAACGGGGACAGTCTGCGAACTAAAGTGAGACGTCCTCGTGGATCCGAAGCTGCAGTGATTTGGTAGCTGACATTCCGAATCTTCGCTATAGGCGATAAAAAAGATTGGAACGTCCAAAACGGATCGCAATCAAGAGGAACGGCCATATCTAGTCTTCCAAAACGAACAAAATGTTCGGGGTTCCACCGGAGGCGTTCAAGACGCTTAGGTGGGAGCGGAAGGCAATAAGCCTACGTGAGTCGTCTACCGCGACGGCGATTCACCGGAGTTTCTCTTGAGTGCTCTGAAAACTCAGAGGTTTCATCGCAAGAAACAGTAATCGACAGTCCAGAGATTCCTGGACGGCGCTGTGTGCTACAGTCATAGCAGGATTACTGGGCGAAACCTTATAAATGAGCGTATTCGATTGCTTAAATAGGCGAATAAGTATAATCGAAACCCTGGAGAGCAGCTTCCCAAAACTCTATCGAGCAAAAAGGATGCCCTAGCTACCAATCCTCCAGAAGTACTATCAGCAAACACTTTTATGACCGTCAGCTGAAGGGCGAAGTCCGAGATTTTTACTTCGGCTAAGAGCCCATGAAAAGAATTCAGTGATGCGTAATCATAGAGAACTTCTGAGAAGGGAGAAGCCTGATAGATAATCCACGAAAGGAAAAGAAATTTCCAAAAGAATCCTTGCAAAGAGGCGGGAGGTATCGTGGTATGCGACCTCAGCGGAAGTTACGTCAGAAAGTTAGACGCTTCCAGAAAGAGGTCACTAGACTTGTCCACGTGCTCATTGAAATCAATCAGATGGTACATTCGGAAAGGTTCAAAGACCGAATAAGAGGACCAGGGAATTGTTCCACTGGCGTCTCCATTGTGATCATAGATTTCCGATAACACGCAAGTCAGTTCAATGAATCAGAGATCAAGAAATCCCAGAGCGGATAGGAACTCAAAGGAGGATCTCTGGAAAGAGCTTAGCCGGTAAATCGAGTGGTTCAACCATCAGAAAATACCGCAAAGCAGACCAATGGGGAAACGGAGAGCAAGCGTAACAAGGGAAGAACCTCAAAACGCTGGTCGCTACGACCTCTCGGTTCCACCAGGTTCATTGGACGCCACAGATCGCACAGGAAACGCAAAGAAAGGGACTAGAATATGGACGAATCTTCGGATGAACGGTTCATAACAGTCCTGGCGAAATATCATTCCTGGAGAGGCGAACCTTGGCAGATTCGTAGATCCTGACGGATCCAAGAGTGTAGGTTATGCACCAAGTGAGAATCCCAAGTTCGAGCAAATCTGTGTAGAGAAAGCGAGAATCTGTTTGGAACTAAAATACGCCGTTCTATGAAACGTCGTTATTTCCAATAAGCGTCGTTATTTCCAATAAGTTATTTCCAATGAGCTATTGGATTCGGGATTCCAGTTTAGATTTTTCTCGGTATGGAACAGTGCAGTAGTTCCATTGCTTACTAGCAGGATTGATTCGAACAAGTTTTGAATTCAGAGGTGCTCAAAGAGAAGCAAAGACAAACCTCTCCAATTGCTAGAAGAACGGTGTCGAATACTAAGAATTCGTCTGAACAAATAACTAACAGGTCTCGGACGATAGCAATCGCTAGAGTGAGACCAGGGCAAGCTATGCTCTCAGTTATCAGACTGAACGGGATTCTTAGCTATTAGAACGGTGAAAAACTGGCTTCGGACCCAGATAGGCAGAGCAACCCTCGAATCGGTTGGCGATCCGTAGAGGAGCACTGAAAGAAGTCCTGAGAAGCAGTTCTCTCTAAACTAAGCGAAATTGTGTCAAAAATACACATCGCGAAATCCTGAAACAGGACCGTTAAGGCCTCAGGAGACCCATCAAAGAGAGACTATCATCGTGCTCACACCGAGCTAGTTCAGGAGGCACACACAACAAAGAAGTTGAAGGTTGAGGTTTAGAGGCTGAGCTATCAGTCGAAGGCGTCGCCAGATGGCCCCTTCGCGAGGAGAGCTTCAGATAACGCTCAAACGCCTTGCAAGCAGGAAAATCCCAAATTCCGAGGCTTTGAACTAGCAATGTGATCGTTTCGTAGTATTTGTATATAATGTTATATTTTGCTAGACAACGCAGTTGTTGACGTAAAATATTTATTATATATTAATACGAAGAAACGATCAGATTTCCCACCCTAGGTATCTTCACAAGAGAAGATACATTTTCCCACCCGTGGGGAATTTGGTGAGGTAATCAAAGCGTACAACAGGCGCAGAAGGTCAGTGAAAAATACGGGCATACCCGCATGGCCATCGTTACTGTTAACAGCAGCTCAGCTGAACCGCTACAAATTGGCGAAATGGTTGTCTGAGGTGAAGCGAAGCACAAAGTGAAGCCGCAACGCTCAGGTCATGCCGCACACAAGAGCTGCGTCATTCCCAAACAAGAAGTGTAAATTAACTTCGAACATGGTTCTGGCTCGGACGCATGAAGTTTTTGGGAATGAGATACACTTCTCAGCAGAAACTGCTGTTTGTGTATCGCCACGTGATCTTCGAACACGTGGAAATTTTAAAAACTTCAGTAATGGACGCAAAGTGGGACAGCAATGTGATCGTTTCTTCGTATTAATATATAATAAATATTTTACGTCAACAACTGCGTTGTCTAGCAAAATATAACATTTTCCCACCCGTGGGGAATTTGGTGAGGTAATCAAAGCGTACAACAGGCGCAGAAGGTCAGTGAAAAATACGGGCATACCCGCATGGCCATCGTTACTGTTAACAGCAGCTCAGCTGAACCGCTACAAATTGGCGAAATGGTTGTCTGAGGTGAAGCGAAGCACAGAAGTGAAGCCGCAACGCTCAGGTCATGCCGCACACAAGAGCTGCGTCATTCCCAAAACAAGAAGTGTAAATTAACTTCGAACATGGTTCGGGCTCGGACGCATGAAGTTTTTGGGAATGAGATACACTTCTCAGCAGAAACTGCTGTTTGTGTATCGCCACGTGATCTTCGAACACGTGGAAATTTTAAAAACTTCAGTAATGGACGCAAAGTGGGACAGCAATGTGATCGTTTCTTCGTATTAATATATAATAAATATTTTACGTCAACAACTGCGTTGTCTAGCAAAATATAACATGAACCATCATTCCGACTTTGCACCAGTAGTCGATGTTGATTGCCGTCTTTTTTTCTGTCCTTTTGCGCTTCCATACGAAGTCGTTGCCCAAGTGAGTTCATTTCGAAGTCCCAACTGCACACGGATGACTTTTAACCTGGGCCAATGCCTCAAAAGGTTGATCTAGTTCGAAGAATATCAATTAATCATTGCAAGAAACCTTTTTTATGACCCCTGGACGTCACAATTTGAAGAGTTATTTTTTCTCGTTAAGATCTGAGTAGGCTGAGAAACCGTAGTGAACTTTGTAATTGAGAGAACAGATCGGAAATTCCGAACAGTTTCTCGAAAAATGTTGGAAACAAACAAATAAGAGACAAGGTAAATTAAACAATTTTATTTAATACATGTTGGAAACAGGAGAAAAGGGGCGTATGTTCACTGTTGTACTCGTGTTTGTGGAACGAAAAGTTCAGTAACAGCTGAAAAAAAAAAACAAATTAGTTAGGTTTTAAATCATTGGAAATAGTCAAAGTCTTAAAGAGTGGAAAAAGGCTCTATAGAAATGTTCTTTTTTAGTTGCATTTTTTCGGCATTTCATCGATGCACCATTTTTTCGGCCTCTCTTTTTCCACCCGATTGTCTGTCTATCAGACTACTGTCTTCGCTTGGGACTTCATACCTTTTCTGAGCGTTTGGCCGCAGGAACCTCCTCTTTTCGAACCGCGCATTGTACCTGAAAAAAATTCATTTTATTGCGATATTCAATCAAAACATGCTTACCTTGAAAAAATATAAACCTTTTTCTTTTCGTCCTCCTTTTTCTTCTCTTTCTTTCATTATCTTCAAATTCGCTTCTAAATATCAGAATATTGAAAGTTCGAGTGACCACTCAAGGAGTAGCTCTAGAATCTCTTCGCCTCAAGTTGTTAAGCGGTCACTCTGAAATGGAGCGCCAAGATGGGGCCACAACACACTCTGACACACACTATTTCGTCGTTCTAGCTGCGAGAAAACGACGAAATAGTGTGTGTCAGAGAAAAAGTTGTGACGCCATTTTGGCGCTCCATGGCAGAGCACTTAAGAAGAACAATGCTGCTAAGGCTCTTAGGGGCGTTAGGGAATAGCTTCTTAATTTCACAGAGCTTTTCAAAGTTCTCAAGAGGAATTTCAACGTCAAGTATCAAAGCAATAACTGCGCCATTAGAGATACTGAAAAATAAATTTATACCTCTTCCCAGGTCCATCGCTCGCCAGCCTTTCCACAAGCGCATCCGAGGAGCTAGCGACTATAAAATACCTTCTTATGACTCGAAGTCGTCACGTTGATTTATCTCTTATCTCTTTTCAATCTTCTGTTGTTTTTTACACGGAAGACATCATTCGAATTTAAATGGAAGTGACATCACTTTTCGATGATTAGAACAAAATAAAAATTCAAGTTTGCTTTTCTTTGGATTTTCCTCGCAATGATTGCTGGCACTAAATGGTTTTCAAACATTGTTCGAATGGAAAATTTGAGAATTATAGGACCCTAAACTAGTGATTTGTATATATCAAAAAAACTCTTTGAGTAATTGTGAATTTAATACGCGTCGTGGATCAATAGTTTCAAATAAGTTCATTATTGGGAAAAATGAAAAAATGATTGAGTATCTTACTCTCATCTTTATAGGCGTTAAGCCAGTGAAAAAAATGAGTTTTGAGTTATTAATTTCCCCCTGTAAAGATTAGCGTCGTATTTTTCGAAAATTTATTTGAAGCTGTTTTTTTGAATCTTTAATTTTTTTATACTTCTCCTCTTCTCTATCCTAAAAATGAACCACATGTATTCGAAAAATCCTTGTTTTGACTCTGAAGAAAGAAAAAATCGAAAACATTCATTTACCACGTCAAAGATAAACTTGATGGGAAAAATGATAAGAGAAAAAAAAAATCAACGTGTCGACTTCAGACCATATGAAGGTATTTTATATCTTCCGCTCGCTGGAAGGAAGACGACCGTTGGATGGCTGGGAGGAAAAAAGAAGGAGGCGAAGAATTTCGGAGATAAGGTATAAACTGTAATCATGATAGTAAATTCAAAGGCCTGGATGAGCTCTAGATAATTGGCCTGGATTTTTTATCCCCTTTATCAAATTTAGAAAATCTTGTAAAATTTGAAAGTTAGACGAAAATTCGGGAGCTTTAGCAACAGTGCCACTTCTAAAGTGACCACTTGACAAGTTTTAGTGAAGAGATCGCTGAGCTACTCCTTTAGGGACCACTTGGAAATATAGTCTATTATGTATATACCTCATGGTGTTTTGAAATCAAACGTTGGCGAAATAGAGTTTCATTTTTAGGCTTCAACTGGATATTTCTTCAAAGTTCACCCAGCTCTTTCCTGGAAAAACTCAAGCAGCCTCTTAAGCAATGAATTTTCCATAGATAGAAATTCTAAGTTAAGGTAAAAGATAAAGGAACAAGTCTAGTATAGAAGGATTATAATTTTTTTTTTTTGAAAATAAGTCTGTTTTGATTGATTATCACATAAAAGTCAATGTTTCCAGGTACAAACGGTTCCAACTCTCATGCGAAAAATCACGGATTTATCGGAGCATGGCGATTATACTTGAGGTATACATAGGGGGCGCAAAGCCCCGCCCCTTCACGCCACCAAAATGACGATTTTTTTGTTGCAAAAACGGTTTTGAGGCGTTTATACTAGCTAAAGTCCCACTTTAAAAATTACCTGTTTCTGTTAATCTATGTAATCGACAACGCTCTACAAGACTGAATATTTTAAAAACTATGTTTTTTTCAAAAATAAGCGAAAAAGTAAGATTTAACACGAAAAAAACTGACAAGTTTCACAAAATCGTCGCGTTTCAGAAAACCAAGTGAGGAACGCTACTAAATTTTAAGTATGTTATACATTAACACTTTCTTTATTTTTTGAGTAAAAATAAAAAAAATCTACCGACGCGAAAAAAATATTAAAGCTTGTAAAGTGACACCAAACTTTGAAGCTGAAATGCGAAAAAATTTCAGCGACATGGTATACTTTTTATTTGATTTAAAAACTAACAGTGTGTCCAAAAAAAAAAATTCAGAATGAAAATAATTATTGGGACAGCGAATTAAATTATATTTGAGTTTTACCAAAACCTCCTTTTTTCGTCTGCCTCGTTGACGCATGAGAGAATAGGATCGCGTATATATTTTTGATCAGGTTATTAAGCGTTCAAAACTCTATCAATGAAAAAATTATGAAAAAAATCGATCGACGCGAAAAAAATAACGGCTTTGAAAACCTCGAAAAAATGGCAATTTTTTTTGAAATTTCGGAAGATTTTGTGCAAGTGTCCGTAGCAGTGTTTGCGTCAAACACACCGATGCGTCCTTTTAAATGTCGCAGGAGCCGTTTTTCGGAGTCAAATGGCACTTTTTCCTGTTTTATTTCGAAATAACATTATTTTTCATTTTTTCTTTTTTCCAAATCGAATGATAATAATTTTTTTCTGAGTAGAAAAAAAGAAAAAAATAAGCTGAAAAAAATCCCTTTGACCTTTTTTTCTAGGTAGTTTTTTTGATATTTTATCAAAAAAATTCTTATGAGGATTGTACAAAAGATTCATACCAAAAACATGAGGCTCAGTTCGGACAACCTCTCAAAACAGAAAACCGCTTTAAAAAAACGGTCCAGAAACGCGTAAAAAAACATTTAAAAAGAAAGCGTGCGGCAGCGGGTAAACCGTGAGATTTTTGCCTCCAGTTGTACGCCGCGCGCTCGTTTTTTTGGCCATAACTTTTTTTCTTAGTGGAGCTTTTTTTCAAACACTAAACGGATTATGAAAATGGACAGTCTCCTCTATCGAACAATGTAAAAAAACATATTTTTTTGAATCGTTCTGAAGAAATGGCTTGCGGTCCCTAGGTATACATTGTCTATATAAAATAACAATCTATAAGTGAGACGAATTTTCCAAATTGATTTTGATTCATATTGCGAGCTGAATGATCATTCTTCTGGAAGTTATGAACTAATTTTGAAAATACTTCTTTTATCTGCTCAAATAATCAAAAATTATAAGTTTGAACTCGCTTGAGGACATGCTGCGATTTAAGAAAATACTGTAGACTACATAAGTTTCCTGACAATTTATCAATAATGATTCCTCTTTTTCCAGTCTCGGAGAGTGCTGCTCAGCAACGAGATCGTTCAGATTTCCGTCTTCGATTTTTTATTTTTAATAAATTCAAGTTTTACTTGCTGGCTTCATTTTCATTCCGAATTTTCTCCGAGCGAAATTTCTGCATTTTTCAATCTTCCGAAAAATATTTTTCGAGAACCAACTTGGGGATCAGGTGTTTCGAACTCTTTTCATGCTCAAGAAGTCCAGAAAATTCGATCCAAGGTTCTATTGTTATAGTCTGTTCAGATTTTGAATTTCAAGTAGAATGACGTCATTTGAAAACGCTCTGTGGATGGCTCGCTCTCTGATTGGTTTATCGCGCCATTAGGGGGCGGAGCTTCAGCGAGGACTTGACATTTGAAATCTGAACAGACTATACAAAGAGAAAGCGGTCTTTGGCCGTTCTTAGAATTTTCATGAAAGCTTATTGTTGTTTCTCTAATTATGAAGAAAAAACCACTTTCTTGAGTATCATATTCTTTATTGAAAGGAAAATTGTTACCGTGGCCTTGAAGTTTTCGGGAATGTATCATGTTCAAAGGTATTGGAAAAATATGCAAAAAAATTATTTCTACAGTTAGGGTGAGGTAATCCACCACCTAGTGTGCTTCCATAGGAACCTCGTTTGAATAACTATATTTAAGGGAACTTTTCACTCATTAGACGTTGATACCCCGGCAAAAATTCGAAAAAAATCTCAAAAAATAAACGATTGTACGAGATGACGCTTTTTTGAGACCGTAGTTTTTTCATATCCGAATAAATCGAACGACGAAAAGGTTTCAGGCTCAGATGATCACTTTTTGTTTATTTTTTAAGAAATTTTGTTAGTTGAGAAAGTTTTCTCTAAAGAATCAATTATGTGGAAACTGGAATATAGGAAACTGTCTCGTTCAAGTCTCGCGGAACAACTAAAATAGGGTAGGGATGACCGGGACCAGTTTTATCTTCCATCGGAGAATGTATTCAATTAGGAGAACAGCGTTTTTTTTCAAGTTCGAGTGACCTTTTCCGACAAGCAGTATTGCAAACAGGCTCTCTGTATCTTCATCCTCAACTCAATACTCTAGAAGAGTAACTTCAGAAAAATCCCAATTGCTGGTGTATCGCTCGAAAGACGAAATATGAACACGGAACCAGTAGGCGAATTTTATACGAAAAAAATTTTTATTAAATTAAATACCCCAGTACTCTTACCCGGGTCTATAAGCCACCAAAGTTTCAACTCGAAACGCGTACCCGAGTCCGAGTAGTTCCCTAGTCAGAATTAGGAATCTTCTATAAGCTCGCTTAATTTACTTTTAAGGAATCTTCCTGATAGTCTTATACCTGAAGCTTCATTCCGAAATATATTTTTTTTCAAACTAGCATTTCTTTGACACGAGAACTATCAATTTTTAATTGAGCCCGACCTTGGTCTTGTGTCATTTCTATAGAAAATACTTGAGTGTTCTTGACTATTTGAGAACTTCTAGCTCCAGTCGAAGATATGATAATCTTGCAAGAATCAATTTCGATATGAAAGCTCAGTTAGGGCCTGCGCCTAAAGATTCACTATGAAGATTGGGTTTATACCTTTGCGTTCCGGCGGCTTCCTCGGCGTGTGGCGCTCTCCTGGCGAGAATGTCGAGCGGAAGTCAGAGCTCTCCCCATGGGAAGAGTTGCTAAGAATAATCTTCTAGGGGCTGGAATCGTCGCGTTAACCTTTCTTGTCTTATCTCAAAAAGTTCATCTCAAGTTTTTCCTTTCACGAAGAGAAGGATGATATTCTTTTTATCACTTTTTTTCAGTCCTTTTTCATCTTCCTCACGGTCTAATAAGTGAATTTCATAAACTTTCACCGATTTTTCCGATTTTTGTGAGGGACGTCTGAAAAAAATAAGTATTTCCAAGAATCTATATGGTGATTTTTGCGGTTTTGGAGAGAGGCAGGCGAGTTTTTTTGTTGGATATTTCTTATGGAGGTTGAACTCGAACCGCTGGAGTTAAATAAATAATTAAAGAAAAAAACGCTTCTGGAAAGTTATAGAACATTTGAAAAAAATTTTTGGAACTTTTTAGAGGGGAAACCTGATCTTTACGACGTGATGAGACTAGAAGCATACAGAACAATCTAGAATCAGCTTGATATAGAAGATATCCCGCCGCATAGAATTTTCCTCAAACTGGTTAAAGTTGGTCGAAACAAGACAGGCTCGCTTGCTGGAACAGGACAACGATTGAATCACTCTTGGAAAAAAATTTTTCAAAAAAAAAACAGAATAATAGGCTTCGCCGCCTTCAGTTCGATCCTCCATCAAAGAAATACTTCAATCAGAGAGCCATCTTTTTCTTCCAAGTTCGAGTGACATTTCCGACAAGCAGTATTGCAAACAGGCTCTCTGTATCTTCATCCTCAACTCAATACTCTAGAAGAGTAACTTCAGAAAAAAATCCCAATTGCTGGTGTATCGCTCGAAAGACGAAATATGAACACGGAACCAGTAGGCGAATTTTATACGAAAAAAATTTTTATTAAATTAAATAAATGGGAGAAGTAAGGGACGCTTTCGTGGAGGGGTAGCAGCCTGGCCTTTCGTTAGGCATATTTTTTTCAACCTTCTGAAAATTTGTATTGAGTTTTGAATTAAATAATGTTTCAAGCGTCTTTCAATATTTCTGCCAGACCCATTTTTACATTTGAAATCAAAGAGGTCTATGAAAAAGAAGCTATGTTTTTGAATAAGCAAGCAAGGAACAGATTATGATCAAGCTTTAAAAGGTTTGACTGTTTTTTTTCAACAAAAACGCGAAGTAGCCGCCCAAGTTAGTGAAAATACGGTATTTTTCTGTTTTACTATCAGATTGAAATATACATTTTTGGATGATACCTATAAAAAGAAGAAGTGTGGCGCCGCGCGAACTCGTTTCAGTTTCGTTGATTGTCTGAAAACATAGATTTTTGAAGTGATTTCTTTTTCAATCGCTCAACTGCAAAATCGCTTGACTCTGCTCTCAAGACTTCTCGTGGTGGCAGATCGCAGGACCGGTCTGTAAACCATATTATTCATGTACTTTTAACAAGAACTTATAGAGAAAGGCCACGTTTCAATCAATTTTTTTGATCTTTCTTTGATAGTTTCGCTTAAAATACTTTTTCCATATTTTCAGAGCTGAAAAAACTTCAAATTACTCAGTTGGTTGGTAAAAAAAGTACGAACTCAACTCCTCAAGTGTCTAATTCACGTCCGGCTTTGAAAACCATATATTTCAAGGATTGAAAATACAATTTTTGCTTTCGGGTTGGTAACTGCGCTTCGAAAAGGAAACTGAAGTGGCTATTATAGGAGTAACGCAAGAATATAATCGAGATCTTCTCTTAACAGTTGACATTTGTAATTAGGAAAAAGTACTTCTATTTAATCTTTTTAGTTCAGGAAAAAAGTATTACTTTTGAAGGAAAATTTTGGATGAAAAAGTTCATGGAAGGTCTGCGCCCTTGTAGACTCCAACTCGGACATTTTTAACGCGAAACGGACGTGCTCCGGACGTTTCTGGGCGATTCTAGGGATCACTTCAGAGTGCTGCGGCCACTAAAGTGGTCACTAGAAATACCCCGACACGTCCGATTCGCGTCCTTTTCGCGTTACCACGGTCCGAGCAAAAGGAAAGGGGAATTAATACCTCCTAGCTCCGGCGGCTCCATGGGTCTTCCGGCGCACTCGGGAGTCGAGCTCTTTCCTCGAGATCAGGATATAAAATACCTTCCTATGGTCGGAAGTCGTCACGTTGATTTCTCTGATCTTATCTCTCTCTACTCAATCAAGTTTATTTTTCACGCGTCAAGTCGTCAATTTCTTTTCTTTATTTTGCTTCTAATTAGTCCAAATTTAGGTTCTTAATAATACTTTCTTTCTTTTTAGCCCATTTTTGAGACAGAGATAAGAATGAGAAAATTATCCCACTGCTAGGATATGAAAATAAAAAGTATGCGGCCTCTGGCAATCTTGAAAATGATATTTTTTTGTTCAATGAAGTTTTTGAGATTTTTCAATTCATTATTGTAACGAAAAGGATTAAAAATACTTATTTACTTAGATACTTAGATGGTCCATCTTCGCTTTCGACCTTTTATTGCCTTTTAGTGCCTTTTATTGATCGAAGCGTGGACCACACGTTTTCCAGGAGGTCTTATGCAATCGGTCATCCAGTGTTGTCGTCCTGGTTGACTGGTATTCTTGCGAAAAAAATCCATCCGTGGTGTTGAACGTGTTATAGCATAATTGTGGTCTTATTATCCTTTTTGCCTTGCCAGGGCTAAAAAAGACCGCCCATTCTGTTAGCAGGAGCAAGCCGAATTGCGTGACCGGTGTACCGTTAGCCGCCATAAATGGCGTTGCCTCCCCATCACCGCGTAGAGGTGGTACTTGAAGGGGGATTAAAAATATGATATTAATATTCTGAAAGCCCTGTTTCAGTTCCCAAAGGCCTCTAAATACAAGAATGAATATATATTTTATTGAAATTTCAGTCTTAAAGCTCTTGACCGGTTGAAAAGCGACTATTTGAACATGATGATCAACTTTTGGAGGAAGATTTAACGGTTGAGATGACGACTTTATAGTGACGTCATGTTTTCTCTTCCAACTGGGACAGCTTCATAATTTCAGGTTCAACGTGACACAGTGTCTTCCGAAGAAACGCTAAGATTGATCGAAGACCAGAAGAAGTCGGATGAATACGACAGAGAAGAAGAAGAAGTTCTAATTGAGTCGAAGAACTTCCGAAAATCGTCGAGAAGAGTTTGGACAAGTTGGACGAACGTGAAACCAGTATCAGTGAAAAAAGCACCGTTCCATATGTCAGTTTTCTCCGAGTGCTGAGTTCTCAGCAATATAATAGTGTCCCAGTAATTAAAAAAAAGTCTCAAAGCAGGAAGCCAAGATTCATAAAAAGAGTTCCAGGGTCACTCTTAATTTTCCTAAGTCCTCCTTTCGCATCTTAGCATTCCGAGGGAAAAATCTTTTTCGAAAAAAATATAACAAGGCTTTAATTATTTAAATTTATTACAAAAAAATCAGGGGCGACAAGGTCCTGAAGGTGTGCGGAATGAGGCTTCTCTTCGGGTCGTTTCCTCTTGGGTAGGATATAGATCGTTCATTTACTCCTGAAAAAAAGTTGTCATTTTGGTCTAGGTGAAGGTGTAACTCACCTATTTTGGTGGACGATGGCGATACCTTAATAAAGGTTTTGCCATTTTTCTTCCCTCTTCGTTCAGAAATTTGCGTTTTGAGAAAAAGTCTTTCTAAGTAAACTTTTGCCGTAGAGCTAGGAGGGCTTACTACGTTCAGTAATACTTATTTTCCACTGACTCAGGCCAAAGGTCGTAGGAAAAGAGTTGATTAGCGCTTTTTGATTCATTTTTAATGGATTACAAATCTATCAGTTTGTCAAAAGAGACTGCGCCCGTGTAGATTTGTAAAGGAAAGGGGGATTTATACCTCCTGGCTCCAGCGGGTCCATGGCTCTTCCGACGCGGTCCGGGGAGCGAGTCCTCTTCTGGGCGGGAAGCTTATAAAATACCTTCCTATGGTCGGAAGTCATCACGTTGATTTCTATGATCTTATCTCTCTCCTCAATCAAGTTTATTTTTCAACGCGTTAAGTCATTTATTTCCTCATGTTTTAAGTTATTTCGGTTCTTATCGCTCAAAATGAAGGACAAACTCGTAAAAGTAGCACCCGTTTCGCAAAATTATGACGTATTAGCCCAACTGGTGCTACTGACCCGCATTAGAGTCGTTATATCGCAAGAAGCAACATCGAATAGTTGTACCTCGAAGCGAATAGACTTGCTCCTGAGCTTTGCGACTAACTATTCAACTTAATTTTTTGATCTCGGCGCTGAAAAGTATTACCAATTTTCAGAGCTACTATATAATGCCACGTTCAAAAAAGCTAATTTTATGAGCGTAACGGAATATTTCACAGTTTAGAAGCACGGTCCTTTTATGGAGTTTTGAACGCGAAATTCAATTTATTTTTATGGAATAGTTTTTTTTTGTTACATTTTGAAATTACCTTCCGAAAAAATCCGAAGAAACGCTAAGATTAACCGAAGACCAGGAGAAATCGGACGAATTCGACAGAGAAGAAGAAGTTCAAATCGAGTCGAAGAATTTTCCGGAAATCGTCGAGAAGAGTTTGGACGAATTGGACGGACGTGACACCAGAATCAAAGAAAAAAGCGACGTTCCATATTTCAGTTTTCTTCTTTTCCGAGTGCTGAGTTCTCAGCAATACGATACTTACTTGATACTTTACTTACTTTGATTGTCCAATTTCGCTGGCGATGTTCTCAGCGTGGACCACACGTTCTCCAGGCGGCTCGGTCTTGCGCGACGGTCATCCAGTGGCGGCCTGGCTGACTGATGTTCTTGCGGAAGTAGTCCGTCCATCTGGTCGGTGGGCGCTTGATGTTTCTCGGGATCCAGTGGGTCGTTCTCGTGGACCAGCCGTCATCTTGTCTGAGAATGACATGGCCTCCCCAACGATGTTTCCCGCGTTGAATGTGCTCTTCGAGGTCCCGGATTTGGGACCGCTGACGGAGGTCGTCTGTTCTTTTTTCCACTGTTCGAAGCGAGTGGTACCGACGAGCGCACGTTCCAATGCGCGGTAAGATGTTCGTAGGGCGGTCGTGGTGTTCTTCGTGTCAGGCCAAACTTCAGTCGCGTAGGAGATGGCGGGGATGACGGATGCTTCGAAGATGTGCGCTCGCAGTTTTGGGTCTTTCAGCTGGTTGGTAACTTCTTTTATGGAGTTAAACGCGGCCCATCCAGCTCGTCGGCGTCTTGCTATCTCTGGTTTCAGATCGTTCGTCATGTTGACTTCTCGGCCGAGATATACGTAGGAGTTGACTTCAAGCAGGTCTCGTCCTTCGAGGGTGACGTTACCTTGGTCGCAGAAGCGGTTCCTCAACCACTGCGTTTTCTTCTCGTTCATCTGAAATCCGATCTTCTTTCCGACGGCGTCTAGATCGTTGAGCATGGTTGACAGGTCGGAGGTGCTGTTGGCGAAGAGGACGATGCCGTCGGAGAAGCGAAGATTTGTTAAGATCTTGCCGTCGATGTTAATGCCTATGCTTTTCCGAATAGGACTTCCATTCTTTCAGATAGAACCTTTCTTTCGATCTTCTCGTTTCCGACCGGATCCATATAATTTTTCTCGATCGGTTTCAAGCTTTGTCGTAATTAGTCAGAGACTTATTTTCAGATCATTCTTTCCAAAATTTCTTTTTATTTTGTTCGATTTTGGTCCAAATTTGGCATCATTTGATCTATAATTTTTTTGGGGACCACCGAGGTTAAAAATTTACTTCGGCATAGATGGTGTTAAGTGCCCTGATCTCTGCATGACTTTTTCAGATTTTTCAGAATTTTTCTTGATTTTTTTCAAATAATATATATCATTTCGTTCGTTGTTTCAGTCAAACATTTCATCGACTTTGAGCAACAACTTTTGAGTTCTATCGATCAGCTGCCTTTGGTGAACTAGAAGTCTTTTTTGACGAGCTCGGAATAAATAGGCGGTGAAGCTGATCTCGGAGGCCGTTCTCTAGGCAGGTACCTACCCGGTAGCATCCAGATACCGACCAGGTACTATCCAGGTATCATAGAGATAGTCCCCGGTCGCATACAAATGACCACCGATTACCATTCGCCGATTGACTAGAGTTGCTACCCGGTACCTACTTGTATCGACCTCCCGATTCACCAGTTATTGAATAATGAGAAGCCAAAATGAAAATTCAAAAAGTTTATCTCAATATGAAACCGAAAAATACGTTGCATCAAACTTTGGGTTGAACTTAACGAAAAAAAAAGAAAATAAAATGAAAAAAAACGTCTAAAAAACTACGTGATTGACGATCCAATGGAAGTCAGTTTTTATAGAACCTGCGTCGCGTATAGCCGCTCTCGCCGAGAATCGGTGAGGATTTCGACTCTGCGTTTTTATAGGTACTTTAACTAGATATGTCCTTTAGATTTGGAGGATCATCAAATAATACAAAAACTTTGACGCTTCATTTAGCTGAGCCAAACTGAGGAAAGATTGTCTGTAAAAAATGAAGTTGAAAAAAAGCATACATTGTTTTTTTGTTCAAAAAAAGGCAGGCCTTTGATGTCACCTCTCTCGGACATTGTTATCGCGAAACGGACGCGGATCAGACGTGTCAAGGCATTTCTAGTGACCACTTTAGTAGCCTCAGCGCTCTTAAGTGATCCCTAAAATTGCCCAGAAACGTCCGGAGCATGTCCGGTTTCCGTCACCGAAGTCTAAGCTAAAGTTTTCCAAGATTCAACTAGGCGCAGTTTCCTTTCAAAAATATGCGTTTAAGTGACAACAAACTAACGTTCTCATTTCAAATTAAACAAACGACTTTCCGTTGCTGAGCGAGTCGAGAAACTCTTTGAAAGGGTTGGTAGACGTGTTAGGGTTGCGCTTTTCAATTCTGACGAATCTTATCAGACACAGGTTTCAGCTCAAACTACGATAGTAAAAATTTGATACGAATCCTTGTGACCAGGTTCTATGGTCTTTTTTCTGCTAATTATCTTAAGTTGTATCGAAAATTTGTGTCTGTGAGAAGAAAACCGTGTGGTATATACCTTAAATGTGAATGTGAAGAAGAAATATTTCAGGAGATACGTTCTCAGTTTTTTCTTTGGCAATGCAAAAGCTGAAGAATTACTTTCATGGGCATGAAAAAGGTATAAAGATGCTGTGAGAGAAAAAGTTATTTTGGTTTTGATTTTAGTTTGGGCGCTCATTAACGCAAACGCTAACCATGTGGAGATCAGAATGGTGGAAAACGTGAGAGAAAACGCTGGCGCCTATGATAAAATGAATGCAACTTGGCCCATGTATCCTGGAATAACAAATCGGAAGGATAAACGCGCCTCAAGCAAACGTCTCCCCTGCCAGACTCCATGTGAGTTGAACAAGTTTCACAGTCAACTTTGCTCTAGACAATAGAAACTTAACTATAACTTGAGCATTCATCCTGAATTAATTTTAAAAATTTTCAAAGCCTGCGTAGTTGACTTCGAATTTTTGGCTATCTATTCTCGATATTAGTTTTTATTTATTCCAACTGTTTTACCTTTAAAAAAGAACTTTCAGCGTCGCCGTCGTTTTGGCGGAAAACCCATTATGTCATCAACGGTTCCCGCGTTAGGTATTTTTTTGAATTTTATTCATCCGTTTTTTTCAAACCCTTTTTCTTTTTCATTTTTTTCAGAAAGAGGAAGAATCGAAAAAAACGAGCAGGAGCTGCCAGTCTGATTTTATCGCCATTTTTTAAAATTATTTTTAATAAAGTTTAATAATTGATTTGTGGGTCTTTTTTCTTTTTTGATGGTTCAAGTCCCATCTTCATTTTTTAAATTTCGCCTGGGACTGATTGAACGTGGGCATCTGCTTTGTTACAAATTGTGCTATTTCTTTAATCTCTTAGAATGCTGTCCTTCTGAAGTTCGTCTTGTCGATTCTTTGTAGTTGAAAGAACAAAGGTGAATCGGGAGGTCGATGCAAGTAGGCACCGGGTCGCAACTTATTAGCTATTTTCATGGAGCCGGAAAGCATACGCTCGTCAGGAAATCTACCCGGTAGCATCGCGATACCGCTCCGGTACTATCCAGGTAGCATAGAGATAGAACCTGGTACAAACGATCACCCATTAGCATACGTATGCGCCTGTTCAAGGTGGCCGGTCGTATTACGGTAGTTTGGATAGGTTTTTCAATGATAAAATGAAATCTTGTGTACTTTTTGTGACGTCCCCCTTGTAACCTTGATAAATAGGTCCTTAACAAATTGCAGAAAAAAGAAAATTTAAAAAATCTTCCTGGCTCCGAAACGGACTGCGCAATATTGACCGGCCGCCGTAGCTCTATCTCAAACATGCGTGATACGCCGATAGACTTTGAGTTGCTACTTTGTACTACTATTGTCCTCCTAATTGACTAGTGAATTTTTGTTTGCTTTTGTTCCTTGTTGAGGCTCTTCAAATCGTGTTTTATTGCAGTAACGTCCTTTTCATGGTAGAAATCACGGACCTGTTGAAAATTCGTCTCGAAAGCCAAAGGCCAGCCACAGCATTCTAAAGCGGGGTTCCCGCCCCTTTTCTGAAAAGCATGCGGACGTTGCATGAGTGGGCGTGGCTAACAATCGTCTTTTTCGCGTCGTAATTAAGAGTCCGGATTTTTTGATTATTTGAAGGCTAGCATTTTTTTTTCCTGATATTTATAGTTTCCAAGTGTTGCTAGCCATTTCCTATAACTCTCTTAAAATGTCGCAGTTTATTTTCTTGTGGTTTGATTGGTTCAAAGGACTACATAATTGTTCTGTTCACGAAAATCGAAATTTTTAATTCAGGTTTGATTTCGTATTCTTTTTTTTCCTGTTTAAGTAATTGAAAACTGATAATGTGATCGATTCCTGGAGTTGAAATTTCGATTTTAGGTTTTGTCTCTTAGGTACAGACCAATTACACCTTTTTTTGAATTTTTCGTCAAGTCGAAATTTTTCTCTTTTGCGCGGACACTGACAGCTTTTTTTTTCTTGTTTATTAGTTGGAAACTGATATTTTGATCGATTCTTGGAGTTGGAATTTCGATTTTTCGGTTTTTGTCTCTTGGATACAGTATTTTCTTTTATAAACAACGTTTCGACACATTAACGAGCTATGGACACTTTAAAAACTTTCTAATACGTTTAAAAACATTAATTCAAAATTTACGTGCATAGAAACAAAAAAAGATTTTAAAAAACAATCGAAAAAAGTTAATAGCATGTAAATTAAAGAAAAAAAAAGCAACTTGATTTTGATTGACAACGCTCCAAGTTACGCGCTCCATTGAGAATAGTGTGCGCCTCTTTTTGGGTGAACCCCGTTTTAGAACGCTGTGCCAGGACATTGTGTCGTTTGGTTGGGATCGGGTGCTTCAGAAGAACTCCATCGAATTTCATTAAATTTAGAAAAACTAAATGAGAATTCCTTGCTGAGTTATTCAATAAAACAGAGATCTCGCATTAGCCAAAATAATTCCGGAAGAATGAAACCTTCACTTTTATTGAAATCATTCCATCAAAATTTATAGAACAAATTACATAGAACCGACAAGAAGAATTCAGATTGACAACATTCCGAAGCGATTAAAAAAGTATAAGTAAATGACAACGAAATTCAAAGTGTGAAGACGGGACTGGAAGCATCATAAAAAAAATAACAAATGATCACTTATTCAACTTTATTTATTTTAATTCTAAGAATCATGGTGAAATAAGGAAGGCAGAAGTTCTTCTTTTTTTTCCTGAAAATCGTCTTGAAAATGGTAGAGAAAAACGTTTTGAAAAGTACCTGGGAAAACTTCTCTTCAAAACGACCAAAGACCGAGTATCGGGAAACTATTACGTTCTGAAAACGAAAATTTTAATCAACTTTAGAAAAGGACATTGTCTTGCGAGGCCATCAAAACTAGGAAATTAAAAAATTTTAGAAGTTTGACAAAAATTTGTGAGAAGTTTATCAGTTTTCTCCAAAAATAAAAAGAAAAATGCTCAACTTCAACGGCTCGAAACTGATTTTAATTTTCTACTATGAACCTTGATCTCATTTTACAAATGATTTTTTCAGCCTCCGGTTGGAAGTTTGAAGGAATTAGGACTTTCGGAAGTTTTGATTCTAAAATAAGGCAAATGATATATAGTCATTTCTGTTCCATAGTCAGGATAAAAAAAAAACAAAAATGCACAAGTTAAGTAAAAAGGCGTTATTTGAAGCTACAAGTGTCCAAACTATAAAGTGAAGAATAATAAAAATTGAGTCGAATTTTGTCCAAAATTCAGTCGGAGCTATTTTTATCTTCATTTTTGAAGAGATAATTATCTTGGAAAACTTCAAAGAAGATTATATGAAGTTCACACATAGCTATTGCAGATCCTCTATTTTTTTATGAACAGACTAGTAATAACAAAGAGCACCAAGATCCTCACCTATTTCCAGGAGATCGCGTCACTCGGGTCGACAATTTTATGAAGGGGCTATCCTAGGAGCGTCGAAAACGTTATTTTTTAGACGTTTCACTCTTTTTCTACTGTAAGTTCAATTTAAATTTAATTAACCAACGAAGTTTTAGATGTGAGGAGGCCGCACCCCGGGGCCAACGTATGAATCTACGATTGCGTCAGAGTATAGCTGATTCACGGCTGACTTGAGCCTCGAGAAAAGGGTCCTGCCACGAAAAGAGACGAGACAGTGCCCTGGTTGGTGGAGAGTGCAGACAGGCCACGCCTTCTTGCGTCCCAAGCTAGCCGTGAATCTTCTATACAGTTATAGACGCCAAAACTTAGAACAACGCCATTTTTAAAAATTTTGGATTTCGCGAAATCAAATCTTGGAAAAATTTTATCAAAAATCGCTCAGTTCAGAAGTTAATCGTTTTTTTGAAGCGCTATGACTTTTTTTCAAATTACTTTCTACCATTAATTTTATACATTTTACAATCTTTTTTATCTAGCATGGAGCCCTTATATTCAATATTAGCGAAACCTCTATAGCTGATTCACGGTTGGCTCGAAACATCAAAAAAGGGTCCTGACACGATTGAAAAAGAAATAGTGCCCAGTTATTAGAGAGCGCAGACCCGCCACGCCTTCTCAGCTTCTCAAGTTAGCCGTAAATCGGCTATAGCTGATTTACGGCCAGCTTGGGACGCTAGGAGAGCGTGTCCTGTCTGCGCTCTCGACGATCCAGGCGCTATCTCGTGCATTATCGTGTCAGGACCCTTTTTTCGATACAGTTCCCTGGTTGGTGGAGAGTACAGACAGGCCACGCCTTTTTGCGCCTCAAGCTAGCCGTGAATCGTCTATATCTATCAACGGCTGAGAAATGCTAATATTTTTTTTCCAAAAGCAATTATGAAAGTTTTATTTCATTTTTTTGTTGGAAAATTTTTACGAGCAATGGGTTCAAGGAGAAAATGTATGTTGTTTGAGGTTTCCAATTCGGGTTTCAACTCTTCTAAGCTTGAACTTTTTTCGCGTCCCTCTTTTGCGAAATTCGGATTGGATACGAAGTATGGAGATCTGTGTATTCTGCAGCGAATTCATGAGTCAAAAAATCTGCAACAGATTCCATACTTTTTCCAGTTCCTGACTCGAAATTCTTCTTTTTTAAAGCAAGCTGATGCAGCTGTCATGGGAAATTAACAAAACTCAAAAAAATGCAAAAATAAATGAATCGTAAACAATTTCGATGGATTCTTAAAATTTTCTGGACAATAATGAGAAAAAAAAACATCTTGTATTTTTTGGTAGTACGAAGCGAATGGCGACTTTTCCGATTTTTTCCCTCATATTAATCGGTTTATCTATTAAAATTTTTTTTCCCTTTTCTTTGTTTTTGGTCATGAATCAGTTTGGCTTGTTTATTTTTCCATAGCACCGTATTTTTGAAGTTTCTCGTGTTTAGACGCTCGCCGTGTAGCAAGAGGCCATATAGTCTGTTCAGATTTTGAATGTCAAGCAGCTAACTCCACCCCCAAGGCTACAATATCTTTCGCGTCAATGTTTTATTTACATATGCCAATGGCCCTTTAATAAGGCTGCTTTTTTGACTTCTTTTTCTATCTTTTAGATCGAAAAAAGATCAAAATTAGTCCCGCGCGATGAAACATCGACGTGAAAGGGTACCGTCTCAGCAGGGGCGGAGTTAGCTTCTTGACATTCAAAATCTGAACAGACTATAAAACGAAAAATCGTGTTCATCGGCGCGCCAAAGTTGCTCCAAAACGGTGCTAATTTTTGTTTTGGAGCGATTTTTTTGCGCTTCGAAGCAATTTCCGTTATGTCCGATGAACATGCCATAAGTGTCCAATATGCGTAGAATTCTCGATTATGGTTAGGTTTTAGGTTTTGAAAAACCAAATATTGGCGGCTAAAAGTAGGAGATTTTGTGTTTCTTTTCAATAAATTTCATGTCAGCCTTTTCAATTTGACCTAAAATCGAAATGTGTCAAGTGCGAAGTTGTAGGCGCCGCTATTTCTAGACCAGGGGCGTGGCTTGCCTCACCGTAATTTTGTGCAGTGGCGCGCACATGCTTACTTTTTCCTCAGTCATTTTTCTTTATATTTCTTCATTTTTCATTTTTCTTATTCATATTTCTTTTTAAGTATTCCCATTTTGATTTCAATATAACTCCTTCTATTATCTAATTAAATTTTTTTAATTTTTTTGAATACATGGTTCTTCTGTCTTTAGTATCGTAGACGAATTTCTTGAGGCCGAAAATCGTTTTTTTAGTTTAAATGAGTGTACGCCATTGCGAATAATTTCATTTTCGGGGTTCTTCTACTTTCCCATAAAGATTTTTTCGAGCCATAAAAAGTGAGCTCTTTATTTCGATGAAAAATCTCCTATTTTGATAAGTTCAGGCCCTTTTTTCTAGTTTCTTTTGAACACTTTGCGAATGTGTCCAAAGTCCACAGGAAGAGGACTCCAACTATTTGATGAAATCTACATCGTCGACGACTACTTCTTTGGTCGAATTAAAAAGTTTTATAGTTTATTTGCTTTTTATTATCTCCGCGAAGCATACACCGCTGTGGGAAGTGTAGCTACCGCATGTAAAGGTTTAAAAGCCTAAATTCATTTTTCAGAAGGAAAGCAGATATGATGATTTTGCAGTTAACACGATCTATTTTTGAGATTTGTGTCACGACGGCTTCATTTTTCCTGGATTTGAACGAATAACTTCGGTCCTCTGGTCATGCGCGTCATTTACCTTCATCTCCATGCAAAATCTTGACGCTGTTAAGCGATTCTATCTGAATTAAAGAAAATTCCCTATTAAATATTATGTTCAAGATACACAAAAGATAACTGGCTATTCGGGTGTGATATAAAACCTAGTTCGGGAGCGGTACATCGACAATCACGCAAATATTTAAATATCGTCTCCGCGCGGATCTCGCATTTATCTCGCTTTTTTTAACGAACTAGTAAATATTTGAATATTTTTCAAATCGCGATGTTGCGCCAAGATAAATGCGAGGCCGCTTCTAAAAAAATGCGAGACCCGCGCGAAGACATAGCGACATGTTTACGAATTCGTCAATGTACCGCCAGCGAGCTCGGCAGTTCTTCTCAGTGTACCTCCAAATGTTTAATAGAGCACAGTCAAATTGAATAAAAAGTAATTGGTGCAGTTTTTCAGTGTTTTTTTAGGCCTTGCGAGATTTATGCCTCTTCAAAGTTTTTCGAGTTCTACTTGACAATCCTTTACTGCGTTATAATTCGAGAAATTTCGCATATACCCTAAACTTTTTGACGCGTCTTGTTTTTTTCGGTTTTTATTGGGTCGCGTTGCCATATAGATTCGAGTTCGTCCGAGATTTTTTTCGCACGGTAAGTTCTTTCCGTACACTCAAAAGTCTTACGCTGGTAGAATATTCTTAACTCATTTCTAAAGTATGGAATTGCGCAACTTATTTGGATTCCTATGCTTATTACGCGCAGTGTATAATAATTTGAAGAATCCAAAAAAAGTGATTAAAATAGCTGAATTTTTTTGAATTTGTTCGTCAATTTTTCTCCACCAACAATTAGAAAACTAATAATTGTGAAGCAATGAATAAATGCTGCTCCACATTTTTTTGCAGAATGATTTCAAAGAAAGTACTTGAGAAGAACCATATCTTCGAAAAATTAAGAAATAGAAGGAGTTATATTGAAATCAAAGGGGAATACTTAAAAGAAATATGAAAAAAAGAAAATGATGAGTATAAAGGAAATGACTGAGGAAAAGTAGGTATGTGCGCGCCACCGCACAAGGTTACGGTGAGGCAAGCCACGCCCCTGGTCTAGAAATAGCGGCGCCTCGAAGTTGTTTTCATTTAGATTCAGACACGCTAGAGGGCCTTTTCTCACAGACCGAGATCCCATCGAAAACGGTAAGGAAATGCTCATTCCGGTAAATGTGAGCTCGAATTCTAGACCCACGCATATCGTCTGCAAGTACAACGTCCTGACGCGATGCGTGTTACCTCTCCACTGGTTCCATAGAATTGAAAGGTACTTTCGGCTGTGTACAGAACAAGGTTTGTGCGGGATGGTGCGCGGGCGACAGACTCTCTCAGCGTTGGCTGCGCCAGCCCCTTAAATAGGAGCTGGAGCAGGAGGCGCCTTTGTTAGCGTCCTCAAGGACGCTACAACGGGCCGCGCCCAAGGGCGCGGTTCCATTGTAACATCCCCCTATTCTGAGAGTGACGTGTCCCACGTCAATTCATTAAAAAAAAACATATGCAACTAACAATTGTGGCGAAAAAATTTCGTGCTGTTCGTTCTGTCCGTGCTAGTGCTGAAGACGTTTGGGAGGTTTCCGGAGTCGCTGAGGACGCTGAGGAGCAGGTTGTTGAGCTTCTCGAGATTGTTCTGGCGCTTCAGCGATCGTGTCGTCTTCCGGGTAGTCTTGGAGTTCCTCGGTTTGCTATAGTCCGTTCAGATTTTGAATGTCAAGTAGAATGACGTCATTCGAAAATGCTCTGTGGATGGCTCGCTCTGTGATTGGTCTATTGCACCATTATGGGCGGAGCTTGGGCGACGACTTGACATTCAAAATCTGAACATACTATAGGCGTCAGTGATGTGGTTCCTTTTGAACAGTCGGACGTCGTTTTTGTGGGCCTTCGCAATGCGATTATCTTGTGCGTATTGGATGTTCGGTCCGGAGACGCTTATAACCGTGTTTGGTCCGTGAAGATACGGAGCCAGTTTGTTCTTTGCCGGGGCGCGTTTGACGAGGACCAGATCGCCTGTGCAGATTTTTCTTTCGGCGATTTGGTGCGTTTTCTCGTAGTTCTTCTTCTGTCGCGCCTGGCCAACACGTAGACGTTCTCTGGTGAATTTCCAGAGTTCGGCGAGCTGTATGCGCAGCATTGTGGCATGATCGTCTTCGTTGATGTGTACTGGTATTGGAGATTTCCAGATTACATCTGCCGGAATGCGCGGTTCTCGCCCGTGTGTCACGAAGAACGGTGAGAGTCCAGTTGTTGTATGCGGCGTCGTGTTTAGCGCAAATGTAATTAGGCGTTGTTAGTCGTCCCAATCCGATTGCGCGTCATTGACGAACGCTGTGAGGGACTCTTCTAGCGTTCTGTGATACCTTTCCATCTTGTCCGATGCTTTTTTTGTGATATGGAGCCGTACTGGAAGGTGTGTGGTGCCCCGCAGAGCCCCATACGCCGAAATTGGTACGTGCCAGATGGGGTTGTAAAAGCGGTCAGCGGTCGGTCTTCTTCTCGAAGTGGTAGCTGGAAAAATCCAGATATAAGGTCGAGGTTCGTGAAAAATTTTGCTCCGGCTGCAAGGTCGACAATCTCAGAAACGGTCGGGATGAGGTAGACCTGTTTTTTCGTGACAGCGTTGAGTTGTCTATAGTCTACTGTAAATCGCCACCTAGAGTCCTTCTTTTTAACAAGGACAACGGGACTCGGGAAGGTCGATAACGAAGGTTCGATGATTCCTTGCGCTAGAAGTTCCTGTACTTGACGTTCGACTTCGTCTCGTTTTCCTAGTGGTATTCTGTAGGTCCTGGGCTTTGGAAAAGGCACGTCGTCCCGAATGTCGATTCGATGTTGGATCGAGCCAGTGAACATTCCAATGTTACCATCGTCGTTGAAGAACGCGCTGCGATGATTATTTTCCTCAGCTCTCTTTGTTGACCTTCATCGAGGGCGCAGCGTTGAAGGTTCAATTCCTTGAGCAGGTCTTTCGGTAGCGATGGGAGCTTGCTATCCCAGTCGGCTTCTGGTGGGGTGTATTGCTCGACTGGGATTGGCGGGAAAGTTCTTGGCTGTTCGGGAATCCGTAGCACGCAAGCTTGTCCGAGGATCGTTCCCTTTTGGATTTCGTAGGTGTTGTCAGAAACGTTCGTGATCCTGATGGTCATGATCCCTGGACTGGTGATGGTGTTCATGATTGTGATTTCGCCGTTTACTGGAGCGCGTAGAAGCAGGAGCTGATCCTCATTCACTGAGTCGTTAGTGAGGTCCAAGTTAACTCTCCGAGTGGTGTTTGCTGGTACCACCACGTTTGCTGGCCGATGACGTTGATCTTCTTTGAAGTGGTAGCAAAAGGTGATTCACCTTGTTGAAGTAGGCGGATTGTAGTGTTTCCGACTTCTAGAGTTCCTTCGCTTGGGTGGAGGATGGTAGGTACTCCTTGCTCGTCGAGGGCGGTCATTAGATCGTAACCAATGAGTGCTGGAAAGGTGTGCTGAATCGTATGTTTCCCAATGCCGACACGGAGGTTGATCTTCCCTAAGAAGCTGAACTTGGAGCCGTTGGCTGTTTGAGCGCTCCTGAGGAAGGTCTTCGCCATGTGACTGTCGGTGTAGTGGAGTGTAGACTGTGGGATGTACGAAATCGTTGCCCTGTGTAACATACAGCGACAAGTCCTCTGGATGCTAGGGTAATTGCTACATATGGAAGTGTAGTTTGAGGTCGCTCTAGCATTGTTGTCGCGTTCACTGTATCTAATGCCAGCGTACAGACAAGTAGTATTGCGATGGGAACGTACGTCATCAGACGAGGGATGTAGTTTCCTTTGGTGGCTCCTGTAGTAGGCTATTTCTGCTTCTTCCTCTTCTTCGTCGTTTCGTCCTTCACCGTCGATGGTGTGAAAATCTTGAAGTTCCACCGTGTTTATGGGTAGACTGGCGGTGACGCTTCGGAAGATGCACAGTTTGCAAGCGCGATAGGTCAAGGCGGCAAAAATCATGGCTGCGGCTATAGGGATGCCGACGTAGAACACGTATTTCATGTACCAATCTTCCAAGTTTTCCATGATGCCTTTGATAGCTCCGGTGGTAGTGTTGACGATGTATCCTCCTGCGGTTGCGATGTCCCGGAGAGAGGCGCGATCGATCAACCGTGTTCCGTGAAGAACGTTTACCAGCCGTGCTTGATTTTGTTGAAGGTATGCAAGGTTCGTGCCGAAGGACATTGCCATCATGAAAGGGAAGGCGGATCCTTTGGCTCGACCATAAAGGTCCGTTGCTTGGAAGACGATTGGTGTCATTTGTGAGTGTCCTTTTTCATGCCAGTTAGGAAGTTGAGTGACGTTAGCTTTTCCCTTATCCGTCCACCAGGTGCCATTTTCGTTCCATACGTGAAGAGAAGCCGCGGGGCATGGTGTTTTTGCTGAGGGGTACAAGAGATCACGGGAACCTGCGACGATGAATGCAAGTTCATTTTGTTCTGTCAGGACCGGTAGCAGGTGTTGTTGACTCGTTTCGAGCAGAAGATCTTTTTAGCGTATACTGATTGACATTTTGTTACTGCTACTATCGCATGGGAAGATTCAGAAGTTCTTCAGAAATTCAAAACAGCGATTACTTGAACAAAGGGTTTCGAAAACTTCTGTGAATCAATAATTGTTTCAAAAAACGTTTGAACTCTTGAGTTTTTTGATAAACTAATATGATTCGCAACTTTCAGAACTGGATGCGTCGGTAAAGCCGGTCGAGCCACGTCTTTCGTGACGGACGAAGACCGCCCGATCCTTCCCACCTTGCGACAGCTTCTTGTGGACGCCGAACAGGTCGGATTCATAATTTGAAAGCCCGCTTTACGTTCATTCCTAACTGTATCCAAAATATTTACACTGATAAAGAAAGATCTTTGAGCAATGAGAAGCCAAAATGAAAATTCAATAAGTTTATCTCAATAACAAATCATAAAATACGTTTCCTTAAACTTTGTGTTGAACTAACAAAGAAAAAAAATAAAAGGAAAAAAAAAACGTTTGAAAAACCACGTGATCGACGTTTCAAAGGTAGTCAGTTTTTATAGAATCCGGGCCGCGGATCACCGCTCTCGCGAGAGGATCTCGAGCAGGGTGAGGATTTCGATTATTAGTTTCTATAAGTAATTTGAATAGTTATTTGCCTTGCATTCGGAGGATCATCATTAAATACGTAAACTTTAAGAAAGATTTTATGTAAAAAATAATTCATTGTCTTTTTGTTCAAAAAAAACAGGCCTTTGATGTCAGCTCTCTCAGACATTGTTATCGCGAAACGGACGTTTCGAGGGCATTTCTAGTGACCACTTTAGAAGCGTTAGCATTCTCAAGTTATCCCTAGAAATGCTCAGACACTCCCGGTTTTTGTTACCGAGGCTCAAACTAAAGTTTTCCAAAATTCAACTAGGGACAGTTTCATATTGAAAAAATTCGTTGAAACAAACTCATTTCAAATAAAACAAACGGCTTTCCGTTTCTGAGCGAGTCGAGAAAATCTTAAAAGGTTGGTAGACGTGTTGGGGTTGAATCGTGAGCTTTTCAGTTCTGACGACTCATTTTCAGTCGCCTACGACGATCTCAAAAGGTTGCGCGCTTCTGCCACTGCCGAAGAGAAGCGGCTTCCGGAGCTGTTGGAGACCGAACACGCAGAGATGGCGAATCTCCTGAACGCCGAAGGGCTCAACTACTACTACTGGTTCAACAGTTCGTTTTTCCTCTTTCTTGACACTCTCGACACTTTGCAGACTTAAGAAGAAAAACGATAAATTTCGGATTCCGAGACTCGTAAAGAGACTAGTAATAAACTTCATCATGTTTCAGAGTACATTCATCTTAGACCAGCGGTTCTGCTAGGAGAGGCCCTCGGCGACGCTATTAGGAGGATTTTTCAGTAAGTTTATTCATTTCGTTTTTGTGATACCACTCCCACTTTTTTTGGGCGCAAACTCGAGGAGTTTTTAAATTTGCTCTAACGAGATATTTTTTTCAGATAAAGATGAGTGTCACAAGGAAATCAAAGCTCAAATGGACTACATTCATAACTTGGCGAATCCAAAGGGAAGCTCCTGAAACGGAAAAAAAAAACTAGCCCCGACCGCTCCGAAAACGTCGGAAGAGAAAAACACGAAGGACAAGAAGTCGAAAGACAAAAACTCGAAGGACAAGAAGTCGAAGGAAAAAAATTCGAAGGAAAAGAGTTCGAAAGAGAAGAAACCGAAGAAGGCTTAGAAGATGGGAACAACAATTGGAATTTCTATATTAACCCAAACTCTTCAAATAAATAGATTTTTTTACACACCTCGAAATCTTGATTTTTTCGATAAAATTGATGTTTGTGAGCATATGCATACTTGTTTGTTCGGAAAAATGCGCCAATGGAAAAATTCAAATTTTTAAAAAAAGTATCTGATCAGCCAATAATTGAAAAATCTGATATAGAACAGAACTGGGTTTCCGTGAGATATGTTGGGATCTAGTCACAATCAAGAAGGATCCTGAAGTTCCGACATCCGAAAAACCAATAAATGGAATCGGATCTTCTGATTCCAATTTGCGATTTTTGCTGATTAAACCAGTTTGATGCAGTGTTCAAAGTAATTTCCGCGAAATGCAAAATACCCGTTAGAGAAAGGAAAAGATAACTAAATTTTGGAGAGTCAGAGATCATTTTGCATTTCGCCGAAATTACTTTGAACACGGCAGGAGTTTTCCTACAACAAACGAGTTGGAAGATGATCTTCACGTTATGTTTTGCTCAAATTCAGCTTTTTCAGGAGATGTTATCGACTCATTGTCTTGAAGTGAGAGATCTCTAACAACTGAAGAGTTCCACGAGTTTATGATAGCCGAGTCTAAATTTTTTGAACACAAATCATATAGCCAAGCATTATATCAAAATGAAATCAAAGTCTCTAGAAAATGGAAACTCAAATATAACTTGAGCGTTCATCCTCAATTAATTTGTAAAACTCTTCAAAACCTCCATAATCGACTCCGTATTTTCGCTATCTAAATTTCTCAACATTCTTTTTTTGTCATTCGGATTGTTCTACTTCTAAAATAGAATTTTTTTCAGCGTTTTTTCGCCGGAAAATCCGATTTTAAAACTCGATTTGACTTGTGAAAGCGAGTTTTTTTGCAATTTACCATTTTTGAAATTATAAGTTTTTCTGCTTTTTATTCGCAAAAAAAATTGAGTTTCTCTAAACAAAACCCAGACATAAATTTTTTTATAAACTGCTCTTTTTCTCCAGAGAAAATACCAAGGACTTCAATGCTTGAATTTGAACCCTCTGAAGGAAAAAAACCTGATTATCTTATATAATTCAGGGGAGCTTTTTGAAAAAAAGTTATATTAGAAGACATGAAAGTGTTAGCTCAATTAGAACGAAGGATCTAAAAAGGCGGTCTTTTTGGCCTGATTCTTTGATTTTTAGAAAGTACCGCTCGAACTAGATTCTCTCAAAAAAATGTAGAAATAACTTTTTAACTGTTGATGAGAATTTAAAAGTCTCTAACAAAAATGAGGGTTTACCCCGCAGTGAACCCCGAAAAAAGTGAACTTTTCGTTGATGTTTGCGCTGCACCCCGCGTTGGACCTGAATGGGGTGAACCCCTGGGGCAATCGGTCGGAAATAAAAAGTTGTTTTTGAGCTACCGTAACGACCTAAGATGAAGCAGTACAAAATGGTGATATTAGGAAACAAACCACTTCGAAATCGTTTACGGAAGAATTACCTTAATAGGCATTCAAAGCTAAACGGGGTGCACCCCTGGTTACACTGCGGGGTGCAACGAGAGTTCGACGCGGGGTGCACCGCAACTTTTGTTAGAGGTTTTACTTTACGTGTTAGAAATAATCCTACTTGACTTTTATTTAATTAATTTCACGCGTGAAATCAATAAAATCAACGTGGCATACGCATTTGAGTAATTGGCATTCCGTGTCACGGATCTTCACCAAAGCCAACCATGGGTAACTTTATGGATTTTTCCTTTTTTTTTTATCACCAAAGACTTGGCGAGTTTCTAGTTTCTGAGCCATGAGATATCGCAGGGCTCACACTAGTGAATGTCATAAACCACCCTTTAAATTTGGGACTCTCTACTCGCTAGGTGGCCAGGTCCTCAACAGGTGTACCCGTATTGAACCGTATTAAAGCACGGCTAGGCCAACCTCATAAGCATGCGAGTTCGTTCACTGAAAGGGCTAAGAAAAAATTTGGACGTCAAAAAATTGGTTTCGTATACTCGCATGCTGAGAAGGGTAACCCAGCCGTGCTAACGCGGCGTGTCAGAAAGTGTCCCCGTATTAAACCCTTAAAAGCACAGCTGGTCGAACTTTTGGCAATTTTTTAGCCCAGCTGGGCTACCTATTTTTCTTACACCCGTTGTTCTCTCGTTTTAGCCCCACTGAGATTGAAAGAACCTCGAAACCACGGGTTTAAAACGAGTACACCCCAGAGAAATGCGAGGCCGGCGCGAGAAAAAAGCGAGATGCTTGCGAACTCGTCAATGTGCCGCCAGTGTCTCGCGTTTATCTCGGCAGTTATTCTAAGTGAATTGTACCTCTTTTGCAATATTTCTTGATAGGCTAATTCACACAGTATCAAAAACGAATTATGAGATAGATACGATGAATACTTTTTTTCGGCTTTTTAGTCGTGGTTTTATCTGTTGTATTGACAGTAAATAATTTTTAATATATTCTAATTTACTATAAATATGTTCAAAAAGTTCAAATTAGTTGGAATTATCCTTGTCAGTTCGATACTTTGTTTTCAAGGGTCTTCCAAACCTCGTCTGAAAAGGCAGCTAGTCTTCGCCTTCGGTATCCTGTTTTGCACGCTGTCCACGGTTACGAGTCAAGGTGCACTTTTTTTTCATATCTTCAGTGTATTCAACAGGCCAAGTCTAGAAAAGGCTTTGAAAATTTATCAAAATATGCCTTTTGAAAGAACTTTCCATGATCTCTTTTTCATGACGTTATTGGAAAAGTCCGAAGATGAAAAGTGAGCGTTTTGTGGACAAATACGCATCAACCTTGGAGGATCGAACCTAGGAAAACGAATAATGCAAACGTTTATCCCTTTTTTGGTTTTCATTATTTTGTTTTTTTCGTTCCATTTTCCTTTGTTGTTTTATTGTGAGGTTATAATGTCCCGACCAGAAATGAAAACTGCATGATTTTTTCAATTCATTCTTTTGAAAAAAAAAGTAGTGCGCATTTATTGCATGCCTGTAGGCAAAATTTTTTGCAGAGCGTCTTTTACGTTTTTGTTCCCTCTATAGGCATTCCTCACAAACTTTTGCACACAAATTTTGCTGAAGAAGCCCTTCAGATCCATGAAACACAGGAAAATGCGATTTCGCAATCAAACATCGAAATTAAATTATTAGCTCTAAACCTTGAAAATATGAAACACAATGTGATTTTAAGTCAAATTCTCAAAGAAAACCTCGCCATTGAAACATAAAATTAAAAGCAGTGGAGTTTTTTTGTTATAGATAAGTCAGATTAAAAATAATTAGGTATGACTTTATGTGGCCGAAACACGTCATAAATAACAAAATAAAAACAAATCGAATGAAGAAGAAATCATCATCAAAATTTATTGGTCGTTTTAGTCAGATGGAACCGACTAGGTGGTGAAAAAATTGCTTTTTTGAGCAGTGCTAACACCGCCTTTGACGAAAAAGAAGTCAAAACGTGTAGTTGATTGGATTGAAACCATGGTCTTACGGTCCTTCGCCTCGTTCTTCCACAAGTAGATCCCTCAGTTTCGCTGGTACGGGCACGGCGGTGATGGCGGGGCTCGGGCACGGACCCCGTGTACACTCTAGGGCAGCCTCGGCCGATTGAGAGAGCTGCCACTTCGAGTGAAGAAGACACACGGAATAACGAAAAACAAGTAAAAATTTCCAATATACGTTTTCCAAGATTCAAATTTTCAAAAATTTGAAAAAAGCCCACCAGTATTGTTGCATAAACAATTGACGCTCACGAATATTCGCGGAATTGTTCCTATCAGCATCATTTGAAAACTAGAGTCCATGTACTGTCTTAAAGGCGGTTTGTCAAAAATTGTTCGGGATATCATAGACATCTTCGAATTTTTTTTTTGCGTGTAAAAAAAAGATTTTCAGCTTGATATTTTCAGTGAAATGTTGCAAAAGAGCTGCGTGGGCATACCCAACAGGGGATGCTGTTCCACCAGAGTGCGACTTTTCTCGTTCGAAATGCACCGAGGGATCGATTACAATGGAACAGCCTTCTTCTTCTTCAGAAATGCCGACTTTTTTGGGAAATGCTTTGAGAACTGGCCCTATAAGCATACTGGACAACACGAAAGTAGGAATCATGATCCAGCACTTGATAGAAATCGTCCATAATGGTACAGGTAAGGCTTTTTCGAAATGGAAAAATACGAAAAAGTTGAAAAAGTTCTTGAGTTACACGAAATCATTCATCTTTTTAATGAGTTTAAAGGAAAGGTCCCTTTTAAAGAATGAAAAATTTCAAACTGTTACACCGTGACGTCATGCTACCTTTTTCTGACCAACTCTGCAACACACCGATGATTTGGTAAAATCAATTCACCCCTAAAATATCCTTGTCATTTTTTGAAATTTAGGATGAAAATTTTGCGAACTTCGGGTATATACATTTTTTTTTTAGTTCTTTTTTCTTTTAAAAATCTAAATTAATGCCGTGTTCGAAGTAATTTCGGCGATTTAAAAGTAGAGGCGTTATTCGTTTAAAATGATTTCGGGAAATAGGCGAAATTGGTATTCTGGGAAGGTGAGTCCTTCAACGATATACCGTTGGATATAGTCTGTTCAGATTTTGAATGTCAAGTGCAATGACGTCATTCAAAAACACTCTGTGGATGGCTCGCTCTCCGATTGGTTTGTCGCACCATTAGGGGCGGAGCTTGAGCGACGACTTGACATTCAAAATCTGATCAGACTATACGCATTTTTACGGTGAGTTTTACGCGCGAATTTTAACTTTCAGTAAAAATGGCCAAATAATTCTAAAATTTTGAGTTTCCGCGAAGAAATTACGGTAAAAATGCATATTTAACGATATATCGTTGTAGGACTCATTTTTTCTGCGCATTCTCGGAATAGCAATTCTGCCTATTTTCTGAATTCATTTTAAACGAATAACGCGTCCATTTTGAAATCGCCGGTATTACTTTTTAACACGGCATCAGTAAGCTTTAAAAAAACCAATCTTCTAATAGAAAAAAATTTGTTCTTTCAGAAAAAAACAAAAAAACTGGAGAAATGCTTTTTTTCTTTTTTTGTAATAATATGAGACATTCATTCGAGTTGAAATGGAAATTTCACAATTTAAAAAGTTACTTTGCAGGTCCGGCTATTCATTTGAGGGAGCCCAATTTGGATGATAAATTTTTCTTTCAAAAAAAATTGCAAAAAAATAACAGTGGATAATCCTTATATATTCTGCAAAAATTGGGACCTTATTCGTCTGGAAAATAACGTGACGGAAGAAATAAAGCTCCGGCTGGAGAAAGTGGCCAACAAGGTAAGTTTTTAAAAAATCGAAAAATAACAGGTTTTCAAAAAGAAACAACGTATGAATGAATTAACGCCTGGAAAGAGCAAGAAAGATTAGAGACTACCTCTGACTAGGGAGTTACTCGGGCTCGGGTACGCGTATCAAGTTGAAACTGAGGTGGCTTTAGAATTGGGTAAGAGTTCTTAGATACGAGAGAGATAATCTGCTGAACCACATAAGCTTCTGAGGAAAAGCTTTTCGAAGAAATCTAGGAAGATTCTTGTACGCGCTTGGATCTGAGGCTTGGCTTTCGGGTCATTCTCACGTTTGAATTTTTTTGATAAGTTCGTTTTCTGTCGAGCGCGAGTCATTTTTTTGAATTTTTTTCCTTGAAGACTAAAAAAACATTGAAAAAAATTACGAATTTGAAATTTTTTTCTCATCAATATAATTTTTTTCATTTTTTTGAAAAAAATTCAGGAACAAATTTCAAGACGCTTGAAAAAAACAAGTTGAGAGGCACCGCAACTGTGCTGAAAATCACTCTTTTTTTAATCTTTTCATTTTTTTAAAGCTAAAATAATCAAAAGAAGAACGTTTCCATTAATTTTATGGTTTTTGAAAAAGCTTTTTTTTCTTTATGAAAAATGCAAAAAATATTTGCCTTCGACAGGAATGAAACCTATTAAAAATTATCATGAAAAGAATCCTCAAGCCACTGCGCCATAGCTCCTCGATGTGAGAGGAAGGGCAGGTATGGCTGATTCACGACTGGCTTGAGCCACTGAAAAAAGGGTCCTGACACGATAATGCGCGAGATTTCGTGCATTATCAGTGCCTGGCTTGTGGAAAGCGCAGACAGGACACGCCCCCTTAGCGTCCCACGCTGGCAGTGAATCAGCTATACGTACAGGACTCTTCCTGGATTTCTTAGAGGAGCTTTTTCTTAGAAACCTATGGTTCTAGCAGACCTCTCTCGTTTCCAAACGCTTCTACCCAGATCTATTAGACACAGAAGTTCCAATTCGGTACGCTCCCTCTTGAGAACTACTGACTCTACCTCGTAAACAAATTTTAGAAATCAATATTGAGAAAAGAAACGAACTGAGCAAAATTTCAACCTTGCTTCCTTTTTTTTTACTTTTCTTTTCCAAACCTCCTAATTGATATCCATCACGATAATCTCCGGATTCGACCCCATTGCTTCTTAGTCAGTTAAAAGTTTTCCGTTTGTCACATGTCATTTCTAGTCAGACGCTTTTTTGAACGACCTCTTGGAATTCGCCCAAACTCTGTTTGTTAAACTTGCTATCACACACCAAAGAACAAGGAACAATTTCCAATATCTCGGAGTCTGTACTATTCAGACTCTCGCCGTTTGTAATACTGTTACGACGCCAGCGCCAACGGCAGCACCACTAAACACCACGACGACGTTGACGATCAGCAGCCTTTCCACGACTTCGAACGACACCGCGGGTGTCCCGCAACAATGTGCTCAGAGCGTGGCTTCCGCCGCCGCCGCTGCCTCAGCCTCAGCCAAAGAAAAGGAATGTCCTAGCAAAAGTAATTTCAAGGGTTTTCGTGTTTTCAACGGTGAACCGAGTTCCAGACGGACTGCTGATCGGAGCGGTAATAGTCATTGTTGTGCTTCTGGTCCTCCTGGGAATTTCGATGTACATCTCCATCAGGCTCTACTTCTTCAGGAAGGACGAGGACGCCGCTTTTGCCGCATATGGTAACTATATCATGTAGTTTAATTAGGCAAACGCTTGAAAAAAAATCACAAAATGTATTTTAAGCGTTTCCTTAGGTTTTGCACACTGTGATTTAAAAAAAAACTCATAAACGGAGTTTTTTTCAATTGATCCAATAGCCATGAAAAATCGAGACATATTTTCATAAGACGTTGAATTTCTTGAAAAAATAATAGCATTTTCATAATAAGAAAATTTTTACGCCAAATAAATTGTCCGCATACACGGCACTGTTAACTGTCGAATTTCGTCTTTTTTTTCTGGTATTAAATTTACTGCTGACAAAGGGAGATCATTGTAAAAATTTTTAATTCTTCAAAAACTTGCGTGAATTTCTCTGTCAGGTCGCTGAAGACAGTTTCTACCTGCCCAAACTTTGAGTTTCGGATGTGAATTGCAAAATATTGAATGCAAGCCCTAATAATGTGTTGTAAAAAAATATTGGAAGATCATATATAGTCTGTTCAGATTTTAAATGTCAAGTGCAATGACGTCATTCAAAAACCCTCTGTGGATGGCTCGCTCTCTGATTGGTTTATCGCGCCATTAGGGGGCGGAGCTTGAGCGACGACTTGACATTCAGAATCTGAAAAGACTATATCCTAAGAAAAAAAAGAAAAAAAAGCGCAGGTAGCCGTTTTAAGAGATTTTCATCTAAACTTATAGAGAGCAACATTTTGAAACTTTTTTTTCAAACCGCGACGAAATTCGCAAATTCTTTGTGAGAGAAATACGCTAGTTCATAGTATTCTTTCAGTATCCTATGTCGCGCAACTTATGAATTCGATGGTCTTCTTCCAATCCGGCAGAGACGTTGCAATGGGTTAGTTTCCCTATTCGGATCGTTATTTTGATCAGAGTTTTTTTAGTTCATGCCGTTATGATGGATGGTCTCAGAAAGAAGCAAGCCAAACTGCGTAAGTCTGGTTTTTAAATTGAAAAAAGTTCCATATCTCAACAAAAACCAAATTAAAATTTTAGTTTGCAGTTCGAATTTTCGAAAAAAATTCATTTTTTCATGTTCCGAAAAAATATTCTAACAGTCTCCAATTCGGTATTTTCGCGTCTTTCTCTAGAAAACCGAACAAGGGCCACACCACCTTTTACAACGAGAAAAAGATTCTCCAGATTTTTGCAATCGGCGGGATAAACGGCAAAGTGTTATATGGTGTGTGATAGGATCATTCCTTGGCCTTTTCAAAAAGCCCTCAAGTTCAAGTTCAACCTTCAGCTAAAAGATCTGAAAATCACTTTTGATTACTTGTAGCGCCGGTGTACGGTATTTTAATTTGTTTTGGTTTTTTTTGGCGTGAGTGCGTGAGTTTGGTCCAATTCACGACCAGCACCAACGTTACTGATTCACAACCGCTCGCGGTTTCGCTCTGTCGCGAACGTTACTAAAATCCGACCGTTTTTTTTTTCCTTTTTTTCGCGAACGTCACAAAATCACGACCTTCTTTTTGCTCAATGGTTTTGAATTTTTTCATATTTATTTTAATACCCATGGTGTCCTTTCATTTCTCGAGTTAATAGTATTTTTTTAAAATACTTTCAAGGTATAGCATAGTTTTATCAACTCGATTCTCTGTTAGTAGCCAGTTAAAAAGAATACATTCAATAATGATATCAGTTTAATTTGAATATTGAAAATTTCTATAAAAATTTTGAACTGCTATAGCGCGGGAATCGTAAAAAAAGAAAATGTTTTATAGAGCGGAATCAACAATTATCTTGTGCAGATAAAAATTATTTACCGATTTTGAAAGAAACGACTCGGCAATTGTTAATGTTTTTTTAATTACGAGGAGCAGATCGATAGGGTATGAGATAACGCATGTTATCGAAAACTTTTCGACTACAAACTGATGACCGTTTTAGAAAACCCCCTGGAAAACTTCTTACTGGGGAGTGTACTGACAAGGGCTGTGTGCGCGGTGAACATCGAGTTAGGAATTGAGGCTTATATGGTAGATGGACCTAGGGGAGAGTGCTCCAAAACGAAAGAGAAAATCTGCTAAGCGCCATAGGGTACCGAGAAAAAGCTCGTCAAAGTTTTGCCGCCACGTATATGGCCGCGCTCGGAGTGCTCGGCCAGCAACTGGGAGCGTGGTGAAGTGGCAGTGCTCTTAAATGGCGCTGACGCTATGCTAGGTTCGATTCCTTTTGACGTCAAACTTTTTTTGCCTTGTTTTATTCAATTCTTCTACACTCTATCATCAAACAAAAAACAGCAAAAAAAAGTTTGAAAAAGTTCTAATAATTGGTTCATGGCTTTCGAGATCACAACACGATTGGATCGAAACAATATAAGTGAAAAATCACTCGTGAAAAAAAAAAGAAACCAGGTACGAGTACGAGCCCGAAACAAAGGAAGACCTGTCAATGTAATTTCGCATTCTCTATGAAATTTCAAAAGTTTCGGTGAACAATAGAACTAACCTTTTGGTATGAGAGGGGCTTCAAAAAAGGGAAAATAGAGTCGGTGGAATTTTTGCGATGAAAGATTTCTAAACAGTGAAAAAGACATATAAAATGGTTGAATGAGACCAGAGGAGCCAGGTGTGATATTATTCACAATTATAAATTTTTTTACACAAGGTATACAACCTTTTATTTTATTTTATTGTGCTATCATCTCGAGAAGCCGCCCGAGCATCTATTATTTGGACGATTTTTTAGAAGTTTTCGATGGAAAAACTAAATTTGACGCAAAAAAAAGTTTTTTTGTGCTTTCTCCTTTCTTCTTTCTCAAATTTCAATCAACTCCTTCAATTCAAACTTTTTTTGCTGTTTTTTTTTGATGATATATTGCAGAAGAATTGAATAAACAAGAGCAAAAAAAGTTTGACGTTAAAAGGAATCGAACCGAGCATAGCGTCAGCGCCATTCAAGAACACTGCCACTTCACCACGCTCCCAGTTGCTGGCTCAGCACTCCGAGCGCGGGGATATACGTGGCGGCAAAACTTTGACGAGCTTTTTCTCGGTACCCTATGGCGCTTAGCAGATTTTTTCTTTCGTTTTGGAGCACTCTCCCCTAGGTTCATCTACCATATAAGCCTCAATTCCTAACTCGATGTTCACCGCGCACACAGCCCTTGTGAGCCCACAGTGTGATTTCTGAAGGAGACTAGGCTCACCAGTTTTTCAAGCTGATTACTAATCTGTGCCCAAAAGTTGTTCTCAAGGCCTGTGAAAAAGATATTGACTATCGAAGTTGAAAAATTCGATCTCGCCGATTGAGCTCATTTCAGGAGGGTAAATAGTTCTTGTCCGACTGGTAATCAAAAAAAAATTTAATTCTTCTCAAAAAAAATTTTGGAGCACGGATATGATTTTCAAAGTCCCTAGTTCGAAATAACTTACAAGAATGTAAAGTTACATACTTTACAACCGAACCGAGCATAGCGAACTTCTTTCAACAAGCTTATAACTAATCCAGAAGAAATGCATAAAAGTTTGAACTTATGCTCTAAAAATAAATTTAAGTTTCGATAGACTATATTTAGCAGGTTATAACATGTGAGCCTGAAAATTGCGCGAAAAGTACAAAAATATATTGATAAACTGAAATTTTGGAAGCAGAAATCGTAAAAGAGAGTAAAAGTATCATATGAAGTTTCTTCTTTTTGAATATTTCAATACAGGGGTGCGCATAATTATTGCACGGACTTTCAACTTTTATATCTTACATTCAAAAATTATCTCAGGTCAAGTTGATAGCATACTTTTTTTGATTAAGGTATCAATGATAACGGATGCAAAATTTTTTTTTTCTCAGCCTTCTCTGGCTTCAGTTACGGACGAAAGACTCTCGTTGATCCACCTCGAAAATGGACTGATTCTTTAGATGCCAGTCAGAGGTTTTTTAGATGCCAGTCAGAGGTCCTAGAAAGCTTTTCAAAATAATTATCTTCAAGTTGCTCAATTCTAAGACCCATGAAAAGGATTAGCGCCTGGCCGTAACGCTCTTTCAGTAGCGAAAAACAAAGTCGGGTATGGTTTTGAGGCCGCCATTTCGCTAGAAGTAAAGATTCAAAAGTAATTCTCAGAAAATTATTAGTAAACAACCTATTGTTCAAAAAAGTACATATGAAACAGTATTTGATTCGAGAACGAAAAAGTTACATCGCTCGAAAAATCCGTGCAATAATTATGCCCACCCATGTAGATGCGTGAAAAAAAAAACTTCTTCGAAAACTTTGCGAAAACACCTTAAAAATATTTCAAAATATAGTAATAATCATTTGAAAAGTTAGGGGAAATCATGGGTATTGAAAATAAATAAGAAAAACTTGAAAAAAGAATAGGCGAAAAATACAGGTCGTGCTATAGTGACTTTTGCGAAAAAAATAGAAAAAAAAAGCGGTCGGATTTTAGTGACGTTCGCGACAGAGCAAAATTTTAAGCGATGGTGAATTAGTAACGATTGTTACTAATTACTGTCATATCATAATCAGTATTTTTCTAGAAAGTCTTACGACGGAATTTCACAATCGAGCCATCGAACGCAATAAGAAATTTGAAGAAAGGCAGCCTCTAGACCCGATAAAGAATTTCTCCCTGAAGAGAACTATATGGGATAAAAAATTTGAGACTAGTGATAAACGTGAAATGACGGAGGAGTTTATCGAAGCGGGTCAGAAATATGAGGCCGTCAAAAAAGTACACCAAGCTGGAAAGGAGTTTGAACCGCCGCAGGGAACTCGTATCTGGTCGGATCTTCGACTGAAAGATCATGATAAAATGGAGATAGCGAAACTGCCTGAACAGCAAATGATCGAGAGAAATCAAATACATTATGTGAAAAAAAATCCACCGACGGCTTATTTGAAAAGACGGCAAAAAGCTGGACTTGATCCGCCTTCCAAAGTTACCACCAGCGTCGCCAAAACTGAAAAGTCCAAAATGGAAGAGAAGAAAAAGGAGGACAAAAAGGCAGAAGAGAGGAAAAAAGAGGATATAAAGGCAGACGGACCGAAAAAGGCAGAAGCGCCGAAAAAGGACGATCAAAAAGCAGAAGAGAAGAAAAAGGAGGACACAAAGGCAGAAGCGCCGAAAAAGGACGACGCGAAAAAAGAAGAGGCAGCCAAACAAGGAGATGCGCCTATTAAGTGCGTGAAAGTTGAAGATATCGTGAAGAGAGTTGTGAAAGAAGATGATCCGAAAATGGTGTTCATTATGCCGCACGAGAACATCCAGCTCGAGAAATGTCATCCGCTGTCTCTTTTGAGCCCAGTTCAAGCGAAGTACGACACGTTCAAGACCAAATCGAAAGTTTTGCGTGGGTTTTTTTTTCCTCTCTTCGACAATAGTGATTCACTCACACATCTAAAGTTTTATAATATATTTATTCGAAAAAAAGCGTTTGGTAAGATAAGATAGAGAAATATCGTTTCAAGGTTTGCTGGTAAAACTTGAAAAACACATTCGAAGTGTAGGTTTTTTTCTCAATCGGACCTGAGGCCCGATCGAAAAAAATGAGCGGAAAAAAATTTTATGACTTCTCAAAAAAATACACTTTGATTTAATTTTTCTCACATGCAATTCAAAAAAATTCTGCTTCTCTATCTCTGGAACAAGATCAAAAAATATTTCATTGAAAGTTATAGAATGTCTGAAATTGTTCGTTAAAACTGAAGTGTAGAAAAGTTTTTCGAGGCGATCCGAGTAAGAATCAAAAGATAGATTCAACCAGATGAGCATCTTACGAGGAAAAAACTATTCCACGATAGGTCTCGTAGGTGTTGAAAACTTAGAACGAAAAAAAAAACCGAAAACGAAAACACGAAAACAGTTGATAATTTTTTTTTTCAAGCGAAGTTTTTGCTTTTTTGAGCAGTTTATCAGGCGCTTAGCTCAGCTCAAACTTTTTTTTTGAAACTTTTATTCAGTCTTCAGAGAAGGTTTCTCTGCTGAATCATGGAATCATTAAAGAGTTGTTTGTCGGTTCGCGAAACTGTTGTTGATCAAGCGTAGACGGCGCGTAGAGCCTCTCGTCTCTCTTGTGATAGTAGTAGACGACTTTCGAGCGCTCCGGCGATCACTGCTTCTCCATCTCAAACTACTATAGTAAAAATTTGATACAATACCATGGGACTAAATCTTTTGGAATGGTCTTTTTTTCTGAAAACTATATTACGCTGTATCGAAATCTGCTCGTGAGAAAAAAAAATCTTGTGATACCTCATATGTAAAGAAGAAACTTTTCAGGGGATACGTTCGCAGTTTTTTCGTTAATGATGGGAGAACTACATGAATACTATCATATTCACGCAAAAGGTATAAAGATGCTGTGAGAGAAAAAGTTATTTTGGTTTTGATTTCAGTTTGGGCGCTTGTTAACGCAAACGCCAACCATGTAGAGATCAGAATGGTGGAAAACGTGAGACAAAACGCTGGCGACTACGATAAAATGAATTCAACTTGGCCCATGCATCCTGGGATGAAAAATGAGAAGAATAAATCTGCCATAAAAAATCGTCCCACCTACCACACTCCATGTGAGTTTTCACTAACAAATTTCATAGTCAACTTTCTATCCGCTTGAAATGTAGTGGAAACATACATGGGATAGTCTCGGTGGGACCTGATAAAGGGGAGAGGACTTGGCGAAAAAAAAACGAGAAAGGGGGGGTGTTGGCGATTTAGTGTATACAGTGTTTCAAAACGGGCGAGCGCAGGCGAAAAAAATGGTCGTCAAAAAGGGTATAATCCGACGTTACCAACATGTTTGATTTTCAGCATAAAAGTATAACCATTCGATCCGTCTCGTCGAGATACGTACGAATATCATATGATTATTCGGCGCTGACCACTTAAAAAAATTTAAGATGAACTTTATTAGTTTTCAATCAAGTTTGTTCTCAGGAATAGAATTGTTTGCTTTGTCTTTTCATGCACATTAGTTAATACATTACTTAAGAAAATAGACTTAGTTTTAAGGCTTCACACGGAGGCGAAGCGCGCATAGCGCGAAGCCAACTGTGGCTCGCTTCGAAAAAAACTGAGCCACAGTGAACAATTCTTCAAATAAATGAAGTACTTGACATAAAATGCATGTAGTTTCAAAACGTGGACACTAAAAACACTATCAGGTAGCTCTAAACGAATTGCAAACTTGATACGCGTAGCAAAAAAATCTGTAAAATGTGATCCCCAAGAAACAAAAAAATTTAAAGGAGAATACTGTGGGCTTCAACGCGGGCGGTTATAGTCTGTTAAGATTTTGAATGTCAGCAGCTAACCCCACCCCATGGCTACAATATCTTTCGCGTCAATGTTTTATCTACAGATCACGATGGCCCTTTGATAAGGCTGCATTTTTGACTTCTTTTTCTATCTTTTAGATCAAAAAAGATCAAAATTAGTCCCGCGTGATAAAACATCGACGCGAAAAGGTACCGTCTCAGCAGGGGCGGAGTTAGTTGGTTGAGATTCAAAATCTGAACAGACTATAGATACAAGTAGGTACCGGGTAGCAACTCAAGTGAATCGGCGAAACGTAATCGGTGGTCATTTGTATGCGACCGGGTACTATCTCTATGGTACCTGGATAGTACCTGATCGGTATCTGGATGCTACCGGGTATGTACCCGAAATTCGCGATTGCCACTGGCTGGCACATCGGTCGTTTATATAGCATCAGTGTTTTTTTACACCTACCCAAGCCTTCCAGGGTCTTATTGGATAAAGCTGACACAAAAAATAACGACCCGGGAAGCAATTCCAGACTTTCCGGTAGAAATCGCGAATGTCAGGTAGCTACCCGGTAGCTACTGCATCGAACTCCGACCCAGGTACCATAGAGATAGTACCCGGTAGCATACAAACGTCCACCGATTACCATACGCCGATTGACTTTTTCAAAAGTTGCTACCCGGTAGCTACTTGTATCGACTTCTCGATTCATCTTTGTTAAAACCTTTGGAATCAAAAATCTGGCGCTTTCATTGAATATACCTAACTTTGAGTCAAATTTCAAAACAAAATTTTTTCCATTTAAATTGTAAATGCTCATATAAGATTTTGGATCAAAGTAGACGGCGGGGAACGTTGGAAAAACTCTCCGTTGCCGAGCAATCAGAGAAACTCTTTGCATCGGGTGCTAGACGTGTTAGGAGGGTCGAGCCTTTCAGTTCTGACGAGTCGTTTCCAGTTGCCTACGACGATCTCAAAAGGTTGCGCGCTTCTGCCACTGCCGAAGAGAAGCGGCTTCTGGAGCTGTTGGAGACCGAACACGCAGAGATGGCGAGCCTCTTGCACGCCGAAGGGCTCAACTACTACTACTGGTTCAACAGTCCGTTTTTCCTCTTTCTTGACACTCTCGACACTTTGCAGACTTAAGAAGAAAAAAAAACAATAAATTTCGTATTCTGAGACTCGTAAAAAGACTAGTAATAAACTTCATCATGTTCCAGAGTACATTCATCCCAAACCAACGATTCTGCCAGGAGAGACCCTCGGCGACGCTATTAAGAGATCTTTAAGTAAGTTTATTAATTTCGTGTTGTGATTCTTGTCTCCGTCATTTTAGGGCGCAAACTGAAGGAGTTTCAAGTTTGATCGAATGAGATATTTTTCAGATAAAGATGAGTGTCACAATGAAATCAAAGCTCAAATGGACTACATTCATAACTTGGCAAATCCCAAGGATAATCTCCTGAAACAGCAAAAGGAACTTGCTTCGACCGCTCCGAAAACGTCAGAAGACAAGAACTCGAAGGACAAGAAGTCGAAGGACAAGAAGTCGAAGGAAAAGAGTTCGAAAGACAAAAACTCGAAAGACAAAAACTCGAAGGAAAAGAGTTCGAAAGAGAAGAAACCGAAGAAGGCTTAGAAGACGGCAACAATAATTGTCGATCGTTTCACTGTTTATTCAACCGTTTTTTTAATAAATCGATTTTTTTACTCTATTTGGAACCTTGATTTTTCATATAAATTTGATGTTTGCGAGCATATATATACTTCCTAATTCAAGACATATAGATGATTCACTCACTAGGGAATGGTCTCCATTCGCAGTGGGACTTCTGAATGAGACTATGTTCACTAGATGTAGTTTTTCACGCTGATTCCAATATCTGGTTTCAAAAACTGCCCTCGAGGCAATCGCCCCCCGTTCGAATTGAAGTTCTTCCTTTGATTCATTTTCTTTTTCTTTTTTACACTTCAATTCTTTCAAAAAAAGCGTTTATTTGATAAATTCATTGTGAATAAAATAAGAGAATGAAGGTATAATAAAGAAGCCAGCTATAAAAATAAAAACGGAAAGAAATTACAAAGACGTACAGGCAGTGCTGGCCATAAAGGTATTTCAAAGTGGTCATTTGAGCATAATTTAGTTTAAAGTGGCTCAAATGACTTGCAACTTTGCATAGATTTTAAATAGCTACGCACTAACTTTTTCCCAAGAGAAGAACTCATTTGCTCGGGTTAGACCGGATTTGAGAGCATAAAACCTAAAGTCGTGAAAATGAAGATTTTTCTCTTGAGATTCGAAAAATCATATCTTCAAAGAAACTTTGATTTTCAATCAGAAATTTTTTTCCCCGGTAAAACAAGTTTTCGACTTTCTAAAAAACTTGATCAGCCCCCTATCAACCCGATAGTAAGAGCGTAGTGACTTTTTCTTTGGAAGGCCTTTTTCGTTTTGACGCCTCGTCATTCAAATGGACTATACGAGGTCATTTTTGTTTGAAAACACCCTGTTTTATGTTGAAAAACTTCAAAACACCCTCAAGAATAGTTTTACACTGGTTTCTTCATCTTTCTCACTTTATCCTCTCTCCAGAACTCGCTTACTTCACTAGGTCTGATTTTGAAACCTCTGATTCGACCAGTTTTTCTGGATTTTTGGGCATTCAAAGCAGTTTTTATCTGATCAATTGCTTTTAAATCGTGAAGTTGAAAATAATTTATAGCTGAATTGCAGGCTCCTATTACCTGAAGACTGCTAATTTTTGCTGAAGCATAGTTTCACGAGACCAAAAAAACTTATTTTTCCCATAAAGTTTAAAAGAAACTTTTTTTACAGTGCCTATCTTCGATCTGAGAGCTGGAAAAGAGGAGTTACAAAAGTTATCTCATGATCTAAAACATTAAAAAAATATTAAAAAAATAAGTTTTTTTAATCTTATTACACAAGATTTGGAGCCCTCTAAGCAACACTTGTTGAAAAAGAAGTTTTGAGAACTTTAAGAAACTCATTATAACTCACTATATCTTTTTGAATAAGTAAGCGAAACAAAGTGAGTCTTTTTTTATTTTTTTATTCATCAAGGTTCTGAAAAAGCTTTGAAATCTGAAATAAAAAATCGAGAATGTTCTGATTTTGAAAAACGAGCATAACCGCTTTAAATCAGAGGTTTCAAAATCAGACCTAGTGAAGTAAGCGAGTTCTGGAGAGAGGATAAAGTGAGAAAGATGAAGAAACCAGTGTAAAACTATTCTTGAGGGTGTTTTGAAGTTTTTCAACATAAAACAGGGTGTTTTCAAACAAAAATGACCTCGTATAGTCCATTTGAATGACGAGGCGTCAAAACGAAAAAGGCCTTCCAAAGAAAAAGTCACTACGCTCTTACTATCGGGTTGATAGGGGGCTGATCAAGTTTTTTAGAAAGTCGAAAACTTGTTTTACCGGGGAAAAAAATTTCTGATTGAAAATCAAAGTTTCTTTGAAGATATTGTGCCAGTAGTGGCTTTCGTTGTATCTTCTTGAAAGCGGTGGTTCAGATTTATTTATGTAGTATAAGCAAATGCGAGAAAGAAGTTTAGTCTGGTTCCCGAGGGTGCCTTGTAGGCGCCTTCCTCCTCTTTTATAGTGCTGACCGGGGGCGGGCGCGCGTTCGCGAGCGGGGGCGGAGCATCGTCCGCGCTTTGGGCGCGACATTCCCGGCGGCGAGCTAAAAAACAAAAGGGGTTTTGTTAATTTGTTTAACCTGAAGGGTCAGCATGTGCAACTGCCAGATAGAGGCGTTCCGCGAAGTTGTCGAAGAAGGAGCCGGAAAAAAGCACTCAGTAGTGCCCGAAGATAAAATTCAAAAATCGATGCGCTTCTCAAAGTTATGGAGGTAATTGAAGATTTTTGTCCAAGGCGAGTATGTTCCCATTAGCGTATTTTTTCGAAGTGCTGGATTTCAATAGTATAGAATAATAGAGTGGAAAGTTTATAGTTAAAAATTTTTTTAATAATGATAAAAAGGAGTGCTCTTATTTGACTTCAAATAAGTTTGATGAAATGTAAGAGGAACTTGAACAAAAAAAGGAAGTAGTGGATATAAAAACGGATATGCCAATAATAGTTGTACAAAAGTCTCTTGCGGGGCAAACTTTCTCAATAATTTTGAATTTTCCACCAGATATTTTTCGCCACCATACTTTGTGTTGATGAATCGTGATTTTTCCTGGAAGTACAACCGAACTTGGCGGTGAACTTGGTAGAGATTCTAGACATAAATGTTCTGAGGAAATTTTATAAAAACTATTTTGTTGTAATTCATTATCAATTAGAGTAACTCCATACTTCTCACAAATTATTTCAGACCCTTTGCTTTGTTTTTGAGCTTCTGCAAAAGGTTTCTTTGCCAGTTCAAGTTCGGATTTTTTCACGTTTAGATCCCCGTTGACCAATTCGCGGAGAATTTTCGATGGCGCTGATGTTGAGCTTGATGGCCCAGGAGGGGTTTTGCTCATTGTTGGTAATTTGTCACTCGATCTCGCGTCTGTTTGGACCGCGGCAGGGGCAATCGTAAATGTTGGCATTGTTGTAAACCGGCTCAAATTTGCCATAGTTGATCTGATCGGCGTCGTTGTAAGAGGCCGTGCTTTAGTGGCAGATGTTTGGAATCTTTTCTGTGACATTTGATCTTTTGTTCGTGTATTCCCACGTTCTGGATCAGAATAAACAAACGGTTTCGACGTTGAAATTTGTTTACCGGCGGACAAAGTCATTGTTGATGTAGTTGGTGCCGTGGATGTAGTCATTGTTTCGATAAAAGAGCGGAGTTTAGGATTGAACAAAGGAATATCTTTTTGCGCTCCGCAAATCGAAGAGAAACAAAATAGTAGAATAATAGTCGTCAAAGGATAACTGAAGGAAACAGCTTTTTTCGTCGTGCTTTCTCTCACTTTTTGGGTCTGAATTTCTTTTGAAATCGGTATTGGTCTGATTTCTAGTGGGACAATTTGATTGATTGTTCTGCGAATGATATTGGTAGCTGATTCACGCCTTGGATCAGGATTGTTGACTCGTAATTCAACTGATCGGATCGAGCCATCTCTAGATCGTACAATGTCTTCAACTTTTGCTAGGCGCCATTTTTCTCGGGGTCGAAGTGGATCTTTGACAATAACCATTTCCCCAATAATTGGCGCTGTTTTCGCAGCCGCTACATTTTCGAGCGGCAGTTCATGTTACAAAAAAATATTTTTATGGAAAAACTTTTTTTCGTATTTTGTGATTAAATCCCTGTAAAACTTCATAAAAAAATTGTGAGTTCCCGGTCTTTATTGACTATTGACTATTGACATATTGACAGCTCCTTCATTTTTGTTGCAGTAATAATTCATCTCCCTGTAAATTTTTCTTCAGAAATGTTTCGAGCCTCGAAAGGTCCTTTAAATTTTTTTATTTCACATATTTCCCTTTTTAATATAGTTTGTCCAGATTTGGAATGTCAAGCAGCAATCTCCGTCCCAAACAAAGCTCTGTAAGTGGCTCGTTCTATAATTGGTTTGATCTACAAATAAGAGGCGGAGTTCGACCGATGACTTGACATTCAAATTCTGAACAAACTATAAACGCCGACTGTTCGGAAAATAACATTCCAAAATTTAAAAAAACACATTATTAAGTGAAAGGTAAATCAGTGTGACCAGTTTAGTGACCGCCTGGTATTACTATTTAAAAAGATGAATGCTTGAAAAATCAGTTATATCAACTTCAAATAATCCGAAAGGACAAAATTTGATAACCGCGCGCATTTTCTTGATGTTAAAAAGAGAGCGCAATTTCCTGTACAAAATTTGAAAAAAGAGTGCGCATTTTCCTTACGTGCGCACGAGAAAAGAGTGCGCACAGCGCGCACTTTCCAGCATGCCTCGAAAAAGAGCCTATAGACGTGAAAAAAATCCATCCTTTCACAATTCCTTTTCTAGTTGACAAAAAAACATTTGGGTGAAAGTTTTTCTTTCTGAACACTTTCATACCTTTCACCCTCAGAATTGGTTAAAGTCCTTTTTTCAGTGAAAAACGTGGAATTTTGTGCCGAAAATGACTTATTGTGGTTCTATGTGTCTTTCCCGACTTATTGAAAATTTAAAAAAAGTTTTCTTTACAGATTTAGTTTAGTTCATCCACCTAGTGGTATTTTTTCTCCTCTGCAACATCGCCATACCATTCTGATGTTGCGAAAATGAAGAGATTGATTGATTCGAATAAAAAATTTTAAAAAAGGGAATGAGTATGGTTTTTTGTCTGAGCTAGATGAGTAGGTTGAGGAAAAGAGTCAAATTGAGAGCCTACTGAATTTCTCTTGATTTGAGAAAAATGTAAACTGACTCTTTTCGTTGCCGCTCCCTGCTTAGCGGTGTTGTTGCCTGCCACGCGGGTCTTCTTCCTGAGTGAGCGTTGAGTGCGGGTCGGACAGCGATCCGTTCAACCTCGAACTTGGGTAATTAAACCTTTATCATAAATATTCCGCGAACAAAATTATAACGATAAAGCAATAAATTTAAATCAACAATAAGAATGGAAGATTGAGTGAAAAAATGAAATAAGAATGTAAGGAGAAATGGTTTTGGGGGCGAACGACGTGGCTGGCTAGACAGGTAATGGAATGGCTCCTAATGGACCTTTCCCCTGGCGAGCCAGCCACGTCATCCTCTGAGTGGCGGGGAGGCATCTACCTTTGAGTCGGTGTCGACAAATTTAATTTGACACTGAAAATGTTGCTGAAAGGCTTTTTTTTTTTGCTTTAAAGGGAAAATTTTGTCAAAACCCAGCAGTTAATATTGAAAATTGAAAAAAAAAAAGTTCCTTCGCATTTTGCTGTCGCAATAAAAAATAATTACCGTAAATTAGTACAAAACAGATAAATATACAACCAAAATAAACATGAAAAATCACGTGAAGCATGCTTCACGTGATTTTTCCGCCAGTGTCTCGCGTTTATCTCGGCAGTTATTCTTAGTGCACTTGAGCAACAAAAAATTCAAATGTTCGCGCGCAAGCTGTCAAGATGCATATATGTAGAAGAAATTAGTAAAAAGCTGAATTATTGCGAAACTCTAGTTATTTCGGTTCTTCCATTTTTGAAATGTTTTCACTGTAATCGGCGGAATTTACAGAGGCATTTTCGTCTTCATCTGTGGGTCCCGTGGTTTTCGCATCGAGGTGAGTTGAATCCCTTCACATTGAGAGAAGTATTGAATACTTTCAGGAATTGTCCAAGTGAAGAAAAAAGGTTATGACCAAAAAAAAAGCAGCGGCTTTCAATCCACTCCACCGCAGTTTTTCCCCCATCTTCATTTATTTTAATTTTAATAAACAACTTACAAGAAACCTTGTTCAACGGTCTGAGAAAAATTTGTTGGGTCGAACTTCTACTTCGAAATGAGAGAAAGAAGCTTGGAAGCATCTGATTGAAGGTCTTTTGATGTTCCTTGCCAGCCACTATATTATATTGCAAAAGTCTTCGGAGGAGAATTTCAAACTTCCCTTTTTTTGGTGGTATGAAAAAAACACCAGCGAAAAATTTAAACGACGACTTTTCCGATTTTTTTCATATCGCTAGGGAACTTTCCGACGGCCACCTTTCCGACGAATCTTTTTTTCAATTCAATTTGTTTATTTTTTTCGCAACGTCGGGATGGTATGGTGATGTTGCAGGGAGGGAAAAAGACCACTAGGTGGATTAACTAACCCCACCCGTGAAGAAAAAGTTTTTTTGTGTAAGAAAAAGAAACATAGAACCATAATAAGTAGATATTTAAATTTTTCGAACTTCGAAATTTCGAAGCCGCTCCGCATTTTTCGAAATTTCTACAATTTCTTCCACTACGCAGAACGCCGTGTAGCGAGCGATATTGCTCGACTCACCCTCATTATAGTGTTGATCTCGCTGAGACATAGTGTATGATGTTGGGTGCAGCAATACTTAAAATATCATTTAGAAACGGCATTAAAAAAAAACTATGGAAATGAGCGCAGTGACAAGATATTTTACTATGAAAGCACATAAATCACTTGCATTAATGTTTCAAAATGAAATAGTCAGCATTGTATTGTGAAATTCTGCAAAAGATCTTTGGAAAAACTTTGTTCTTCAATGAAAAGAAGTTCTAAAATAAATTTTGTGAAAGTGCGCTCCATCGAAGTCAGAATTACGGTGAGGCCAGGTTGACAAATACCGGCGTCTATGCCGTGTTCAAAGTAATTTCCGCGAAATGCACAATGATCTCTGACTCTCCAAAATTTAGTGATCTTTTCCTTTCTCTAACGGGTATTTTGCATTTCGCGGAAATTACTTTGAACACGGCACTACATTGAGGTTTCCCAATGTAGCCAGTTTATTCCAAAGAGGGACGAACGTCTCAAAGAAATTTTCGAAACGAATCCCTACTCTGATAAGACGTGATGGAGCACGTACTGAATTTGATCTCCTGAAAACACTGTGAGCAACTGGCAAACGACTCTCCTTAATATACATTTTATGTAACGTTTTTAGACAAAATTCAACTCTTCTTCTGAAAAGAGAGTTAGTGTTAATTTGGGCTAATCTATCTTCGTAACTAGAAAACCTAATGTTAGCTCTCATAAAGGCTTGCCGAGTGAATTGACGGAAGATGTTTTCGAGATCGTAGGATTGTTCTGAAGCTAAAGGAGGAACGAACAGCTCACAGCAGTAGTCTTCTAGTTTTAAGTGTTGCACTTGAGAACCAAAGCGCCGAAGCTGAGGCCGTATGCAATAAAGTGGAAAATGATTTTCCGCCATTTTCCTGAAAATTGAAAAGACCTTAAACTCGCTAGGATATAATGGATTTCGACTCTATCTGATGTAATAAGGCTCTATAAGAAGATTCTGACAGAGAAGAAACAATTTCAGACTAAAAAAGACTAATTTTAGCCATTTACGAGTTTCAGGAAAATGGCGGAAAAACTATTTTCCACTTAACACACGTTCTCTGAGAAAATCGATGACTTTTCACTAATAAAAAGCAAAACGAAGTAAATTTATTTTTTGATTCGCTTCAAAATTTGATCACGGCTCACACACGAGCTTCTGATTATTTAGCACCAGGTTTCAGGCGGCTCCGCCCCTTTTTAAAGATACTGTAGAGAGTTGGCTGAAAAAAATAAATTTTTTTCCTGTTGAGAATTTTTCATTCAAAAAAATGCTTGGAAATGTAAGAAAAAAACTATTTTTGAGTATTTTTTTCAGTTACAACTTTTTTTCTAACTTGACTTCTTCAGGGAGAAAAAAATCGATATTTCCTCAAAAACAGCGATTTTTTCCGTTTTTGAGCTATAACTAGAGTAAGAACCCCCTATGGTACGAATTTTATTTCTGATTATGAAACTAGGGGCCTTCTTCTTCAAGAAAAAGTGGTTCTACAACAAATCCCTGGGGTGGGATAGTTGACCTCCATTCGACCGAAGGTGATCAACTTGAATCGGCTCAAAATTCAAAAAATCATTTTTCTCCTAATTTGACGGCTTTTTCCTCTTTTTTGTTTCGAAACTGAAGACAAAACTTGTGTTCGTGTTCTCCACCATTTTAGGGCGCAAAGAAAATTTTATTCCGAATTCCTCGAGACTTTTCGAATTTTAGGACTTTCGTCGATTTTCGATTTTTTCCGTTTTCAGGTTGTTATTTCAGTAGGAACCCTCGAATGTGGTCATCATCTTTTGGTATATGGAAGAGTAGGTATTTCTGGATAAGAAAAAATTAGTCCGGTAAAAATCTCTGGGGTGGCCCAGTTGACCTCCGACCGCCTGAAGGTGACGACCCCAAAAAAATGGAATTTTCATTCAGGCTCGCAAAAACAACTTTTTTTGTTTCTATTATCACAAAAATGCTTTTTCTGTGAGACCTACATCAATTGTAACTTTTTTTCATGTGTTTTTACAGAGCTTGCAGATACGGAGAGGCCACTTTTTACTCATGAGAAAGTCACTTTTTTTGGTTTGATCTCGATTTCCTCTCTGTGCGATTGGTCCGAATCCTTCTCGTCTCCGATAAATTTCATTCTTGGTCCGGATATTCGCTTGCAAACTCGTAGTCACTATATTTCTTCCCACTTTAACACCTCTGTATATGCTTGCAAACACCAATTTTATAGAAAAAAAAATCAAGATTTCGAAGTTATGGAAAAAAAAACCAATTTATTTAAAAAACGATTGGATAAACATTGAAACGAAAATCATTGCCATCTTCTATGTCTTCTTCGACTTCTCGTCCTTCGTGTTCTTGTCTTCTGACGTTTTCGGAGCGGTCGGATCTGCGCAGCGTGTGCCCTAAAATATGTAGAAGGATGGAATCACAAAACGAAAAGATCAAACTCACTCAAAGCTGTCATCATAATAGAGTGCTAAAAAGATGCTAATCAGTTAGTTTGCCGAAAAAGTAGGTATTTTTCAGAAAACAAAAAACTGGCGCTTTCACTCGCGACCTCAAAATGAAAAATCGCAGCGCATGCACTGCGCCAAGCTGTCAGGTCTAGCGCGGGGAGCTTGAAAGTTGAAAACCAAAAAAAAGCCACTTTTTCTATCGCGAAAAGGGGCGTGGCTTTGCGGTCCCTACTTTTAAGGCGCCTTTTTTCCTAGACTTTTTTTTCCAAAGAGGACCTTTTCAGGAGCCCAAAAAAGGTCGGAAAATAGATGAAAAAAAGGAGATCTGGCCTTTTTGAGGTCGTTTGGACTTTGCCTGTCACGTTTCATATCAATCTTTCACCTTCCTCTATCATCTCATTTTGTACCACTATCTCATCTTCTGGTGTCCCATCGCTCGCCATCTCTTCTTCGCTTACTCCGTTTTGTTTTAGTCCGTTATTTTGAAATCTCACTGCTGAACGAGCATGTAGCTCATGCCGTGTTTTTTTCCTTGCCGACCTAAAACTTTCTCCCTCATCACATCTGTTCAGCCCGTCCGGTTTGGAACACTGTATGTTAAAATTTTGCATACACCAATTGCGGTTTTTGGGCGATATCATCGTTAATAACTTCTCATACATTTTCATTTTCGTAGATAATAAACAATCAAGTTACCCCGAAGAAGTTATATCGCCGTTTTTTTTTTAAAATTATTCTCGTTCAGGCACTGCCACAGCACTTCTCAATTTATAATATTACAATTAATAATCTAAAACGATTCAAAAACATTTTTTTCACATTTTTCGGTAGAGGAGACTGTCAATTTTCATAATCCGTTTAGTTTCCGAAAAGAGGTGCACTAAGAAAAAATTAATGGCCAAAATACTAGCGCGCACGGCGCTCAACTGAAGGCGAAATCTCACGATTTACCCGCTGCCGCTGCAACATCTTCTAATTGCGCGATTTTTGTTCGAATATTACATATGAATTATCGCATTTGACAACAGAGACAGGATTATCTAGAGGGACTTTGAAGTTTACCGTGCATTACGTAAAAAACTTATCCTCTTTTTTCAGACTCACCATCTGGCTGCGGCATCTCGTTCTTGCCGACGCATGTCTCCCGCCTGTTCCCAGCACCTCTGCATAATTTCACGATTTTTCAAATTTATAATCTTTCATTTCATAACAGGATAATACGCGTATTAAATAAAACCGTTTAAAACCATTCGTACAATAAACATAAACACATGTTCACATACAAATACAAATAAAAATAAACGAATGTTCTCAAAAACAGTTTTTCTTAATAATGGGTTGTCCACGTGGCTCGGAACATTGCAGCTTAGCTCGCTTTTCCCCCTGAAATCACACTTAATTGACTCAAAATTTTGAAAAGCCCACTTTCGAGGTCTTTGCGCTATAAATTTACATTGTGCTCGGTTTTACCTCTAAATGTGCGAAAAAAAAACACCGAAACTTTCAGAGCCGCTTCCCAGATAGGGTTTGCTCGGAGCATAATTCCTGCCGAGTCTTTCGTGACGGACGAAGACCGCCCGATCCTTCCCACCTTGCGACAGCTTATTGTGGACGCCGAACAGGGCGGATTCATAATTTGGAAGCCCGCTTTACGTTCATTCCTAACTGTATCCAAAATATTTACACTGATAAAGAAAGATCATTGAGCAATGAGAAGCCAAAATGAAACTTCAATCTCAATAACAAATCATAAAATACGTTTCCTTAAACTTTGTGTTGAACTAACAAAGAAAAAAAAAATAAAAGGAAAAAAAACGTTTGAAAAACCACGTGATCGACGTTTCAAAGGTAGTCAGTTTTTATAGAGTCCGGGCCGCGGATCACCGCTCTCGCGAGAGGATCTCGAGCAGGGTGAGGATTTCGATTATTAGTTTCTATAAGTAATTTGAATAGTTATTTGCCTTGCATTCGGAGGATCATCATTAAATACGTAAACTTTAGGAAAGATTTTTATGTAAAAAAATAATTCATTGTCTTTTTGTTCAAAAAAAACAGGCCTTTGATGTCAGCTCTCTCAGACATTGTTATCGCGAAACGGACGTTTCGAGGGCATTTCTAGTGACCACTTTAGAAGCGTTAGCATTCTCAAGTTATCCCTAGAAATGCTCAGACACTCCCGGTTTTTGTTACCGAGGCTCAAACTAAAGTTTTCCAAAATTCAACTAGGGACAGTTTCATATTGAAAAAATTCGTTGAAACAAACTCATTTCAAATAAAACAAACGGCTTTCCGTTTCTGAGCGAGTCGAGAAAATCTTAAAAGGTTGGTAGACGTGTTGGGGTTGAATCGTGAGCTTTTCAGTTCTGACGACTCATTTTCAGTCGCCTACGACGATCTCAAAAGGTTGCGCGCTTCTGCCACTGCCGAAGAGAAGCGGCTTCCGGAGCTGTTGGAGACCGAACACGCAGAGATGGCGAATCTCCTGAACGCCGAAGGGCTCAACTACTACTACTGGTTCAACAGTTCGTTTTTCCTCTTTCTTGACACTCTCGACACTTTGCAGACTTAAGAAGAAAAAAACGATAAATTTCGGATTCCGAGACTCGTAAAGAGACTAGTAATAAACTTCATCATGTTTCAGAGTACATTCATCTTAGACCAGCGGTTCTGCTAGGAGAGGCCCTCGGCGACGCTATTAGGAGGATTTTCAGTAAGTTTATTCATTTCGTTTTGTGATACCACTCCCACTTTTTTTGGGCGCAAACTCGAGGAGTTTTAAATTTGCTCTAACGAGATATTTTTCAGATAAAGATGAGTGTCACAAGGAAATCAAAGCTCAAATGGACTACATTCATAACTTGGCGAATCCAAAGGGGAAGCTCCTGAAACGGAAAAAAAAAACTAGCCCCGACCGCTCCGAAAACGTCGGAAGAGAAAAACACGAAGGACAAGAAGTCGAAAGACAAAAACTCGAAGGACAAGAAGTCGAAGGAAAAAAATTCGAAGGAAAAGAGTTCGAAAGAGAAGAAACCGAAGAAGGCTTAGAAGATGGGAACAACAATTGGAATTTCTATATTAACCCAAACTCTTTTCAAATAAATAGATTTTTTTACACACCTCGAAATCTTGATTTTTTTCGATAAAATTGATGTTTGTGAGCATATGCATACTTGTTTGTTCGGAAAATGCGCCAATGGAAAATTCAAATTTTAAAAAGTATCTGATCAGCCAATAATTGAAAAAAAAATCTGATATAGAACAGAACTGGGTTTCCGTGAGATATGTTGGGATCTAGTCACAATCAAGAAGGATCCTGAAGTTCCGACATCCGAAAAACCAATAAATGGAATCGGATCTTCTGATTCCAATTTGCGATTTTTGCTGATTAAACCAGTTTGATGCAGTGTTCAAAGTAATTTCCGCGAAATGCAAAATACCCGTTAGAGAAAGGAAAAGATAACTAAATTTTGGAGAGTCAGAGATCATTTTGCATTTCGCCGAAATTACTTTGAACACGGCAGGAGTTTTCCTACAACAAACGAGTTGGAAGATGATCTTCACGTTATGTTTTTGCTCAAATTCAGCTTTTTTTCAGGAGATGTTATCGACTCATTGTCTTGAAGTGAGAGATCTCTAACAACTGAAGAGTTCCACGAGTTTATGATAGCCGAGTCTAAAATTTTTTTGAACACAAATCATATAGCCAAGCATTATATCAAAATGAAATCAAAGTCTCTAGAAAATGGAAACTCAAATATAACTTGAGCGTTGATCCTCAATTAATTTGTAAAAACTCTTCAAAACCTCCATAATCGACTCCGTATTTTTCGCTATCTAAATTTCTCAACATTCTTTTTTTGTCATTCGGATTGTTCTACTTCTAAAATAGAATTTTTTTCAGCGTTTTTTTCGCCGGAAAATCCGATTTTAAAACTCGATTTGACTTGTGAAAGCGAGTTTTTTTGCAATTTACCATTTTTTTGAAATTATAAGTTTTTCTGCTTTTTATTCGCAAAAAAATTGAGTTTCTCTAAACAAAACCCAGACATAAATTTTTATAAACTGCTCTTTTCTCCAGAGAAAATACCAAGGACTTCAATGCTTGAATTTGAACCCTCTGAAGGAAAAACCTGATTATCTTATATAATTCGGGGAGCTTTTGAAAAAAAAAAAGTTATATTAGAAGACATGAAAGTGTTAGCTCAATTAGAACGAAGGATCTAAAAGGCGGTCTTTTTTTGGCCTGATTCTTTGATTTTAGAAAGTACCGCTCGAACTAGATTCTCTCAAAAATGTAGAAATAACTTTTTAACTGTTGATTTTTTTTTTTGAGAATTTAAAGTTTTACTTTACGTGTTAGAAATAATCCTACTTGACTTTTATTTAATTAATTTCACGCGTGAAATCAATAAAATCAACGTGGCATACGCATTTGAGTAATTGGCATTCCGTGTCACGGATCTTCACCAAGCCAACCATGGGTAACTTTATGGATTTTCCTTTTTTTTTTATCACCAAAGACTTGGCGAGTTTCTAGTTTCTGAGCCATGAGATATCGCAGGGCTCACACTAGTGAATGTCATAAACCACCCTTTAAATTTGGGACTCTCTACTCGCTAGGTGGCCAGGTCCTCAACAGGTGTACCCGTATTGAACCGTATTAAAAGCACGGCTAGGCCAACCTCATAAGCATGCGAGTTCGTTCACTGAAAGGGCTAAGAAAAAATTTGGACGTCAAAAAATTGGTTTCGTATACTCGCATGCTGAGAAGGGTAACCCAGCCGTGCTAACGCGGCGTGTCAGAAAGTGTCCCCGTATTAAACCCTTAAAAGCACAGCTGGTCGAACTTTTGGCAATTTTTTAGCCCAGCTGGGCTACCTATTTTTCTTACACCCGTTGTTCTCTCGTTTTAGCCCCACTGAGAATGAAATAACCTCGAAACCACGGGTTTAAAACGAGTACACCCCAGAGAAATGCGAGGCCGGCGCGAGAAAAATGCGAGATGTTTGCGAACTCGTCAATGTGCCGCCAGTGTCTCGCGTTTATCTCGGCAGTTATTCTAAGTGAATTGTACCTCTTTTGCAATATTTCTTGATAGGCTAATTCACACAGTATCAAAAACGAAATATGAGATAGATGCGATGAAAGCTTTTTTTCGGCTTTTTAGTCGTGGTTTTATCTGTTGTATTGACAGTAAATAATTTTTAATATATTCTAATTTACTATAAATATGTTCAAAAAGTTCAAATTAGTTGAAATTATCCTTGTCAGTTCGATACTTTGTTTTTTTCAAAGGGTCTTCCAAACCTCGTCTGAAAAGGCAGCTAGTCTTCGCCTTCGGTATCCTGTTTTGCACGCTGTCCACGGTTACGAGTCAAGGTACACTTTTTTGGGTAATGTCCAACATATGCGGGGGGCTATACTGTAATATACTACCCGGTACCTGCTTGTATAGACATCCCGAATATGCATCAACCTTGGATGATCGAACCTAGGAAAACGAATAATGCAAACATTTATCCCTTTTTGGTTTTCATTATTTTGTTTTTTTCGTTCCATTTTCCTTTGTTGTTTTATTGTGAGGTTATAATGTCCCGACCGGAAATGAAAACTGCATGATTTTTTCAATTCATTCTTTTGAAAAAAAAAAGTAGTGTGCATTCATCGCATACTTGTAGGCAAAAATTTTTTTGCAGAGCGTCTTTTTACGTTTTTTTGTTCCCTCTATAGGCATTCCTCACAAACTTTTTGCACACAAATTTTTGCTGAAGAAGCCCTTCAGATCCATGAAACACAGGAAAATGCGATTTCGCAATGAAACATCGAAATTAAATTATTAGCTCTAAACCTTGAAAATATGAAACACAATGTGATTTTTAAGTCAAATTCTCAAAGAAAACCTCGCCATTGAAGCATAAAATCAAAAACAATTCACTTTATGAGTTAGATTAAAAAAATAATTAATTATATGTTTATTTAAGGTCGAAACACGTCATTTTTCCCAAAAAGAAAAAAACTGATCAAATGAAAAAAATTTTTTTAAAAAAACCAGTGAATATTCTTAATACACGATTTCCAAGATTCAAATTTTTCTAAAATTTGAAAAGCATAATTTAAAAAAACTAGAGTCCATGTACTGTCTTAAAGGCGGTTTGTCGAAAAATTGTTCGGGATATTAGAGAAATCTTCAAATTTTTTTTGGCGTGTATTAAAAATAGATTTTCAGCTGGTTTTTTTCAGTGAAATGTTGCAAAAGACCTATTTCGGCATATCCATCAGGGGATGCTATTCCACCCGAATGCGAAAACTTGGATTGCACCGAGGGATCGATTACAATGGAAAAACCTTCTGGCAAAAAAGTTGTGTCCTTTTTGGGAAAAACTGAAAGAACTGGCGCTATAAGCATACTGGACAACAAGCTAAAAGCAATCATGATTCCGGATTTGATAGAAATCGTCCATAACGGTCCAGGTAAGGTCTTTTCGAAGTTGGAAAAATACGAAAAAGTTAAAAAATTGTTCAGTTATTCTTAAAATATTCAGTTACACGAAATCATCCATCGTTTTAATGAGTTTAAAGGAAAGGTCCCTTTTGAAGATTTGAAAAATTTCAAACTGTTACGCCGTGACGTCATCAATCAAATCAAAATGTTTTATTTCCCACACACAAGTACTAAATTTCACGAAATAGATGTAGGGAGAGTTTGGGAACATATGTGTCGGAACTTGTGGTGATGGAGGGAAAAGGACTCGCGGTCGTGTTAACCCCCCACTTGAGTAAATTGGAATAACCTTGAAGTTATTCTTTTAAATGTCGATTATGTAGCTTTCATATTTTTTTGTTGGATCAAGAGTGTTTAGTTCTGTAATGTTGTTTTTCAAACCATTTCTCAAGTTCAAATCTGAACTTATTTTTTTCATACTCAAATACTATGTTTCTATCCATGTGATTCCAATGATTGTAAACTCTTTGATTGATGAACCGGTAGTGTATGTCAGAAAGTAGAGGCCGCTCTATTTTGAGACCATTTCCTCGCAGTTGATTCGATCTACTTGTTGTATTTTGTAAAGGGATTGGAGATGGGCACCAATAGTATCCGTAGATGAAACTATGAGCAGCAGTTATGTCTTTTTTTAAACGTCTTTGCCAAAGGGTGTTTAGTCCAAGACGTTGAAGTCTTTCTTTGTAATTCATTTTAGGGAAAAGTCTTTTAGTAAATTTGCTTTGAACTGATTCCAATCTATCGATATCTGTTCTTGTTAGAGGACAGAAAAGTTCTGACCCATATTCAAGAACAGGTAAAATCTTCAACTTGTAGCAGTTCATGAAGTTAGTGTGCGAGAAGGTAAAACATCTAAAAAGATTATTCATGATTTTCGGAATCAAAGGTTTACTTATATCCAGATAAATTACGTCAACTATGGCTTTTTCATATACGTTTTGAATCAAATATTTTTGCTTTTGAAGCAATTGCGAAACGGTATTTCTGTTGTTCAAAAATCCGTATTGTGCTTTGGATATTATGTTTTTGTTCCAAAGATGATTTCTTAAACTTCTAACGATAATGGATTCGAGTACTCTGCATGGGACACATGTTAAACTGACAGGTCTGTAGTTTTGAGGCTCACTAAGGCTTCCTTTCTTATATATAGGGCGAACTATTGATTTTTCCCATAAACTGGACAAGCATGAGGTATCCAATGATTTTTGGAAAATCATTGATAAAGGTAGTGCCAAAGGGGCCGCTAGTTTTTGTATGATGATATTAGACAATTTATCCGGACCGGCAGAATGTAAAGGTCTAAGCTTCTTCAAACATTCGTATACGATATACGGCTCAACATTTATTTCTTCCATACTTCCAACCGAGCTCATATTATTTATTAATGGTCTCTCATCGTCTTTAGTAAAAACTGAGCAGAAGAAATCATTAAAAGCCTGAGCTTTCTCATTATCATCGTTGGTGCATCCATTTTTAGTCTGCATGAAAGGCGGATCAACGAATATGGTGGTCTTATTTCTAATATAATTTCAGAACTTCTTGCTGTTTGGTCCTTTATCGATAGCTTTCTCTTCTTCTTTAATTCTAAAATCTTTGATAACTTTCCGGTATTTCCACCAATTTGTTTTATAAGTCGATAAGTCTTCGGATTTATTCGATTTTTTTATATTTTTATGTAGGAATTTTTCAGAGTATCTCTTCAATTTCATTATCTCGGATGGAAGATTAGACTTTTTTTGATAGTTTTTCTTGGGTATAAATTGATCAATTAGTGGCAAAGTTATATTCAAAAAAGTGCTGTACATTTTGTCAGCTGTGTCACATGTACTAAAACGATAATTCCAATCAATCCAAGCCAATCTTTGTCCTAAAGATTCAAAATTTGCCTCTGAATAATCATTTACAGTAAAATGCTTCTCATGCTACCTTTTTCTGACCAACTCTGCAACACACCGATGATTTGGTAAAACAAATTCACCCCTAAAATATCCTTGTCATTTTTTGAAATTTAGGATGAAAATTTTGCGTGCTTCGGGTATATAAATTTTTGGTCACAAACGGATTATTAAACAGAAAAAAAGGCTGCTTCATAAGTTTTAATGAATATCTTTTTAAATGCTAACTCTTGTCAGGTTGGACTTGTCAGGTTGGATCTTACAGTTCTTTGTTCTTTTTAAAATCCAAGTTAAGTAAAAACCAATCTGCTAGTAGAAAAATTTGTTCTTTCAGAAAAACAAAAAACTGGAGAGATGCTATCTTTCTTTTTGTAATAATATGTTATATTCATTCGAGTTGAAATGGAAATTTCACAATTTAAAAGTTACTTTGCAGGTCCGGCTGTTCATTTGAGGGAGCCCAATTTGGATGATAAATTTTCTTTCAAAAAATTGCAAAAAATAACAGTGGATAATCCTTATATATTCTGCAAAAATTGGGACCTGATTCGTCTGGAAAATAACGTGACGGAAGAAATAAGGCTCCGGCTGGAGAAAGTGGCCAATGAGGTAAGTTTAAAAAATCGGAAAATAACAGGTTTTCAAAAAGAAACAACGTATGAATGAATTGACGCCTGGAAAGAGCAAGAAAGATTAGAGACTACCTCTGACTAGGGAGTTACTCGGGCTCGGGTACGCGTATCAAGTTGAAACTGAGGTGGCTTTAGAATTGGGTAAGAGTTCTTAGATACGAGAGAGATAATCTGCTGAACCACATAAGCTTCTGAGGAAAAGCTTTTCGAAGAAATCTAGGAAGATTCTTGTACGCGCTTGGATCTGAGGCTTGGCTTTCGGGTCATTCTCACGTTTGAATTTTTTTGATAAGTTCGTTTTCTGTCGAGCGCGAGTCATTTTTGAATTTTTCTAAAAGACCAAAAATTGAAAAAAATCACGAAATTTGAAAGTTTTTTTGTCTTTCTTTTTTTCATTTTGGGAGGTTCAAAAAGAAAAAAATTTGTCGGAAAAAAACAATTTGAGAGGTACCGCAACTGTGCTGAAAAATCACTTTTTTTCAAATCTTTTTCACTTTTTTTAAAGCTAAAATAATCAAAAGAAGAACGTTTCCATTAATTTTTATGGCTTTTTTTGAAAAAAAGCTTTTTTTCTTTATGAAAAAAATGCAAAAAATATTTGCCTTCGACAGGAATGAAACCTATTAAAAATTATCATGAAAAGAATCCTCAAGCCACTGCGCCAGAGCTCCTAGATGTGAGAGGAAGGGCAGGTATGGCTGATTCACGACTGGCTTGAGCCACCGAAAAAAGGGTCCTGACACGATAATGCGCGAGATTTCGTGCATTATCAGTGCCTGGCTCGTGGAGAGCGCAGACAGGACACGCCCCCTTAGCGTCCCACGCTGGCCGTGAATCAGCTATACGTGCAGGACTCTTCCTGGATTTCTTAGAGGAGCTTTTTCTTAGAAACCTATGGTTCTAGCAGACCTCTCTCGTTTCCAAACGCTTCTACCCAGATCTATTAGACACAGAAGTTCCAATTCGGTACTTGCTCCCTCTTGAGAACTACTGACTCTACCTCGTAAACAAATTTTAGAAATCAATATTGAGAAAAGAAACGAACTGAGCAATGAAATTTCCACCTTGCTTCCTTTTTTTTATCTTTACCATTGTCTTTTCCAAACCTCCTAATTGATATCCATCACGATAATCTCCGGATTCGACCTCATTGCTTCTTAGTCAGTTAAAAGTTTTCCGTTTGTCACATGTCATTTCTAGTCGAACGCTTTTTTAAACGACCTCTTGGAATTCGCCCAAATTCTGTTTGTTAAACTTGCTATCACACACCAAAGAACAAGGAACAATTTCCAATATCTCGGAGTCTGTACTATTCAGACTCTCGCCGTTTGTAATACTGTTACGACGCCAGCGCCAACGGCAGCACCACTAAACACCACGACGACGTTGACGATCAGCAGCCTTTCCACGACTTCGAACGACACCGCGGGTGTCCCGCAACAATGTGCTCAGAGCGTGGCTTCCGCCGCCGCCGCTGCCTCAGCCTCAGCCAAAGAAAAGGAATGTCCTAGCAAAAGTAATTTCAATGGTTTTCGTGTTTTCAACAGTGAACCGAATTCCAGACGGACTGCTGATCGGAGCGGTAATAGTCATTGTTGTGCTTCTGGTCCTCCTGGGCATTTTGGTGTACATGTACATCAGGCTCTACTTCTTCAGGAAGGACGAGGACGCCGCTTTTGCCGCATATGGTATAGTCTGTGTATCACGCCTTGGAATTTCACCGAACGGCATTCCGCTATTTCGCTGCGTTCTCGGCAGCGCCTACAATTTTTATTTTATTTAAAAACTTGACCAACACGTGTTCCCAGTGGAACAGTCCATCTATTAGAAATGAGAACCGATTCAAAGCGAGACCGAGGCTCGCAAAGACGCATCGCGACGCAGCGGAAGAGCGAAATGTCGTTTGGTGAAATCCCAAGTCTTGGCACACACACTACAACTATGTCATGTTGTTTTATTAACCGAACGCCTGAAAAAAAAATCAAACAAGTTTTAGCATAAGATCGGGAATTATTTTCAACAATATTAGCCGGAATATCCATTGTTGTATAGTCAATGTTTCCCGACTTGAAAGGTGAGGGACACGGGGCAGGGGGAGCGACGCGTAGCGTGTGCGTTCGCGGTCCTTGGCACGTGTTCAATTCAACCGCCATCTACTCTTTGAAAGGCCCGTTTTTCGCTTTTTTCATTCCTTTTTCATTTATTTATTGATTATGTTCGTGTGTGCATCAAAAAAATAGTAGAAAACATCGAAAAAGAGCGGTGGCCGAGCTTTTTAAATAGTCGACGACAAATGAATTTAACTCGTGCCACGAACCGCGAACGCTCACGCTACGCGTCCCGCCCCTTGCCCCGCCTTCTTCGCCTTTCAAGTCGGGAAACATTGACTATAGTATTAAAGAATCTTGAAAGTCCTATTTGCAAATTTTCAAATTTTTCGTGGAATGAGTGCTCGAACTTTGACAGAAACAAGATAAGCTAATCCATAGTATCCTTTCAGTATCCTATGTCGCGCAACTTATGAATTCCATGATCTTCTTCCAATCCGGCAGAGACCATGCAATGCGTTAGTTTCCTTATTCGCTATTTTGATCACAGTTCTTTTTTAGTTCATGGCACTATGATGGATGGTCTCTATAAGAAGCACTCCCCACTAGGTAAGTCTGATTTAACCTTGAAAAAAGTTCCATATTTCACCAAAAAAAAAATCATCATTTTAGTTTGCAGTTCGATTTTTCGGGGAAAAAGATCATTATTTTATGTAGCAAACAAATATTCTAACAGTCTCCACTTTCGTACTTTTTGCGTCTTTCTTTAGAAAACTGAATAAGGGCCACACCACCCTTTATAGTTTGTTCATATTTTTAATGTCAAGTACAATGACGTCATTCGAAAATACTCTGTGTATGGCTAGCTCTCTGATTGGCTTATCGGGCCGTTAGGGGCGGAGCTTTTGACGCGACTTGACATTCGAAATCTGAACATACTATACAACAATAAAAAACTTCTCCAAATTTTTGCAATCGGCCTGATAAACGGTAAAGTGTTATATGGTGTGTGATAGGATCATTCCTGGCCTGTTCAAAATGTTTTCAAGGTCAAGTTCAACCTTCAGCCGAACGATCTAAAAAATCACTTGATTACTTGTAGCGCCGGTGTACGCTATTTAAATTTGGTCGCTGTTTTTTTTTGGCGTTAGTTCCACTTATAATAATAGGTTTATTCACTGCATACTGTTAGAAAAATAATAAATAAAATAGTTCAGAATACGAAAGCAGCAGAATAACCAAAACGGGAATTAGTCCACCCTAACGAGTAGACTATGACCCGGGGATAGAAAGGAAGTCAGAGCAAACGGGAAGGAATGGATTCGAAAAAAAGGCAGAGTTAGGGAGATCATTAAGTTTAACCCGTAGCGCATCCGTAGAGACGTTAAAATTTATTCTAGAGGTAAGTTTATTCCATAATGGAATAGTTTTTGGAAAAATCTTTAGAGAACTGACCGGAAGTGCGAAGTCGAAGTGGATTCCTCTGTAAAGGAGAAATAGTGAAGAAATCATTGACTTTTGCAACATGTCCTCTATAGTCGTCGATTTCAACCATTCAATCTTTTTTCATTAGATGACCTGGTGTTAAACATGCACAACAGTTGATTTTTGACCACCCAACTAGCCGGTCTACAGTTGTGAAAAAAAAATTGGAAACAGAGTTCATGCCAAAAAAGGGCCTATAACATTATCACTGCCATATCATAATGATTTTTTTTATTCTAGAGGATCTTTCGTGGATGTTCCACAAGCAGGCCATCAAACGCAAGAAGAAATTCGAAGAAAAGCAGCCTCTACACCCTATAGATGATTTCTCTTTGTACACTGGAATTACATGGAATAACGTACATGATCTTAGTGATAAACGTGAAAGGACGGAAGAGTTTATCGAAGCGGGTCAGAAATATGAGGCCGTCAAAAAAGTACACCAAGCTGGAAAGGAGTTTGAACCGCCGCAGGGAACTCGTATCTGGTCGGATCTTCGACTGAAAGATCATGATAAAATGGAGATAGCGAAACTGCCCGAACAGCAAATGGTCGAGAAGAAGAAATTGGATCATGTGAAAAAAAATCCACCGAAGGCTTTGTTGAAAAAACGACAAAAAGGAGGAGGTGATCCGCCTTCCAAAGCTACCAACAGCGTCGCCAAAACTGAAAAGTCCAAAATGGAAGAGAAGAAAAAGGAGGGTCCAAAGGCAGAAGAAAGGAAAAAAGAAGATCCAAAAGCAGAAGATAAGAAAAAGGAGAACACAAAAGCAGAAGCGCCGAAAAAAGACGACCGAAAGGCAGAAGAGAAGAAAAACGAGGACACAAAGGCAGAAGCGCCGAAAAAGGACGACGCGAAAAAAGAAGAGGCAGCCAAACAAGGAGATGCGCCTATTAAGTGCGTGAAAGTTGAAGATATCGTGAAGAGAGTTGTGAAAGAAGATGATCCGAAAATGGTGTTCATTATGCCGCACGAGAACATCCAGCTCGAGAAATGTCATCCGCTGTCTCTTTTGAGCCCAGTTCAAGCGAAGTACGACACGTTCAAGACCAAATCGAAAGTTTTGCGTGGGTTTTTCTTTTTCCTTTCTTTGACAACAGTAATTCACTCACAGATCTAAAATTTCTTGAGATGCGTATTAATTGAGGAAGCGTTTGGAAGGATGAGATATGGAATTTTGTTTTCAGTTGGAAGTCAGGACAGATTATTCAAAAATGAATGGATAAGACAGAGATGGGCGGAATAGGGGCGCCTGTTTGGGAACACTGTGGTACTGGAAATTTTGTCAGTGCTTCTGCGTTCCGCAGAAAGATCAAAAACGATTCCATTAAAAGTTAGGATGTCTGAAATTGCTCGTTTAAATTGAAGCGTAGAAAAGTTTTTCGAGGTGATCCGAAAATCAAAAGACAGATTCAACCTGATGAGCATCTTACCAGAAAAAAAGGTTCCACGATAGGTCTCGTAGGTGTTGAAAACTTTGAGCGAAAAATTAAATGACGAAAACACGAAAACAGTTGATAATTTTTTTTTTCAAGCGAAGTTTTTGCTTTTTTTGAGCAGGTTATCATGCGCTTAGCTCAGCTCAAACTACGATAGTGAAAATTTGATACAATACCATGGGACTAAATCTTTTGGAATAGTCTTTTTTTCTGAAAACTATCTTAGTTGATTCGAAATCTGCGCCTGGAAAAAAAAAAACTCGTGGTACCTAAAATGATAAGAAGAAACTTTTCAGGAGATACATTCGCAGTTTTTTCGTTGGTGTTGGAAGAGCTACATATTTACTATTGTAATCACGCAAAAGGTATAGAAATGCTTTGAGACAACAAGTTATTTTTGTTTCGATTTCAGTTTGGGCGCTTGTTAACGCAAACGCCAACCATGTGGAGATCAGAATGGTGGAACATGCGAGATACAACGCTGGCGCCTACGATAAAATGAATTCAACTTGGCCCATGAATCCTGGAAGAATAGATCCGAAGAATAAACATACCGCAAGAAATGTTCCCGCCTACCAAACTCCATGTGAGTTTTCACTAACAAGTTTCATAGTCAACTTTCTACTAGCTTGAAATGTACTGGAAAAAAGTTTTAAAAAGAGCAGTTTTGGTTCCTTGATGCTTATACCAAACATTTTGATCAGGAAACTGTTATATTTGGATAAATGAATCAAGAGTAATTAAGTTCGTGTTTGAAACTGTACATTGGGCCAAAAGCCGCGTCGCGACTGCAACAAGTTACTGCGGTAACCATGCGTCCATCTCCTAACAGTTTCACAAACTATTTTGTGACACAAAAAGGTCATGTCAAAACATGGGATGCTTTGAATTTAAACTATCAAACTTTCAGTTAAACTTCAAAACAAGATTTTTTAAATTTGGAATGAAACACATAAAATTTTGGATCACAGTAGAAGGAGGGAAACGTTGGAAAACAGCTCTTTGTTGCCGAACGAGTCGAGAAACTCTTTGCAACGGGCGCTAGACGTGTTAGGGTTGAGCCTTTCAATTCTGAAGGGTAATTTTCAGTGGCCTACGATCATCTCAAAAGGTTGCGCGCTTCTGCCACCGCCGAAGAGAAGCGGCTTCTGGAGCTGTTGGAGACCGAACACGCAGAGATGGCGAGCCTCTTGCACGCCGAAGGCCTCAACTACTACTACTGGTTCAACAGTCCGTTTTTCCTCTTTCTTGACACTCTTCGACACATTGCAGACTTGAGAAGAAAAAAAAAACATAAATTTCGTATTTCGTATAAACTCGCAAAAGAAAAATAGTAATAATCTTTATTATTTTCCAGAGTACATAAATCTTAAACCAACCGTTCTGTCAGGAGAGACCCTCGGCGACGCTGTTAAGAGAACTTGGAGTAAGTTCTTTATTTTGTTTTATGATTCCACTCTCTTACGTTTTTAGGGCGCAAACTCAATTAGTTCCAAATCTGATCCTATGAGATATTTTTCAGATAAACCTGCGTGTCACAAGGAAATCGAGGAACAAATGGACTACCTTCGTGACTTGGCAAATCCAAAGGGGAAGCTCCTGAAACAGAAAAAAGAACCTGCTTCGACCGCTCCGAAAACGCCAGAAGACAAGAACTCGAAGGACAAGAAGTCGAAGAACAAAAACTCGAAGGAAAAGAGTTCGAAAGAGAAGAAACCGAAAAAGGCCTAGAAGATGGCAACAACTATTTTCGTTTCACTGTTTGTCCAACCTTTTTTTAAATAAATAGATTTTTCCAATCACTTCGGAACCTTGATTTTTTTTTTCTGTGAATTCGGACGGAGATTTTACACGGAAAATTGAGAGGAAATCGAGATAAGACCAAAAAGCAACTTTTTCCCGTTTTTTTTTCGGAGTAGCAACTTGTACGAGGCTAAGGGAGTTCCATATCTTTCGCTTTCGCAACAGAAAAAAAACACACAGAAATGTATTTTTTGAAAAGCAGTGTATAAAAAATTGTGCCGATCAAAAAAAAAAAACACCCTTCATGAATTTATAAAGACTTTGAGCTTGCGCAAAGTTTTGTTGACTTCGTACTTCCGAATACACTTTTTATTCGAGAAAAATGCATTGAATGCTAAAAACAAAACATTTCGAGATGAGAGAAGTATATTCGGAAAGCTTTCTCGTAAACTCTTATCTCTCTTTCAATCAATTTTATCTCACTCGGACATCAAAAATGACGTTTTTCAATGAACTTTTAGTTGAACTTACATTAGAAAAAAGATGGACGTCTGGGAAATAGCGAGATCAACGTTCTCAAAGAAGTCAGTTTTTATAAAAGCGGCCCGAGGATCGCCAGCTTCAAACGATGGGTAAGGATTTAATATTGTTTGGGTCACTAGTTTGATCGATCCTCTTCATATAGGGGATCTTTATCAACTGATTGAACAATTGAATCTCTCATCCACTTTTTTTTTGTTTTTAGCAAAAAGGGTTTAATAAGTCCCTACGAGTGAATTTACTGATATTAGGAATGAAATAAGTGGAAGTTGGAAAACAGCTCTCCGTTTCTGAGCGAGTCGAGAAATTCTTTGAAAGGGGTGGTAGCCGTGTTCGAGTTGAGCCTTTCAGTTCTGACGAGTCCTTTTTCCGTTGCCTACGACCATCTCAAAAGGTTGCGCGCTGCTGCCAACGCAAACTAGAAGCGGCTTCTGGAGCTGTTGGAGACCGAACACGCAGAGATGGCGAGCCTCTTGCACGCCGAAGGGCTCAACTACTACTACTGGTACAAAAGTTCGTGATCCTTTTTTCTAAAATACTAGAGACGAAGTTCATTCTTTTTTCAGCGTGCACGAAATTACGACAAACGCCAAGAGAGTCCCTTCGCGACGCTGCTAAGACAGCTTTGAGTGAGTTTGATCTTTTCGTTTTGTGATTCCATCCTTCTACATATTTTAGGGCACACGCTGCGCAGATCCGACCGCTCCGAAAACGTCAGAAGACAAGAACACGAAGGACGAGAAGTCGAAGAAGACCTAGAAGATGGCAATGATTTTCGTTTCAATGTTTATCCAATCGTTTTTTAAATAAATTGGTTTTTTTTTCCATAACTTCGAAATCTTGATTTTTTTCTATAAAATTGGTGTTTGCAAGCATATACAGAGGTGTTAAAGTGGGAAGAAATATAGTGACTACGAGTTTGCAAGCGAATATCCGGACCAAGAATGAAATTTATCGGAGACGAGAAGGATTCGGACCAATCGCACAGAGAGGAAATCGAGATCAAACCAAAAAGTGACTTTCTCATGAGTAAAAAGTGGCCTCTCCGTATCTGCAAGCTCTGTAAAACACATGAAAAAAGTTACAATTGATGTAGGTCTCACAGAAAAAGCATTTTGTGATAATAGAAACAAAAAAAGTTGTTTTGCGAGCCTGAATGAAAATTCCATTTTTGGGGTCGTCACCTTCAGGCGGTCGGAGGTCAACTGGGCCACCCCAGAGATTTTTACCGGACTAATTTTTTCTTATCCAGAAATACCTACTCTTCCATATACCAAAAGATGATGACCACATTCGAGGGTTCCTACTGAAATAACAACCTGAAAACGGAAAAAATCGAAAATCGACGAAAGTCCTAAAATTCGAAAAGTCTCGAGGAATTCGGAATAAAATTTTCTTTGCGCACTAAAATGGTGGAGAACACGAACACAAGTTTTGTCTTCAGTTTCGAAACAAAAAAGAGGAAAAAGCCGTCAAATTAGGAGAAAAATGATTTTTTGAATTTTGAGCCGATTCAAGTTGATCACCTTCGGTCGAATGGAGGTCAACTATCCCACCCCAGGGATTTGTTGTAGAACCACTTTTTCTTGAAGAAGAAGGCCCCTAGTTTCATAATCAGAAATAAAATTCGTACCATAGGGGGTTCTTACTCTAGTTATAGCTCAAAAACGGAAAAAATCGCTGTTTTTGAGGAAATATCGATTTTTTTCTCCCTGAAGAAGTCAAGTTAGAAAAAAAGTTGTAACTGAAAAAAATACTCAAAATAGTTTTTTTCTTACATTTCCAAGCATTTTTTTGAATGAAAATTCTCAACAGGAAAAAATTTATTTTTTTCAGCCAACTCTCTACAGTATCTTTTAAAAAAAGGGGCGGAGCCGCCTGAAACCTGGTGCTAAATAATCAGAAGCTCGTGTGTGAGCCGTGATCAAATTTTTGAAGCGAATCAAAAAAATAAATTTACTTCGTTTTGCTTTTTTTATTAGTGAAAAAGTCATCGATTTTTTCTCAGAGAACGTGTGTTAAGTGGAAAATAGTTTTTTTCCGCCATTTTTCCTGAAACTCGTAAATGGCTAAAATTAGTCTTTTTTTAGTCTGAAATTGTTTCTTCTCTGTCAGAATCTTCTTATAGAGCCTTATTACATCAGATAGAGTCGAAATCCATTATATCCTAGCGAGTTTAAGGTCTTTTCAATTTTCAGGAAAATGGCGGAAAATCATTTTCCACTTTATTGCATACGGCCTCAGCTTCGGCGCTTTGGTTCTCAAGTGCAACACTTAAAACTAGAAGACTACTGCTGTGAGCTGTTCGTTCCTCCTTTAGCTTCAGAACAATCCTACGATCTCGAAAACATCTTCCGTCAATTCACTCGGCAAGCCTTTATGAGAGCTAACATTAGGTTTTCTAGTTACGAAGATAGATTAGCCCAAATTAACACTAACTCTCTTTTTCAGAAGAAGAGTTGAATTTTTGTCTAAAAAAACGTTACATAAAAATGTATATTAAGGAGAGTCGTTTGCCAGTTGCTCACAGTGTTTTCAGGAGATCAAATTCAGTACGTGCTCCATCACGTCTTATCAGAGTAGGGATTCGTTTCGAAAATTTCTTTGAGACGTTCGTCCCTCTTTGGAATAAACTGGCTACATTGGGAAACCTCAATGTAGTGCCGTGTTCAAAGTAATTTCCGCGAAATGCAAAATACCCGTTAGAGAAAGGAAAAGATCACTAAATTTTGGAGAGTCAGAGATCATTTTGCATTTCGCGGAAATTACTTTGAACACGGCATAGACGCCGGTATTTGTCATGCCGTGTTCAAAGTAATTTCCGCGAAATGCAAAATACCCGTTAGAGAAAGGAAAAGATCACTAAATTTTGGAGAGTCAGAGATCATTTTGCATTTCGCGGAAATTACTTTGAACACGGCATCAACCTGGCCTCACCGTAATTCTGACTTCGATGGAGCGCACTTTCACAAAATTTATTTTAGAACTTCTTTTCATTGAAGAACAAAGTTTTTCCAAAGATCTTTTGCAGAATTTCACAATACAATGCTGACTATTTCATTTTGAAACATTAATGCAAGTGATTTATGTGCTTTCATAGTAAAATATCTTGTCACTGCGCTCATTTCCATAGTTTTTTTTTACTGCCGTTTCTAAATGATATTTTAAGTATTGCTGCACCCAACATCATACACTATGTCTCAGCGAGATCAACACTATAATGAGGGTGAGTCGAGCAATATCGCTCGCTACACGGCGTTCTGCGTAGTGGAAGAAATTGTAGAAATTTCGAAAATGCGGAGCGGCTTCGAAACGTTGTTCCACCTAGATTTACGGTAGACAGCTTGCGCGCGAACATTTGAATTTTTTGTTGCTCAAGTGCACTAAGAATAACTGCCGAGATAAACGCGAGACACTGGCGGTACATTGACGAGCTCGCAAACATCTCGCTTTTTTTCTCGCGCCGGTCTCGCATTTTTCTGGGCGCCAGCTCGCACTTTTCTAGGCGCGAGCTCGCATTTCTCTCGCAATTTGAAAATTTCCGAAATGCGAGATAAATGCGAGATGGCGCCGAGAAAAATGCGAGGTCGCGCCGAGAGAAATGCGGGATCGCGCCTAGAAAAAAGCGACATTTTTGCGAGTTAGTCAATGTACCGCCACCGAGCTCGCGTTTATCTCGTCAGTTATTCTTAGTGTGCTTCACGTGATTTTTCATGTTTATTTTGGTTGTATATTTATCTGTTTTGTACTAATTTACGGTAATTATTTTTTATTGCGACAGCAAAATGCGAAGGAACTCAATTTTCAATATTAACTGCTGGGTTTTTGACAAAATTTTTCCCTTTAAAGCAAAAGCCTTTCAGCAACATTTTTCAGTGTCAAATTAAATTTGTCGACACCGACTCAAAGGTAGATGCCTCCCCGCCACTCAGAGGATGACGTGGCTGGCTCGCCAGGGGAAAGGTCCATTAGGAGCCATTCCATTACCTGTCTAGCCAGCCACGTCGTTCGCCCCTCAAAACCATTTCTCCTTACATTCTTATTTCATTTTTTTCACTCAATCTTCCATTCTTATTGTTGATTTAAATTTATTGCTTTATCGTTATAATTTTGTTCGCGGAATATTTATGATAAAGGTTTAATTACCCAAGTTCGAGGTTGAACGGATCGCTGTCCGACCCGCACTCAACGCTCACTCAGGAAGAAGACCCGCGTGGCAGGCAACAACACCGCTAAGCAGGGAGCGGCAACGAAAAGAGTCAGTTTACATTTTTCTCAAATCAAGAGAAATTCAGTAGGCTCTCAATTTGACTCTTTTCCTCAACCTACTCATCTAGCTCAGACAAAAAACCATACTCATTCCCTTTTTTAAAATTTTTTATTCGAATCAATCAATCTCTTCATTTTCGCAACATCAGAATGGTATGGCGATGTTGCAGAGGAGAAAAATACCACTAGGTGGATGAACTAAACTAAATCTGTAAAGAAA